CCAAGATGCGCCCCTGACCGACGAACGACGAGGCGGTCATCCCTTTGTTTCCAACACCATCCGAACTTCCCGATACACTGTTTATGACTTTATCCCGAAACAACTCTTCTTTCAGTTTTCCCGAATCGGCAATTTTTACTTCCTCTGCGTCGGCGTACCCCAGACCATCCCTGGCATCTCGACTACGGGAAACTTCACGACGATTTTGCCGCTGCTCTTCTTCGTTTTGGTCACTGTGGCAAAGGAGGGATATGACGATTTCAAGCGCCACCGGCTCGACAAGGTGGAGAATGCGGAAACGGCGCGTGTGCTCAAGCACTCGAAACATCGCAAGGCTAGCCCGCAGACCTGGCAGTCCAAGCTCCGAAGCGCTCTTCCGGGAAGCCGTCAAGTACCGGCCGCCGGTCAAGCAGTAAACGATGGACCCTGGACGACAACGAGATGGTGTGATATCGAGGTCGGCGACTTGATCAACTTACGAAGAGACGACCCAGTTCCTGCGGATACCGTCCTGCTCCATGCCGACGGCGAGAATGGCCTTGCTTACATCGAGACAATGGCCCTTGACGGCGAGACGAACCTCAAGAGCAAGCAAGTCTCGGCTGCACTGGAAGGATGCGATACGGTCGAGAAGATCCTGGCCTGCGATGCTGAGTTCGTAGTCGAGGATCCAAACCCTGATCTTTACAAATTTGACGGTCGAGTGACTGTCAACGGAAAGTCGCTGCCACTGACTTCAGCTGAGGTTATCTACAGAGGAAGTATCCTGAGAAATACGGTGTCTGCGATTGGCATAGTCATCAACACTGGCGAGGAGTGCAAGATTCGCATGAATGCCAATCAACACCCCAAGGCAAAGAAGCCCGCGTTAGAGACCGTGGCCAACAAGATTGTTCTTTCCCTCGCGCTCTATGTCATCATTCTTTCCGTCGGCTGCTCTATGGGATACGTCATGTGGCAGCGGTCGCAAGAACGGAGAACATGGTACCTGAAGGATGCCGAAGTCAAGTTCTACGAAATCATCATTGGATTCATCATCCAGTTCAACAACGTCATTCCATTGGCCCTGTACGTCAGTCTCGAGATCGTCAAAGTTGGACAGCTTCTCATGCTCAATTCCGATGTCGAGATGTATCATGCCGAGACGGATACGCCAGCTCGATGCAATACCAACACCATTCTCGAAAATTTGGGCCAAGTCGGCTATATCTTCACCGACAAAACTGGCACGCTAACGGAGAACGTAATGAAGTTTCGCAAATTGAGTATTGCTGGCACAGCTTGGCTGCATCAACCGGACGTCCAAGTTGCAGATGGCGACAGCGAAAACAACAGCTCAGTAGACTCTCTGTCTGAGGCTAAGGGGATCCCGCGCATATCAACGCAGCACATTCGAACCGACGCCATCGTTGACGACTATGTTCAATCTCCAAAGACCCTCGGCAGACCATCGATGGCTCGCTCACGAGCACCATCTACGCGAAGATCATCTTCTCAGTGGAGATCCACAGGGCGTCCGGACCACGTACAGCCTGATGTCACCACCAGCGATCTCCTAGAGTTCATCGCTTTGAGGCCTTACTCTCTGTTCTCGAGAAGAGCCAAAGACTACATCCTCGCAATGGCCCTCTGCCATACCTGCCTCCCGGAAATTCGCAACGGCGAGGTGGAATATCAGTCTTCTTCTCCAGACGAGCTAGCCATGGTTCGGGCGGCACAGGAACTCGGCTACACTGTTGTGTCGCGGACATCCTCGAACATCACCTTGCGGCAGAGCTCCGATGCCGCTGACGCAGCGAAGGATATGACATTCCAGATCTTAGATGTTATTGAATTCAGCAGCCACCGGAAGAGGATGTCCATTGTCGTGCGGTACCCCGATGGTCGTATCTGTATCATCTGTAAAGGCGCAGACTCGGTCATACTTCCAAGGCTCAAGATGGCTAGTATGGCGTTGCAAAAGGCACAGGATGTGAGGCAAAGTGCGGATCTTGAACGCGAACTTTTGCGAAAAAGTGAACAGCATGAACCGAGAATCAGCATTGGGGGTCGCGCTAGCATGTCTTTGCGAAGGAGCATAGGCATCGCACGCGGCACACCAGGCCCAAGTGTTCGGCCTCCCATGGATCGCAGCCAATCTTTCGAGACAAGCAAGTTGCGCAAGTCGGGCGATCTCTTGCGGCCTTCTATTAACATCCGCACAACATCATTCGAGGCCTCGCCCGGGTCTCCCACCCTTCCATACAGCACTCCCGAGAAATTTGCTTTCCTTGACGACCCTGCCATCGCCGATGACTCGACCATCTTTGCTAGATGTTTTAAGCATCTTGATGACTTTGCTACTGAAGGCCTCCGTACGCTGCTTTTCGCCCAAAAGTTTATTTCAGAACAGGACTACCTCACTTGGAAGAAGGCTTTCGACGCTGCATCTACCAGCTTGACCGATCGTCAAGACAAGATCGAGGCTGCAGCAGAAACGATCGAGCAGTCCTTCAACCTCGTTGGTGCTTCGGCGATTGAAGATAAGCTCCAACAGGGCGTCCCGGAAACCATCGACAAGTTGCGGAGGGCGAACATCAAAATCTGGATGTTGACAGGCGACAAGCGTGAAACGGCCATCAACATTGCTCATTCGACCCGCATCTGCCAGCCAGTGTCCGATCTCTACACCCTAGACGTTACTAAAGGAGACCTCCAGGGCCAGCTCGTGGCACTATCCGAAGACTTACACTCTGGCTGTGTTCATAGTGTTGTCGTTATCGATGGCCAGACCCTCGCGACGATCGAGAGGTCGGACGACTTGACAGCTCAGTTCTACTCAGTGGTCCCCTTTGTGGACTCTGTCATTTGCTGTCGGGCCTCTCCCGCGCAAAAGGCACTCATGGTCAAGACCGTTCGTTCCCAGCTCCGAAAGCTGAGAGGTCGCATGGGCCATGGTCTTACACTTGCCATCGGTGACGGCGCCAACGACTTAGCAATGATATCTGCTAGTCACGTTGGCGTTGGTATCTCTGGAAAGGAGGGACTACAAGCTGCTCGAGTGGCCGACTACGCTATTGCTCAATTCAAATATCTCCAACGACTGCTTCTCGTGCATGGACGATGGAATTACGTGCGCACAGCCAAGTTTATCCTGTGTACTTTCTGGAAGGAGATGTTCTTCTACCTCCCCACGGCCCTATACCAGCGCTACAACGGCTACACAGGTACTTCGTTGTACGAATCGGCCAGTTTAACCGTCTTCAACACGCTCTTCACCAGTCTGTGCGTCATCTGTCTGGGTATCTGGGAACAAGACCTCAGCGCCGACACCTTGCTTGCCGTTCCCGAGCTGTATGTGTACGGTCAGCGAAACATGGGTCTGAACCTAGCGAAGTATGCCGGTTGGATGCTGTCAGCAGCGATCCAAGGCGTGCTGGCATACTGGGGCGTCTGGGCCGGTTATGTCTGGTTCGCGCACTCGAGTGATCAAGGTCTTTACGCCGTCGGTAACCTAGCGTTTACCCTTGGCGTTGTCTGGATCAACTACAAGTGCTTGTAAGTGGAAGATGGATACCTCTGTGAAGACCACGGCTAACTGTGTCGCAGCATTCTCGAGACGCACCACAAGTCTGGTGTCGTAATGGGGTGCTTCCTCCTCACCTTCTCAGGATGGTGGGCTTGGCAAGGATTCTTGTCATCCATCTATGCCCGCGCCCCGTCAATCTACGCCGTACGCGACGGCTTCTCAAAGACCTTTGGTCGGGACTGGACGTGGTGGCTAACGCTGATTGTGATGGTTACCCTCTTCATCCTCATGGAGACTATCTTTCGCACACTGCAGCGCTCTCTTATCCTCGCAGGGTTGTGGAGGTGGCCCTGGGTGCGCAAGGAGGATGACGTTTGTGCGGACGAGTGGCGCTTGGAGCTTTGGCAGGAGCTTGAGAAGGATCCCGTTGTGAGGGAGAGGCTGAGGAGGTTGGCGAGTGATGAGGATGAAGATGAAGAGGTGGAGGATTGCGAGGAGGAGGATGTTGTTCGTGGTGAGTCTGAGAAGGCGGGTTGAGTCATTCCTTTGCGAGAGATACCCCTTCCGTTCTATACACTGCCTTAATCGCTCAAATATTCTTATCGTTGCGAAGCATTAATAGCCCAAATATTGTGACAGGCGCATGTTGCTTCCCCTGTTACCTCACGCAGTATCTGCGAAGGGCTGAGCCCGCGTATGCAGGCAACAGCGACGCGCAAATTGGACCATCCGTCCAACAGGTGGTCCTTGACGCACGGGAAAGGTACGTATTGGGGACCTTTATCAGTCAATCCTTGCCGTCGTCACAAACCTTTCCGTACGATTGCTCTCTGCAAACTCAACCGACATCACTTGTCTTATCCGTCGAAATCAGGCTGCGCATGCGATAGACCTCACGAGCCCGAAAGGGAAGATGACCACCTGCCAGTATGTATGTACGTGCTATCTTTGGCCAACGACTGACCTGTCTAGAGTCCGCACCCCGGCAAGAAACCCTGCAGCCTTGCTTACATGGTCGATGTGTTATTTGAAACACAGTTTGGCACACCTTCGGGAATAAAAGAAGGTATCACCGGACAGAACCCTTCTGTCAACCTTCAGCGGGCGGTCAATGGCATCAACGTTCAAAGACATCTTGATGGTTGTCGTAGGGTATATATGGCGTTAATTGCTGCCCGCAATAAACGGCGTCGTTTTTGCGACAGTTATGAGCCCAGGATTCTACCGGTAGCACAACCGTCTAAAGTGTAGCTTTGACGCGTACCCACATCTAAAGCCTCAGGTTCAATTCCCGCTCGGGTAGGCAGTTTTGCCGCCTAATCAGGTCTAAAAGAGCCCAAGTGCCACCCAACAAGCCCAGAGCGGCCACGGGTAAAAGCGTACAGACCCCTACCCTTCCACAGGGCTAGGATCTGAGGGGGTGTGTCGTAGGGTATATATGGCGTTAATTGCTGCCCGCAATTAACGGCGTCGTTTTTGCGACAATGGTTTTCTCCAAAGACCATATATGAACACATAGGTACTATTTCGTCGGTCCAAGTAACACGTCACCTTTCCGAGAGATATCATCGAACGTAGCAGATCGAATGCCGCCTCAGATTCCCCTTACTGCCCTCCAGACTGGCAATGACTTTTCCCGAGAGAGCTGGGACTGGGACAATGGCTTGGCCCAGCGACAGTATGATGGGTCAGGGTCCCACCGCGAAGGAGAACTCGCATCAACAGAAACTCCCGCTCAACTGCACGACGACAACGTCCGTCTTCTGCCGCCGACCAATCCGGGACCTCAACAAGGAGAGACACAAAGCGATGGCAAGATGCCACGTATACGTAAGCCGAGTAGATTCGGAGAGCTCCTCCAGTGGAGTTCCGATAATTGGGTATTCGAGATTTCGGCTTTAATCACCAGCGCAGTGTGCCTCACGGGCATCGTCACCACGCTTCTGCTACACGGTGATCGCCCTCTCCCGGAATGGCCCTTTGGAATCAAATCAACGCCCTGATATCGACGCTATCTACCATCTCGAGGTCGGCTCTGGCGGTAGGCGTTAGCGCTGCAGTCAGTCAACGTCAGTGGATTAGATTGAATCGAGGTGTTCATCCACTAGCCGACCTGGAGATGCATGATAGTGCGAGTCAAGGCCCTTGGGGGTCTATGTCTCTTCTTATCTCGTTGGGCTGGAGGTAAGTCCAGTTTTGGTTCCGTAATATGTAGAGATCAGGGCTGATGTTTCTCAAACTCCAGCGATATTGTGTCTCTCGGGGCCATGGTCACCATTCTAAGTCTCGCAATGGATCCCTTTGTCCAGCAGATTGCCACTTTCGAATCTGCTCCTGCGCCATTTGGCAATTCTAGCATCGTATCGCGAGTCATTTTTGAAGCGGGCATGAACAGCACAGACAACAGCGTGTTCTACCAAGGCTTCGTTCAGGCTCCGCAGAGCTTCAGCCCTCATATCTACCAGGGGCTCTACTTTGATGGCGACCTCAACGACAATTTCTTACGCAATTCTCTGCAGCTACATCCACGCTCCTCTGGGGGCAACGTCTCATACGGTGTCAGCGAGTCGCTCGCGGTCTGTTCCGCATGCGCTAACCTCACGGACAAGTTACGCGCCCCGGAGAGGTCAGCAAAGGACCCGGACCAGTGTTCAACAGACGAGGGTTGTTGTAAATGGGACCTCCCTAATGGCGCGAGCAGCGGATGGACCAGGTTTGGGGACCGGAGCACCAATGTCATGGGCCTTAATGCTACGACGAATCCCGTGGTCTTGAATACCACCGGTCAATTGAGGATTCTCTACGTGAATGCTATACTGCCCGGGTGGGAGATAACATCCCGCGACGATGATGATCAACCTATCGACGGAGTTGGCGTTGAGGGCTTGGCGCAAGAGTGTGCACTCTACTGGTGTGTGAACAAATACGAAAGCAGTTTGAGCGCCGGCATTTTCAACGAGACGATCATATTTTCCTTCTCAGCTGGCGATTTTGAGCCAGAGCCCTTCCATCGAGTCTTCGCTATCAGACCGCCGGGATCCAACTCTTCTTTCCATCGAGGAAACAGTCATGATTATGGTAACTATTCGACAGGCTGGATCAACGGCACGTTCCTGGTGAATGTTGACGCTAGCGGGCTCATCCGGAGACCTTTGGAAGAGCTCTTCTCTGGCTACGCCACCACGCTGAATTCTTACCAGGAATGGGCTCCCATATCGAGCAATCCGACGGTATTGCGTCTGTATATGACGGCGCGAAAACACGATCCGTCCCAGGTGCCGCGATTCGACATGAGTAACATCATGGAGGCCGTCGCGTTGGGCATGTCAACGGTTTTGCGTACGACGGATCCCACTCACGAAGGGAATGATGCACTCAAGAGCGTTGTGGGTACAGAAACGGCTATGCAGATTATTGTAAGGGTCCGCTGGGCTTGGATTGTGTTGCCCGTTATCCTTCAGCTGGCTGCGCATCTGTTTTTCTGGCAGACTATGATCACGTCTCGGAGCAGAAGATTGCATAGCTGGAAGTCTTCGGCGCTTGCTGTGTTCTTCTTCGGAGCTAGAAAGGAGAGAGAGGTCGCGCACTCTGAGGTGGAGAGGCTGATTGACATGGAAGCCATTGCGAAGGAGACAGTAATTGTGGTTGAAGGAAGGAAATCCAAGGGCATTTAAAGACACACAGTCCATTTTCACAGCCTCAATTCTAAAGTGGAGGTCACTTCATCGGTAAAGTCATGGTCTCTGATGCAGGTGCTATCGCCGAACCCGGCACTACCGGAACCTAACTATCCACATCGGATCCAAAGACCCCACATGGCGGAGCAACGGCCCGGGTGGGAGCTCAAAATCCCGTCACGATTGCCACAACCAATCATTTACGCCAAATTACGACAACCCAGGACTGGACTAGGTACCTAAGTCCCATTCCCATAAGCACTAAAACTTGCCATCTTCCCCCTGTAAGGGACTTCGGTATTCAACTTGATGCGAAGTTGCAAGCGCCACGAGGTACGGAGTACATAAGAAGCATCCTCCGCCGGCAAACTCGTTTCAATCGCTGGGCAGTCTTTGCACTGCTATTGAGTTGGTTATTAGACATCATGCTCGGCATTCTGGGACTCGATTATGGTTTCGTGCCTTCATTGGCGCTGCTCGCCGCCATACCTGTGATGCTGTACCTCGCCTATCTCATCAGATCCCCCGTACAGTAGTGTTACGGCCAGCTAGTCGTAGTGAGGTATGTTTGCAGAAGTTGAGGCTGCGGAACTGGTAACAGTAATCGTAGTCGTGGATAGCTTCAGGGAAGCTATGTCTGTAAGTCGTAAGGTAAGGGAAGGCTGCGGTGATCAATCGTAGTCTTATCAAAGAGGTTCTCAGGAAAGATAGCTGAAAGCGATCATAAGATCTGATACGAAGTTAATTGCTGAAGAGCTATGGAAAGTCTGTCCTAGAGTTCATCCTATATACAAGTCCTGGTCCTGAACATATCCCTTGTCAATGATCAGTTCCTCTGATCGGGTGAGCGCTCATTGTTCGGCATGAGCGCTCATTACTTGGCATGAGCGCTCATGGCCCTACCATGGTCGCTCATGGCCCCACCATGGTCGCTCATGTCTTATCTTATCATCACGTGACTTGTACCATAGTTCTTCCGTTCCGTGAGAGGGTGCCTAGTGTCCCTTATCTCCTGCATATGTGGTGTATTATAACCGCCGCGAGCCTGCGGGGCAGGCCCTGTTCTTGGTCATGCATGTTGGGTTGTAACAAGTAGTCAGCGAAAAGGGCTTCATCCCTTTCACAACTCTCTGATGTCTTTCCGCACGGACGTCTGCCGTCTTAGCACCAATATAGTTTGATTTCATATTACTATACCGACCCACTATAGAGGCCCTGCTAACAGCTTTCGCCCCACCTGGTACAAATGTTTAGAAAACGGATTATACACAGCATTATTCGCTACTCAATATTCGCTTCTGCTACTTCAAGTACTTATAGCCTACTTATGTTCACGTAGTACTTTTGGGGGTTTCCAGTTCGATCTTGCACATTAGTGCAATCATCTTTCACTTAAGAATATGTCATCTAGTTGCCCGACAAGCTTTTAGAAATCTCACTGTTGTCACAGACCCGCTGTCCTAGACCCCAACCTTGAGGTTGGTGTTGAGTAATCCGGTGGCCGGGTTACGTAAGCCTGAGGCTGGATAAAACTCTGCATCCTGTATTCTGTCGCGCATGTCCAGAAACGTAGCTCCTTGAGCTACGTCTTGTCAACAGAGCCTGTACCTGCTTAGGATAGAGCCTGCCCGTAGCAATAGATTGTCTGATCCGCCTGCCCAGCATCCACCTGCCAAACAACCTGCCTGCTACCGTGACAACTGTAGGACGTGGATAAAAACTCGAAGTGGATAACAATTAGAAATCCTAATATCTTCACTGAGGAGTGTGTAAGAAGGGGGATTGCAACGAGATTTGATGGTGATGTCGAGCATTGGGTCAAATATTACAGCCATGATTGAATTCTACTACTTCTGCGTTCTGCACATCGCTATGGTTCCTCTATCCTATGCCCAGCGTCCCGGAAATGACCCTCTGTAGTCGATCTCCTAGCCCCAACGACGTCGACACACCACTGGAGGAATTTTCCAAGATCTTGGTAAGGGAGGTCTTCGTACTCTGGCCTGTCCGTTTGAGAAATGCCTTCAACTCTGAGAAAAACTCCTCGATCGGGTTCAAGTCGGGCGAGTAAGGCGGAAGATAGAGGAGCTTGACCCCGCATTTGAGCATATCTGCTTGAGCCTGTCCGAGTGATGGATGGAGGCATTGTCCATTACGAGAACCGACTTCGGCTGCGGGCATCTTCCGCAGTGGCAGAGTAATTGCGCAATAAAGTCCTCAAACATGGCACGATCAGTCGTTCCTTGAAATATGCGCCACAAAACGATATCGTCCCGGGCATAGGCAGGTAAAATCTGATGTCTGCGTTCACAGCGAAACCGCGCTTTTTGGATAGGAGCCACTCCCAGCGGCGACCACGCGGTTCGTCTAAATCTAGCTCGCTTATTATATCTAGACTCGTCGATGTATACTAAGTGATAGGACTGGAAGTTAGATAGGTTATGCAGGTAATAACCGCGTAGTTAGTCGTTCCGCTACTTGGCTATTTAACGGATCGTCTTCTTCGACTAACCGGCCGCCTCGAGAACCCGACCGATACTCCACGTAGTAACGAGAACCTCGAATTCATTCCACAAGAAAGTAACCATTTCGTCTTAGTACATGAACGGCTTTTGAATTAGTTACGCTAACAGTACTTCGAGCATAGGCTATATTACGGATCGCGGCCGGCCGACCACGTTCGGCGGGGCCTTCGTCGTTCCAAAGCATTATAAATTAGATCTAATATGACTAATAGTACGGGTACTATACCCGACAAAGCGAACCATCTGGGCATTACTTAGCAACTTACTAAGGATCATATCACGGATAAAGAAATACTACGAAGCTACGAGGTTAGGCGCCATTGAGAGAGCCAGCGGTGAAAACAAGAGTAGCTGAAGCGGAGTTGAGGGCTGGCAACAAGTAAGTAGTCTAGAAATAGGTTGAAATACTGGATAACGACCAGGTCTTCTTGAATGTTCCATAAATTCTCCAGTACCATTAGTGCTAGTGGACCCATGTCAACCCATGTTTTCCCCAAACGTTTTGAGCGCAGTTCAGATAGTCTGAACGTCGTCGCTCAAGACAGCGGAATAACGGCCAGATTTTCCATAATCTCACGCCTACAAATAATTACCATAATTTATCTCTTTATTACGATATTAAAAGACTAACGTGGTTGATAAGCGAGTGGATCAGACAAGCGAGTGGATCAGCCGACCGCGACCAACATATCTTCCACCCTTCATAGGCGTTACGCCACAACCAAGCATGTCATCACAAAGTAATGAAGGCCAGCTAACCTTAGCGGTTCAGGCTATCAAAACGACACCAAATCTTAGTATCCGAGCGGCATCCCGGATCTACTCAGTACCCTTCTCAACCTTACGCCATCGTCTAAGGGGAAAGTTATCACGACGCGACACTATGCCTAGATCGCGGAATTTGACTACGCTTGAAGAAGAGAAGCTAGTTGAGTATATTCTCGACCTAGATTCCCGATCATTCCCTCCCCGCATTAGAGGTGTGGAAGAAATGGCTAATCGACTGCTCGCCGACCGCAACGCGCCCCCAGTTGGGAAGCGCTGGGCTTCGAACTTCGTCAAGCGACAACCACAGCTCCAGACGCGCTTTTTTCGCAAGTACGACTACAAGAGGGCCCAATGCGAAGATCCAAACGCCATAAACGCGTGGTTTCGCCTTGTGGCGAACACAATCGCGAAATATGGTATTGTGGACTCTGATATCTATAACTTTGATGAGACTGGGTTTATGATGGGCCAGATTGCATCTGGGATGGTCGTCACGAGCGCCGAAAGGCGTTCAAACACGAAAATGATGCAGCCTGGTGACCGTGAATGGGTTACAGTCATTCAGGCCATTAGTTCGTCGGGCTACAGCGTCCCGCCGTATATCATCGTTGCAGGCCAATATCACCTCTCCACCTGGTACACGGAAACCAATCTCCCACGCGACTGGGTCATTGCAACGTCTGACAACGGATGGACAACAAACGAAAGAGGCCTAGATTGGCTCCAGCACTTTGATCGGCATACAAAACTGCGTGCAACTGGCAGTTATCGCCTCCTCGTCGTCGATGGGCATGAAAGTCACCACGCTGCCGACTTCGAGATATATTGCAAGGAAAACAATATCGTCACACTCTGTATGCCGGCCCATTCGTCTCATCTGCTTCAGCCCTTAGACGTTGGGTGCTTTGGGCCACTAAAGACGGCTTATGGTCGACAAATTGAGGATAAGATGCGCCGGGGTAATACGCATATTACAAAGGAAGACTTCTTCCCTGCGTTTCGCGAGGCTTTTGCCCAAGCTATTACGGAAAAGAACATTCAGGGAGGTTTCAGAGGGGCTGGGCTTGTCCCTTTGAGTGCCGAAAGTGTGCTTTCAAAGCTTGATATCAGGTTACACACTCCAACACCTCCAGGATCCCTCCCAACAACACCCCCTGCGTGGACTTCTCAGACGCCAAACAACCCAACAGAAGCATCTTCTCAGTCTGAACTCATCAAAAGGAGGATCTCCCGCCATCAGAATAGCTCACCAACTTCAATTATTGAAGCTGTTGAGCATCTATCAAAGGGGGCGCGTGGATTTATGCACCAGATTGCGTTATTAAGGTCTGAGAACAAAATCCTTCGTGAGGAAAACAACCTACTAAGCCGGCGCCGGAGGGCTAAGAAAACACGTCTCAGACAAGGAGGAAGTCTTACTATAGCTGAGGCTGAGGACCTTCAGTCGCAGAGAGAAGCAACAGCTCAGATCGAGGAGGAAACACGCCGGAGTAGTGGTCGCCGACCGAGGACCGAGACGGGCCAACGGCGATGTGGCGTCTGTGGGAACACTGGTCATAATGCACGAACATGTCAATTTGCTGAAGAAATGTCTGAAGAAGAGGATCTTAAATAGTTTCAATGCCTTCCGTTAGGAAGGTTAATCTTATTTCTTCTAGAATGTACAAGGCCCGAGAAAAAATCCATTTCTACCACTTCCTACCATACCCCTGTAAAATCAAAGCTTGAAGCTGATTGGCAAAAAAGAACCTTCAAATGTATTGGTTGAGAGCCGCAACTTTTGTGGGTTCTTACTCGGAGTGCCTGGCCTTTTTACTGGCTTAAGCAGACCCATATGTATAGCGGGTCTGTCACCTTTCGGTCCAATCGATATGATATGTCTAGAGGGCTTATCCCCCATGCTTTGCTGATAAGGGGATTTTTCCCATCACTTGAACTTGTCGTCCCATAATTCGCCCGTGGGAACATAGTTTCCCCGCGTTCGGAGCCTGTTCGGCCCGTGCGAGCAGGGGGGGGTAGGTGTGGGCGTGCGAATGGGCCCTGGAGGGAATGTGTCGTCGCTCAGACTAACGACGGCCTACATACTACGCGAGGAGCGTGTGCTAATTGTTTCTGGAACAATCAGTCGTCGTTGTGCAGTTTCCGTATGTATGCCTTACGTTACCTATATTTCTATATAATTGACGCTATTAGATTCTTCTTTTAATCGGCGTGCTCTGCCTGCTGCTCCTACCGTCGCCCAGCCATCAGGGACTCTCAGGGAATGCTTTCCCTCGTTCGAGCGCTGGGAGGCGGAGGTCAGGGCGCTCGGGAATGCGGGTATTTCCGATCGGACGTCGATGTTTGCCCGGATGTCTGCGGCTCAGCTGCTCTTCCAGTATAAGTCACTCGTGTAGCGTATAGAGGTGGCTTATGCTTCTGTGGCTCAACTGATGCGGGATATCTAGTCTATGGGCCATCAGGTATCGGAAGTATTACTGCTTTTGTCGCTTCATCGTACCTTCGAGACCCGGGGAGTGCACACTACTTAATAGGCAGCTTACAGCGGTCCTGTGACGTCTCTTACGATGTGTATGCTGAAGGATTCGAGCGTGGCCCAAGATGCCGACGCCGACGCTGACATGGTCACTGGAGAGGGGCTGGGTGATGATCGGTATGTATTGCCTTGAAGCTTGCCAGGGTCTATCTATTTACCCATCTGTCAGCCTTGCCGACGCCCCGCTACCTCGAACCGTGCGACAGTCTCCTCCGCCAGAGCCGTAAGCCTTTTCATGCCCTCTATTTGGTCCTTGGGCATTGTTGCTGCCAGGAAGTCTGCCGTATTCAACGGCTCGATAAGGGCGATGTCATCGAAACGCCGAGCACGCGATAGCTGTACGTACATGGTTATGGCACTGCGTTTGCTGGTTCGGCCAGACGCCCCTATACCCTTTGTACCCCTTGTTCCGTACAGCCCCAAAAGAGTCTTGTCGAGCGTCCTTCCTTGCGCCTTGAAGTCTGTCAGCGCGAAGGCTGGCGAGCACGGCAGTCCCGTTCGAATCAGCCCCAGCTTGGTCTTACTCGACATCCCCGGTCGCAATGTCTTCACATATTGCTTCTCTATCCGGACGTTCTTGGCTGGGAGCACCACAGTGCCTGGAGGTAAGTTAGGGAATGCCAGGCCGTCGGTTTCCTTAGACCGCAGGACGATGCCGCTTGGGGGCCCGAGGACTATTAAGAGCTTATCGCTTATATAGATTTCTTCCAACCCGGGCGGATAAAGGACTTTCACGGCCGTAAACTCTGCGCCGTTCACGACCTTAAGACCCATATACTTGTTCTCATTAACCACTACTAGCATCCCCTCGACAAACGGGAATATCCTAGCTACAGGGAGGTTAGTCCCGTCTCCTAGTAGCATAGCAGCCGTTCTTTCTGCTGCCGCAGGGACCCGCGATTCCCATCTGTGTCCTGATAGATAGAGCGACATCTTCCGGTTTGTTTCTGCGCTATATGCGAGAGCAGCATGAAGCGTCATGTCCCATCTATGTCTGTTAAGCGGTATAATGGCGCGTCTGCCGCCGGAGAAATCGAACTTCGAGTCGGCCCTGTATTATATCTAGAGTCGTTCGGCGTCCTCTAGCGTTTGCCTATCCTCTCGGATGCGTTCCCGTAGGCCCAGAAGATAGGCGTCTCCTTGGGCCCGTTTCTGCTCCTCAAGAATTACGACGTTGGTAAACAGCAGCCAGAGCTTTTAAGCCTCCATCTCCTTCCATCTCTTCTCCGATGCATTCCTACTCGGTCTAGTGTGTGTTGTAATATCGGGCAGCTTGGTGAAGTCCTTGAGGAGGCTGCTCTGGTTTACTGGTGGAAACTGTAAGAAGTCGCCCGTGAAAATTGCCACGGGCATGCCGCCAAACGGCTTGTCCGCGAAGCCCCTCAACATCCTTAGCTTCTGGTCGATGTCATAAAGTGTCGGCAGGCCCAACATACTGACCTCGTCGATTACCAAGACATCCCGTCGGCGCCATCTCTGCTTGGCCTTGTCCAGGCTGGCAGTCAAAGTGGTGTCGCTAGTCTGCCCGTCCTGGTCCTTGAAGGTTAACCCCACGGCGGAGTGGATGGTAGTGCCGCCGATACCGGCTGCCGCAGTCCCGGAGGTCGCGGTGATCACGAGCCGGCTAGATAACTCTTTGGCGGCAAATACCTCTCTCAAGGAATCGATCAGCCAGGATTTCCCAGTCCCGCCACCACCCCCGATATATTAGAGATATTGTTGCTCGGTAGCGGTCCCTTAATTATCCAGAGCGTCGTATACGAGGCCAAGGGCTATCTTTTGCATCCGGTTCAGTGTCCTAGCCTCGCTGATGACCGCCCCTACCCGTGCGAAGTTATCGCTGGGTACGATGCCAACCCACGTACGTAGAGGTATAGGATCTACTAAGTAAACCTCGTCTGCTACGTCGTCATCGAACCCGGTCCCAACACCAATATAATTACGTCCTGGAGCCATCTCATCGCCTTCTATAGCTAACATCCTCTCCTTATGCAGCCTGTCCCGTACCGCTTTGGTGGAGTTTAGGTCTCGTTTAGCCATGACCATTGGTATATGATAGTAACGAGTCGCGTTTCGCCCCCCACCGCTTTTGTCATCGTCGCTATTACTTGGAATATTGGAAAAGTCGGTCTCGTCAAGCGAGTTCAGGAGTCCTTAGATAGCCGGGGATTCCATTACCACGCTCGGCCCGCTATTTAACCCATATATAGCATCATGGAAAGCATGGCAGAGGTTCGTCGTATCCGGCTACCACGTTACGCCTATATCGACCTCGTCCGCGACCAGGTCGAACTCCAGCCCCTCATCGCCCTCATTACGACTAGCCCACAACTTTGCGTCTTTCTTAGCATCTTCTGCACTTTTGTAAAGGAGTTTAACGTTATCGACCAAGGCTCTAATACGGCCAGGGAGGGTTAGTTAGAGTTCTTCCCAAAGGTCGGACGGTTATTCCGTACGATCGACGAACCGACCCCATGGCACAAATAAACCAAGGAGTATATATACCGATCTATAGAGTGCGTTAAGCTTCTATTTAATATTATACTTATAAATACTTACCTTTGATAAAAGCCTTCCTCTGTTCCACGGAGGTCGTAGTCTAGGTACCCAGACATGACAGGAACGGCTTGCTTCGGGATCGGTCGTAACTCCTATATCCAGCAATCGTAGTCTTATAATGTGGTCTCGAAAGGTAAGAAGTTTTCCTTGTTTACTCTCGACCTTGGTCCTCGTTTCCGTACATTTACCAGAGCAACGTAATCATAAAAGCAAGGCTCCTCAAGAATCGGACCGCGATGTGTGTATGCTTCGAGTGCCGGTAGGCTACGACCACCGGGGCCAAAGCTCACAAATTCGGGAGCGGCACGGAGCCGCGTCTCCGGGTCTGCGGCATCTCGGAGATGGTTCCACCGCCGGAATAGGACCCAGTACAAAGCACTAAGGGTGATGTTCCCCCAGTTCTGCTGACTGCAATAACTATTTTTATACTTGAGCAGCCTACTACATACCTCCACCGAAGAGATCTCACGGCTGGTGAAGATCTGGTTTGCTAGCCGGGCGAAAAACTGCCGAGTTTTGTTGTTCCGCTGTGCGGTCTGTGCCGTATCACTGCCACCAGTAGGTGTGACACCATGGGCTCCTTCATCTAGGCCGTCAAACAGGTCGAGCATCAGCGCTATTCTTTTCCAAAGGGGTGTATCCAGCTTCGTTGAGTAGTTTGTCGCATAGTAAATCATTGACAATGATGCCGAGTTTGTTGGCAGAAACATGGAGTCTGTGTTGTGTCGCATGGCAACTGCAAGAGCTGGGCAATACCGGTTGATCCGGTCATGGTTTCGCTGTATACGGAGAAGGCCGCTGGGAGTAAACTCGGTCTTCGGCCACTGGGCCCATGGTGCTTTGAAGCGACAAGGATGCCGAGATCTGTCCTGGGCTTTGTCGTTGATGCTGTATTTTGTGCATGTAGCACCACATACATGGATCTGACATCGACATGCGACCATATTGGCCTCGTTGTCATAGTTCTCTGCAAGCCTGTCCATGTTTTGGGTGATGTGTTTGATGTTATCAAACACTGTCTCCCATCTACGGTATTGCTTTGCTTTGGCTTCGTCTCCACACTGTTGTTCGCTTGGTATTAATGATACGATATGCCTTTGTGATATTCGATACGTACCTCGCTGAAAACAGAGTCGATATATTCACAGACCTGATCCCCGTATCCCGCGTTGTTTGGGTTGGCTATGTCTTGAAACAGGTTGGGTAGTCCTATATTTGCTTCTAACTAGAGGAATCCGTGAAGATGAAGCGCCCCACGCTCGTTCGTTTCAACATAGCCAAAGTAATAAGATACCTTACTAAATATAGAAGCCTCTTTAGTATAGATAAGGTGTTTGAAGAAGAGGTCCATCTCTCGGTGGAAGAACTTAGCTGAGCTGACTGGGTCTCGGACAACGTGCTGGACCCGCCCAATCTGCTTCCGGAACTGTGCTATGAGCTCCTCTGCTACTGGCCCGTCCTCTACCCTAAACGCCGCTAGCTTCATATTCACCTCGTTCGTGAGGTCGTTTGGGTTGATAGTATACTATATACAAGGTATAACTTATACTAATGTTGCCAAACTATTGTCCCTGACAAGTGTTGACCCAGGTTCATTATACATGGTTGGGCTGTTCATCGTGTCGCCTCTGTACTGGGCCGTTATTCGAGATGTTCGTAGTATACTGATCCCCTTAAGAAGTAAATAGTGTTAATATATTGCAGAGTGTGTTGCTACCCCACTCCATGAATATTCGTCCAATAATACTTACAGCTATTGTTTCAAATGAGCTGTCATGAAGTAACCCTGGAAGTGTGTAGTAGCATGACGTTATTATCTTCGCTCTAGCTTTCCCTTAGTCCAGGTGCTTGTCAAAAGAGCTAAGCTCTAGCCTATGCTGCCTTCCTAACGGAAGGACTTCTCTTAGGAGCCGGTTTACCGGCGGTTCCCCAGTTGAATTACTTTTCTTAGTGCTGCGTATCGGTCGCAAATGTGCTGTGGTCGCGGTCGGCTGATCCACTCGCTTGTCTGATCCACTCGCTTATCAACCACGTTAGTGACTAGTGCATATCCCAATCACCATCTTCTTTATGGCCATGCTACCATGTTAGGGGACTTAGCAGTTACTTTCACCATGATTCGCCAGGGACGCACTGCTCAGCCGTACAAAGCTGGCGCTTACGGCCCAACCCCTCACTCCCGTGAGCACTATATCTTCAGGGCATTCTTTTCCTCTTGCCCAATCTCAAAGTCAACAGTAAAGGTCCTAGTCAACACGAGGTAACGAGACAAAGTAACACCCCAACGCGACGAACGATATAGTAAGAAAAACGATCCGTAATCAGAACATTCAATAACCTCCTATTACAGCCACTACGCCAGCTTTCACCTGGCCTACAGAACGCTGATGAGGATACAGTAAAGATCGAGTACGTTGAATAGCCTTTTATCTCGACGTGGCTAATTAGCGCAGTATCATCGCCGTACACGGCCTGAATCCCCGATCCAAGAACGATGCCGATCACGCATAGGACACATAGCGAACCCCGTCAGGACCTACAGGACGCCTCTAGCTCCGTAATAACCTTCCTAAGTACGTTCCCGATTCGAAGATCTTCCTCTACCAATACAACGCCACCGCCGTATACGGGAAGGATCGAAGCACCTTTATCGACAAAGCCAACGACCTTCTCAAAGACATACGGCTAGAGCGGGAAGATGTTAATTCTCGACCGATACTCTTTTTAGGACATAGCATAGGCGGGCTATTGATCAAGCAGGCACTCATCAACGCACACAACAATCCCAACTACACACCTATCAAAGACGCCACCAAGGGGTTAGCATTCTTCGCAACACCCCATCACGGCGGCGACTGGAAACTAGTGAGTCTTAGAAGTCTAGCTACCAAGATCGCTACAGCGACAGGCTTCCAGAAAGGCGATGATATGTTGGAGACATTGAAGCAAGGGAGCATTTTTTCGGATATCATGAACGAGCACTAGAGGCACCAGCTCTTACAGTACGACATTATATCCTTCTAGGGAGGCTTTGATAACGTAAGCGCTTCTCTTCTCATATTAAGCTATTACTTACGCCTCTTCTCAGGTTGTCCCAAGGGAGAGCGCTCGGCTAGGCATGCCAGGCGATCGCGAGAATGTCGTCAGACTAGATACCGACCATAGCACGATATATAAATTTTAGTAAAGCTGAGTTAGACCAAGACAACCTCAAGCGTATACGAAGCAACATCAAGGACATGTACAAGAAAGCACTGAAGCAGAGTGAGTTGACTGCCATTTCCACCCCTGTTCCCTCGGAATCCAACGCCGACAGCAAACTGCGGGCGCGCCTAGATGTATTACGGGGCAAGTAGCTGGAAATCAGATAGCTAGTTACTAAAAGTTCTGAGTTGAGGGGTCTGAATACTAACAACCGTATGCTAATATAACTATATTATAAGATGGCAGTCAAATGACCCAGCTGCTACCTCATTTGCACTTGCCCCTAGCATATCGGAATTCAGCGGCGTGAATCGCTTCGTGGCCAGAGGCGATGAACTCAGATGCTTGCATGAGGCATTAAAAAGGACTGGCGAACGTCGCACCGCCCTCCTACATGGCCTGGGCGGTATGGGAAAGACCCAATTAGCTGTAGCCTACACTAAGCAGCATCGCACCGACTACTCGGCTTCAATCTGGATCAACGCGACAGACGAGACAACGCTGAAGCAGAGTTTCTACCGAGCGGCTCAGCGAATTTCACGCCAATATCAGTCCGTGTTATATATAAAAAACGCCGTGGCAAATAAGGACCTTAATGAGACGTTAGAGGCAGTCAAATCGTGGTTGAGCCAACCCAAGAACGACCGTTAGCTTGTCGTCTATGACAATTATGATAACGTTAGATTCGATCGTCGTAACGGGATCGCAAGCAGTACGAGACCAGGAACAGCAGGTAGCTGGTCTAATCCAGGCAATACGCTCTCCGGCTCAGCCGTTTCAAAGGCGTACGACATTCGATCATACCTCCCTGAGACCGACCATGGTACCGTCATCATCACCACCCGATCTGCAACGGTGAAACTCGGCAAACGTATTCCGCTAGGCAAGCTGAGGGATGTCAACGATAGCTTAGCGATACTTACATCAACATCTAATCGTAACAATCTTGTTGAAGGTAAGCCGCTCAAATGACGAATTATATGCGACTAAGTAGTCAAACAGATCCCGATGCCACGACGCTTACGCGACGGCTTAATGGACTTCCACTCGCACTCGCAACAGCTAGGGCCTACCTAGACCAAGTAGCAACTAGCTACAAGGAATATCTTGAGATATATGAAAAAGCATAGTTACGCTTACAGCAGGAAAGTCCAGAATTAATAAAGTACGATCACGCGTTATACTCCACGTAGAATATCTCATTCCGGCATATTCAGTTACAAAATCAGCATACGGCCGAGCTCCTCCGTCTGTGGGCATATTTTGATAACCAAGATTTATAGTACGAAATATTACAGGCAGGAACAGCGGAGAAGCTGCTCTAGCTTCACAAGACGACGGAGAACGAGCTTGATTTCGACGCAGCAATGAGGGTTCTCTATGAACACAGGCTAGCAGAGCGCAATACCCAAATCCAGGAGTTGGGGCCAGAATCGACAGGATACAGCATACATGGGTGTGTTCATGCATGGACGATCCACGTGCCCAATACAGAAACAAGCCAACCGCTTGCCGGAATCGCGGTACGATGTGTAGCCTCCTACATCCCTAGTCGAGAGCAAAGCAAGTACTGGATAGTCCAACGACGACTTTTACAACATGCCGACCGATGCGTCAAGATATTGGAGACCAGTATCGAGTTGAAAGACAATACATGGGTGTTCCATGCACTAGGCAACCTCTACTCGGACCAGGGCCGACTCAAAGAGGCCGAGGCGATGTACGAACGGGCTCTTCAAGGCAAGGAGAAGGCACTAGGGCCAGACCACACATCGACACTCTCGACGGTCAATAATCTAGGCATCTTCTACTCGGACCAGGGCCGACTCAAAGAGGCCGAGGCTATGTACGAACGGGCTCTTCAAGGCTACGAGAAGGCACTTGGAGCAGACGCCATAAAGACCTATATTCCTGCCTTGAACGTACTTCAAAATCTCGGCTCTTTGTTCGAGATGCTTGGCGAGAATAACAAAGCTATGTCATACTACCTAAAGGCACAGAACGGCTTCTTATCTGTACTAGGGTCACAGAACGAGCGATATAAGTCAAACCCCCCACTTCCTGGCACCCCCCTGTTTCTGGCACCCACAAAAACGCGAAAATCCACCACAACCCAATGCCCACCCCCAACCTCCTTTTATCACAACATTTTCAATTCGCGTCCAAATGGGCTCATCTTTTGCACATACCTTCTTCTATATCTAATGCCTCAATATACCGAAGATCAGCTTCGTCAGGCTCTCGAGGACATCTCAAACGGCAAGAGTCAAAAGAGAGCCTCATTGGAGTATGGGATACCACGATCAACCCTCCAACTACGTCTCCAAGGTGGTCAGACTAGGAAAGTGGCTTTTGCTGACTGGCAGAGGCTGTCTCCTGACCAGGAGAGTAAGCTGGCACAATGGGTTCGCATTCAGGCTTCGCTGGGCCTCGCACCAACGCACCAACAGGTGAAGGAATTCGCAGAGCGAGTTCTGGCTGCTGCTGGGGATACCAAACCACTGGGAAAAGGCTGGATCTATGCCTTTGTGAGAAGGAACCCTATCATTAAGGTTCAGAGAAGTCGTTCTATCGATTCTAGACGCGTTAATGGGGCATCTACTGAGGTCATTAGGAACTGGTTTAAGTTCCTCGCTATCCCTGAGATCAAGGACATCAAACCAGCCAACAGATATAATATGGATGAGACTGGCATCCTCGAGGGTCAGGGAGCTAATGGGTTAGTGCTGGGTATGGCTGAGACGACGTCTGTTCGCAAGAAACAACCTGGGTCGAGGGCATGGGTCTCTATCATTGAGTGTATCTCAGCCTTGGGTAGGGCACTTCGTCCTCTTATCATTTTCAAGGGGAAGACAGTCCAACAGCAGTGGTTTCCATTACATATCGTTCCATACGATGGGTGGGAGTTCACAGCAACAGATAATGGCTGGACTACAGACTTAACTGCCATTGAATGGTTAGAGAAGGTGTTCATCCCACAGACTATGCCTGAGGCTGAGGGGGAGGCTCGACTGCTGATTGTGGATGGGCATGGGAGTCATACGACGACAGACTTCATGTGGAATTGCTATATTAACAATATCCATTTACTGTTCTTACCACCACACTCCTCTCATGTCCTCCAGCCTCTTGACCAGTCTGTCTTCAGCCCTGTTAAGTCAGCCTATCGGAAGGAGCTCGGTTACTTGTCTCAATGGAACGACTCTACCATTATAGGTAAAAGGAACTTCCTGGACTGTTACCAGAAGGCTCGACTTGCTGGTCTATCAGTCTCGAACATCAGAAGTGGTTGGAAGTGGACTGGTCTACACCCTGTGGCGATGGTTAAGCCCCTGATGAACCCTATGGTACTACCTGAGCCTCCTGCTAAGCCCACCACACCCAAACCAACTAGTCAGGGCAGAAAGCGATGCCATAATGGTCAACAAACTACCCCTGTTGAGCCATGGGATTCTGCCTCCTCTGCAGTGGTCTGGTCGACACCCAGGAAGCTGGCAGAGCTCAGCGGTCAACTGCACTTATACACCCAACTCGACAATGATACCAGCACTCAACGGCTGCTATTCAGGAAGGTGAAAAAAGGCTTCACAGAGCAGGCCTGGCAACTGGCAGCTGCCCAGCAGCAACTAGCTCACCTGAGGGCTCAAGTTACCAACGCTGCAGTGAGGAAGAGGAAGACTGTTCAAATCGATCCCAACACGAAGTTCGCGAACATCAGGGATATCCATCGGGCTCAAATCGAAGCGGGTGAAAAGGAGGTTATCACGGCTGAATCCAGCGACTCTGAATGCCCTAGTGAGGCTGGCAGCTGTATTGTAGTGGGTGTGGTTGAGGATCAATAGTTAATAGTAATGAGGAGGTCGGGTTGTGATCCCATCGTTTTTGTGGTGCCAGAAACAGGGGGGTGCCAGGAAGTGGGGGGTTTGACTTACCTCTTCATCGACCTCAAGCTCTCTTACGGCCCCATTCCCCCTGACAAGCACATCCAGGATCGCTTCGACCACGTTCACCCCTAGCACAAGCACAACAAATACACCTGTGACTTTACCCTCTTTGCCGCCGTCTACTTCCACCACGATCATCACTTTGCCTTCAACCACTTTGACAAGCATTCTGTCCGTATCACTGCCATCGTTGGTGACTCCCGTCATTCCTAGCCCGAGTACGTCGAGCTCCCCGCCAGTCTCCTTGCCTGCTTCATCATCAAACTCCCCCGCGACTACCCCTTCAAGCTCGCGGTCGACAACAACATCTAGTTTCTCTGCATCTTCCTCGCCTGCTTTATCATCCACTTCGGTACCAGCATCTCTGTCTACAGTCTTGCGAAACTCACTGACTCCGGTCTCTCCGCCGCCTTTCTCGTCATCCCCATCCACACTCAGCTCATCGTCGTATTCCTCCTCGAATACCCCAACTACCTCCCCGATAATCTCGATACCCAGCTCACTCTCATCATCTTCTACGCCTGTCAGTTCTGCCCCAACTTTGTCAGTCTCGCCGGCGGGCTCCTCAGACCCTCAGACCCCTAGTACTACAAGAGTCATTCGTACAACAACCTAAACACCCACCATCACGAGCTCGAATCTCGTCTCCATCGCCACAACCGAGATTCTGCCAAACACTCCGGTCATTTTCTCAATTGTGCTTGGAGGGGGTGCTGGAGCTGCGCCCGCACCTGAACCTGACCCGACAACTACTGCTTAGGTACCCCAGTGTCGGCAGTCTTTTCATGGATTTTGTATAAGGATTAGTAATGATAATGTGCATGAAGCCTTCGTATTTACTCAGAGCATCGATAGACGTACAAGTGAAGCAGTTCTTAAATGCTATTTCAAGATTTCAAGATAAGGTACTTAGGTAGAGAGAAAGTGACATTTGATGCTTCAGTGGTGCTCATCTTCTAGACCGAGATCACCGACTATTGACCGTGCAAATCACAGTCTAGAAAGCTTCTGAACTTTCAACAAGTCCTCCTCATCCGTAACGCGATTATCCTTTGCCCACTTCTTCTCCATCTTCGACCCCGTCTCAGGCGGCACAAGCCCATTAATCCTCCACAACTCCCTCCTCGCCTCATAAATCCCAGACTCCCACTCAATCCCCTTTGGCTTCAAGATTGGCCTCAACACATCATCAAGAGCCTTTAAGAAGAAGGCCTCGACCTGCGGGGTATCGAAGCCTCGCGCAATGTGGTAAATGGAGACCGTCGTCAGCGCTTTGGGCGTCTCACCGCCGGCGTAGATGTTTTCCGAGGCGAGCTCGATGAAGTGCGTGTGGCAGTAGAACGCGGGCAGGCCGACACTGGTGTAGATCTTGGTCATGCCCTCGGCGATTTGTTTCTTTTCGGCAGGGGTGAAGACGCCGGCGTTGCAGTTGAAGACCCATTTAGGCATTTTGAAGGCTTGCTTGAAGTAGTGAATTGACTTGGATAGTTCTATTGATGTGAATGACTCATGTTTAATCCGTTTGAAATGGGCCCTACTCTCAAGTCTTTGGGCAATAGATATAGTCTACTTCAAGTGAAGACTCAAGAGGTGCCGACCGGCTTTCGCCATTACCGGCCGATGTGGGACACCGCGCCGGAGCGGGATCCGTTCAATGCCACAGCTGCTGGACCGAGATATCAGTAATCACCACTTCCGAACGAGCGTCGATCAGGAGAAGCTGTTTGAAAACGTCACACCGATGTGCTCCCGCAATGCATACCCCGCATTCAAGTGTCAATGTTCTGCTCATCGTCGATCATCAAGTCAAACAGGTTCCATAACACCGAGGTTCGTGAGCATGTCTTGACTGGATCACAAATTCATAATAGGAGACAGCTTTGAGAGCATAGCAGTATCTTGACGGGAATCGCAGATGCACTGGGGGATTGCTCATTGCTCTGGGAACGATGAAAGGTGTATTACATATTATCACAAAGCGAGGTAGCAAGTGGAAGACTTGTATAGTAGAAAGTGGCTTGATTCCTCTAAGTGGAAGATCCGTATGAGGGTCATATCTATATACCGTACAAGACGGGTAATCGGCTTGTGGAAAGCGGTATTGTACGGCAGTAACCGGCAGCGCCACGTGTGGCGCTGCGACACATATCAGCATACGAGTAGGAAGATTTCCAACATGTACTCTTCAAGCTCATGCGTGTCTACTCGCGCTCGCATGATGACACGTACGCTTTTACTCTAGATACGTCGAGTTGAAGAAGCATGACGATCATTGAATATTCACTTGAAAGTCATTCGTGTATTTGCAGGTCGACACTGGGGCAAGGGATCAGTGTAGTCGGCCTTATTGTACGCTTTGCACTTCTCATCCTAAATACGATCCTAAATACGTGACTCCTTTGAAACCTGAAAGGCACCCATGGCACTCAAACGCGCAGCTCCCGGGTTAAACCTCTCCGGATACAACTTCAAACTCTCCAGGAACAGCTCCTTCTCAGTCTTTGGGTTCTTTTCGAGGATCTTGCCAAAGTCTTGAATGTACTTTTTGGTCGCAGCAAGGTGCCAGATTCCGTCAGTCTCCCCAGCCATCTTATGCCCAGACACCACATAAGCAGGATTGAGGGCCTCGACGATTTCAACCGCCCTGATCCATTCCTCGCGCTTGGCTTTCGTGTTCGCTTCCATCAACATCTGGTGACACTGCCCATACACTACGTCGCCGCAGACGGCCAGTCTGAGGTCCGGAATCCAGAGAACAGTTGAGTCGTAGGTGTCGGTGTGCCCACACTCGATGGCCTTGAAATCCCAGCGGTTCTCGAGCTTGAAGCTTCCACCGCTCTTTGGGGATAAAGGTTGCGCAAGGGTGAAGGGGCGGTAGATCTGGCCCGGGAAGCGGGCTTCCCACATCTGGTTGAACACTCCATCCTCAATCTGCTGTTCCATGTGTTTGATGGTTCCGACTGTGGCGATGGGAACGGCTTCCGGGAAGCGCTTCATCAGGAGGGGTATGCCGAACCAGTGATCTCCGTGGCCATGGGTGATGTAGATGTATGAGAGCTTCCGCTTTGGTGCAATGTTCTCAATCCAGGCGATCAGTTCCTCTGTCTGTTTGATAGTGATGGGCGTGTCTACTAGGACAGCTTCATTTGCCGAGTAGATGAGGGTGCAAGAGATTGGGGACCATGCTGGGGTCGCGTTCGAGCCCGGGACTTTGGAGGGAATCGCTGCGCGACGTACACGGCTGATCTCAGATCGGCCATCTTGTCAATTTTCGATTTGTTAGAATAGAGTGAGTAGTCGAACTTCTACAAGATCAGTCACTTGTGCGCGACGGTTACAAAGATCACTGTGGCTCGGTGCTATGCTTTTATACAGATGAGGGCTGCCAACATCAAGGCATACAGGCCTAGACGAGCGGTCCATCATGCCAACCGAGGATCGAGGCATACTGCGGATTGATTAGTCGTGATCCAAGCTGAGTGCAACAGCGACGATGAGATGGATGGTCTAATGAAGTTACTTTGGATGAGCCGTCAGCTTTTCCTAGCGACCACGAGTCAAAGCGGGGTTGATTATGTGAGGAATTAGAGTACTGGAGCACAGCAAGCTGCCATCTTGACAACCCGCACTGACACGGTTCTCTAACGGGAGGATCAAATGCAACTTGAAATCAGCACTTGTGTGCAAAGGAATTCGTATTTCTGGTAGTGGCTGATAGTTGATAATTCCGAAGCCCGTTTTACCATAATGGGAAACGGATTCCGGGAGAGTAGACGCCGCCAAGTATCACTGCTCCGGTGGAGAGTGAAGTAAGCGAGGCGCATCGGCCGGGCTCGACGCAACCACCAAAGACAACACGAAGCTACGTGTGATCAATGCTAGGCTTATTGTTGATGGTCTTTGAGCTCTTTAGACCTTTGCATTGGCATCTTGAAGGAAAGCATGAGCAACTAGGGCATTTTTCGGGTACAAGACATTGCTGCAATAGGCCTGCACGATCACTGAAGGTCAATGCTCTCTTAGGATAGGCACAGGATTGACGACCTGGCCGATGTCCAATACCGGGGGCTCTATTCGTACATGCAAGACCAAATTCCTCAACTCGAGAAGCGCAATACTTACTCCATGTATCTCTTACCCAAACTTCCATCTACCGGATTAAACTTTGTTTACTTACTTTAGGTAGGTGTCAGGTAAAGAGCCAAAACGTCGAACGTTGATGGAAACGGGCACTGAAATGCAATTCTCCGAACGAATATAAGCAAGGCATGATCTAGCAAAATCTTGAGCCGCGTCTCTATGTAGTGCGGCACTTGTTAGTCGTCGAGGTCAAAAGCTGCTTCATAATAAGCTTAGGCCAACTTCCAGATTCCCGCCAGTAAACAAGGCAACAGATTTCGGCAGTAGCCTCGCTGAAATACAACTTTCATTGTCCTGATCAACACCGTTGTGGCCGCTTCTTCTACGGTTGCGGGCGTCTGACTCATGCATCTGAAGCGCAGGAGTAGCCCAGTTTCGAGAGGCGGCGAGGGGCTCGCCAGGCTTTTATGATAGAATGGTATTCGCATTGAGGAAAGAGGAGCACCGTCGTACTCACTGATTTCGGTATGTCAACGATAGCGTAAGGCCGCGCAAAGAGACCCGTTTCCCGTAGACTCGGCCCCTGTCTGGTCTTCGCAAGGGGCCCGGGTCACCTCGAAGCCGACCAGCGGCTGGGGTTCCGTTCTAGGGGGGCGGACGGGCCCCAGATGAGGTCACTAACAAAATAACCTTAATGCTTAACTCAAACTCTGCCTGTCACCTCCAATTTCTCCAACCTCACCTCTCTTGACTGCTAACCACCACAACCACCTCCCCTTATCAGTCTTTCGAAACTTCGGAGGCATCCCAGAGCATCATTATGTTGCCCTGGCTTGGTCCATAAAGCAGGCATCCAAGTGGAATCTCACCTGATTTTGTTTCGCACAGCCCAATTTTTACGTCTGCCCGCGATCTCCAACTGTGGCTCTTACAGGGGCTTAATCTTGGCGGGGGTTTCGGATGACCCAACCTGGAGAATCCAACTAGCCCCTCACACGCACTAGGAGCTTGGGACTCGCAAGCTTGGTGAGTTTTCTCAGCGTTGCAATGCTATGGACCATGCTCCCGACCATCCCTGAACGCCACTGCCCACGTTCGTCTCGTCCTCGGAAAGCCTGAGGGTAACAGCAGTGGCTGCTGACGTGTGTCAGGTTCCGTTCGTGGGGGTGGATGTCTGTGGAGAAGAAAACATTCCCGTATGGCTTCATGCGATACTGGACTTCACTCTTCAGAAGCGCAAAGAAAGAAGAAAGTTGTGCGGTGATCCACGGGTTTTATCAACTTTCGCTACCTGGTTGTCGATGTCTTCATCATGGCATGAGTGCCAATGGCCTTGGCCAAACCACTTTACTACCGTGACATTCTTGGAAAGAATGATTATCGTGATCGTCTTGCCATCACAACAGCTACTGCCTTGGACGCCTTCTGCAGGGCCACAATCATCCGACGATACTGGGTTTCATCTTTTCAGCTCAGCCATGATGAGAACTAGGAGATTTCGTGTCCACTAACGGCAGGATATGATTCCGGGCAAGAACTTCTGATCTTAAGGGGTTGACAATGGCTACGAAAGCTACCCCCGGTACTCCCAAGCATACCAAGCCTCCCGTGCATCCGGGCCAAGCCTCGCGAGTGCCTGTGCCTGGATGTTCTTCAACCTCACTTGCTCGTCAGATTCAGCCCTGGCTATACTCCCCTGCGAGAGCCGCAAACCTAAAACAGAGCGTCCCTAGTTTTTCATCCCTTCCTGCGGATCCGTCCCATCACTCTTCAGATGGCAGTGCGACATTTGATCCCATCTTGGCTGGTAAGACATGTTCAGCTGACTTGTTAGTCCGACTTGTACCAACTCGACTTACACGCTCACCGCAACCTGTTCGACTTCAGCATCACCAGGGACAACATCGAGAATCACCTCGTCTCTAACACACCCGCCTGGGACCCTCGTCAAAGCACTCCACGAATGACGATACCTCGCGAGCCTCCTTCACACCAAGCTCCAACACGCCCATGCCCAGACCTGACCTAGATCCGGAAAGACGTGCCATCACAACAACCCGTGCATCCGAGATTCCGTGCACCGGATACTGCGGGCGGCGGGCCATGTTCATCAGCCAAGGCGACGATGAACCAGACCCCTCCTGATATAATGACTTTTCCCCCTTCTTTTCTTGGTCTGCAGTGATCAGCAGGACTGTCACCACATCTTCCATTCACCCGCGCGCCCGTCTTCATTCGTTTCTTGGTAGCCATTTCGTGATTTTATGACTTGGCTACAGTTTGTTTACTTCGATTCACTTCATCCAGAGACCGGTATCTCGACTCCGTTCAGACCTCTTACGTTCCTTTATTCCTTCTCGTGACTTTCTTTCTTTACATCATAACGACAATCACCCCAAGTCCCATCCAACCAGTTCTTACTACTCGACGAAAACACGATGCTCACACGATACGGAGTCATCTCATGGCTCACCCTGTCGACTCTGGCAGCCGCCAACCCTCCAGTAGCGCCTCCAGCCCAGCAGCAATGCGAGCCTAAGACCGAGACGATTGTACACACTGTCCACGAGACTGTTCATGTTCCTACAACAATTCACAAGACGGTACACGTCACGCTGCCGGGAGAAGTAAAAACAGTCCACGTTCCCGTTCCGACGACGATACATCAGATCGAGACCGTCCACGAGAAGATACCTGTACACGTCACCGTTCATGTTCCGACAACAATCAAAGAGACTGTACACATCACTCAGCCTCCTAAAGTGGTGAAGGAGACAATACACGTCACCCTGCCCCCGCAAGTTGTCAAGGAAACGATTCATATCACCGAAACGAAGAAGGAGGTCCAGACTCTTCCTCCGCAGGTGGTCAAGGAAACAGTCCATATCACTCAGCCTCCTCAAATCGTTAAGGAGACGATACACGTCACTCTACCTCCCCAGACGGTCCACGTCACGCAACCTCCTCAAGTGATTAAAGAGACAATTCATGTTACTCAGCCGCCTCAAGTCATCACGGAGACGATACATCTCACTCAGCCTCCTCAAATCGTCAAGGAGACCGTACATGTTACCTTACCCCCTCTGCCTCCTCAAACAATTCACGTCACCCAGCCTCCCCAGGTCATTAAAGAGACTGTTCATGTCACACAGCCTCCTCAAGTTATCAAGGAGACTGTACACGTTACCTTGCCTCCGTTGCCTCCTCAAACGATTCACGTCACTCAGCCTCCGCAAGTTATCAAGGAAACCATACACGTCACTCAACCACCTCAAATCATTCGGGAGACTCTGCCGCCTCAGATCATCAAGGAGACTCTGCCTCCTCAGATTGTCAAGGAAACCGTTCATGTCACCCTTCCTCCAGTCAGGGAGACAGTACATGTGACCTTGCCTCCTCAAATCATCAAAGAGACTCTGCCTCCCCAAGTTGTCAAGGAGACTGTTCATATCACGCAGCCTCCCCAGACAATCAGGGAGACTCTGCCGCCTCTGCCGCCTCAGATAGTCAAGGAGACCATTCACGTCACTTTGCCTCCAGTCAAGGAGACGGTTCATGTTACCTTGCCTCCCCAGGTAATCCACCAAACAGCGCCGCCTCAAGTCGTCAAGGAAACAGTACACGTTACCCTTCCTCCTCAGGTGGTCAAGGAAACGGTTCATGTCACCTTACCTCCCCACGTTATCAAAGAAACGGTCCACGTTACGCAGCCTCCTCACGTCATCAAAGAGACGATTCATGTTCCTCAGCCTGCGCAGACCGTACACGTAACGCAACCTCCCCAAGTCATCCATCAAACGGTTCACGTCACCCAGACGGTCAGCCATTGCGCAACGACTATCGCAGCGCCAGTCTTGGGCCATCAACCGTCCCCACCTCCGGCAGTTTATCCCTCAGCGGCACCGGTGGCACCACCGGTTCACGAAGCTCCCCCTCCGGCCCACACCATGGCCCCTCCAGTCCATACCCCTCCGCCAGTCGAGCACCCTGCACCAGTAGCACCGCCAGCTCATCAAGCGCCGCCTGCCGAAGCGATGCCCGTTCACTCGCCTCCGGCTGAGGCCATGCCAGTACACACACCTCCCGTAGAGGCTGCCCCGGTCCATACACCTGCTGCAGCCCCTCCCGTTCATGACGCTCCGGCAGTTGCCCCTTCAGCTCACGTAGCGCCTCCCGCTGAGGCCGCGCCCCCTGCTCATCAGATCCCTCCCATCGGATTCACACCAATCAACCCCCCAGCTGAGCCCGCAGCAGCACCAGCACACCCCATGAAGATGAGGTTCATGGCCAGGAGATAATCGAAGTCGCTAGCGGAGAATGAAAGATGAAAGGCAATGAAAATTGTGGATGCGGATCCTGGAAAAGAAGGAATCTAGAATAATGTGCGCGTATAACTTTCTTACATGTAATCTAAATACTAGATGGTAGCTATGATGCTGGCGAAGTTTGATACCCGGTCAGCCGGCCTTGAATAGACCACTTGATACCTCTCATTTCCCAAATCTCTGCAAATGAAATCGTCATTCAGTCTCTGTTTTCTATCTAAAAAGTCGCATGGGTATCTTTGTCCTTTCCCTTCCGTCCAAAATCGAAAAAGTTTCCTCCTTCACGTTCCTTGCCCTTTTTCTCATCCTCACTAGCGAGGCAAATCTCATCAAATCTCTGTAGCGTCTGGTGGATATCGACCTGAACGTTGCGGGCGAGGTATTCGCCTTCGACTCGTCTCGCAGCAGCAATATTCTGTCGAGTCTTGGACTTGACTGCTGTTCGGATACTTTGGTAGATGCCCTGGGTGGGGTACGTGACAATTCCGAGAGTAGCTGTGTCGAGCAGTGTTAGCACCATCAGACGACTAGCAGGAACAGATATCGCAAACCACCAGACTTACCAGATGCTGTCTTTGTCGCCATGTTCATGACTCCCTTGCCGACGCCCAATGCTGCGCCCGCAGCACCTCCATCACGTCCACCCTTGTACGGTTGATAAAATAAATCGGCGAAACCTCCCCCGAGTCCAGTGACAAAGTTCTTGCCGCCAACCATGGCGCCAGACTTCCAGTCAGTAATGGCAGCGCGGTTCTCAACCTTTTCGCCGTAGAGCTTAGGTGCCTCGCGGAGACCTTCCGTGACAGCCAACGGTACTTCGAGATAGAACTTGCCGTAGGACTTGAAAAAGGTACCAACGCCGGAAGCCGATGCCTTAAATACCGCGCCCGCTGTGCTCCCACAGCCTCGGCCGGCGCTTCGGGGCCGATCAAGAGCGTCGGATTGTGGAGGCGCGAGACTCGGTGATCGGGGCGGCGTCTGGACGTCTAGGCTTGACATACTTCTGGCACTTCTCCTCTCAATATCTTCCATCTCTGCAGCCTTTAGTTTGGATCGTTGGTTGTAGACTTGGACGGGCTTGACGACAATGTCGGTGGCGCCCTTGACCATTCCGTATCCCACCCCCATCAAGGATGAGGCTGTGCCTGTGACGGGATCCCACCGGCGGTTCTCGATGATGTACGTTTTTGTTTCGTGTCTTGAAAGCGAATGTATCGTTAGTATACACTTGGCTCGGCGGAGCAGTATTTGCAGACACTCACAGTGACATGTTTTTCTGGCCAATCTTGAGGTGGTCAAGAAGAATCCCAGCAGCTTGCTTTGACAGCTTCACGTGCTTCTTGCCTCTCTTAAACTCCCACACTGCGGGCTGGTTGGGGAAAATATCGCACTGAAGCATATCAAGTGGTAAGTTGGCGTGGAATGACTTGGCTGCCGTGGCCACACCGCTCTCCGTCTTCATCTTCGCTGCAAGCTCGCCAGCTGCAACTGCGGCTTCCGGTGTCAAGCAGAATCGGATCGCATCTGCCAAGTTCTGCGCATTGAGCTGCTTGTGTGGAATGGGCTTTGGCCCGGCGCCTGCGATAGCAACCATGTCTCCCCAGAATGGTTGACTGCTAAGTGTTAGCTTCGACCTGTGTAGAGTCTTCGTACCACTCTGCAGCACTTACTCTCCAAAGAAAGGAACGATTGTGGTTGGCCTTCCATTCAACAGACCACAGGCAGTAGTTCCCGCACCACCATGGTGAAAGACCGCCGCAACATTGGCAAACAGCCACTCGTGTGGACAGTCTCCCAGAAACAGGATGTCATCTGCGTCGATGCCTCCGAGGTTGCTCCATCCCTTTGATATGATGGCCCGAACGCCCGTTGCGCGTACAGCTTCGACGAGGATCTTTGTTATTTCGTCGGGGTTGTCGATGACGATACTTCCGAAGCCGATATAGATGGGAGTCGGACCATTCTTGAGGAAGTTCGCGAGCTCGGTGGGCGGCTCGTACTGGGGCGGTTCGCGGAAGAAGAAGCCGCAAACATCTGTGTCACAGATCAGTGCCTGTTACGAAGTCATTTTGCGCAATGGATGGATTAGACTAATCTTACCGATGTAGGCAGGCCAGTCGATTGGCTTCGGAATAAGTGATGGGGACCAGCAGTAGGTGAATGGAATCTTTTGCGACTCTGCAAGGACCGGGCCCTCGGAAAACGGCACCTCTTCGAGATCGATCGTCCGCCTCCAATCGTTGATGACATCTCCAAGTCTGGAAAATCGTTAGCACAAGAGATCCACGATGGCTGGTACAACTGCTTACCCTTGCCATGTCAACCACTCGACAATACTGTAGGACACAAAGTTCGCCGTCATCTGGTCAACAACTCCCTTGTCTCCAAACTTGAGATTTGCTAGGGGGTGCGGGAATGCTCTCGTGCTGCTCCAAGGCATGGTAAACATGAGATGTACGGGTACACCAAGAGCTTGGGCGCAGTGGACGTGTGCGAAGCTCGGCGGGTTAGCAATGATTGCATCCGCCACGAACGGTGTTCCAGTCTGGTTATCGGGTTCGATACACGATCTCCAGCACCCTTCCAGCATTTCCTTGACCATCTTGCGCTTCTTCTGGATATCGCCGCCTTTCAAGCTCTTCAGGCTCGGGATCAACCCGGGGTTCTTGACCATGTAGGCCATCAGTTCGGAAGGGTCACCGCCGATGGGGTAGAATTCGAGGCCGGATTTACGGACAAAATCGTCAAAGACGTCGTGTGTTGCTAGGCGTACTCTGTGGCCGTAAGTTTGAAGCTCGTTTCCGAGCGCGATGAAGGGCTGGACATCGCCGCGACTTCCTACGACTTGGATCACGATGTTGAGTTTAACAGGGAACGTCTTCTTTTCGGCGAAACGCTCTGCTGCTTCGAAGTATTCTGGTGGGGGCCCCTCGGCGGCTGCTGCTTGTGCGAGGTGAGCTGGGTCTTTGAAGTCGGGGACGAAGCGGGCGAGGGTTGTTGCCAGTCGCGAGTCAAGGTTTACGTTGATTCTGCCGTCCGCTATTGTGAGTTTCGTTGGTTAGGATGTATTCAGACGGATTGCTAGATGGGCTGGTGGGTTTCCTACATCCGACACTTTCGCTATGTTGCTGGAGTCCCTCGCTGATCGCCGACTCGTAAGATGGGAGGTAGTCTTGAGGGACAGGATCGTCCTCTATCATCCTGATGGTGTTTCGCTTCGACATCTTGCACTCTCGGAGTGGGACGAAGGTCGACTTTGCAGTTGTTAAGGGTGAATTTGCCGCCGTGTCGTAGACGTCGCTGGAGAATAGAATTGACAATGGGTATCGAAAGAGAAAATGTTGGTGGATCGCTGAATCAATTGAGAAGAGAAGGGGCAAGAGCACGATATGATTCAAGGACGGTCACAAGAAGAAGGTGAAATCACTAATCAGGGAGGGGTCTCGAGGAATTTCAGCCAGGCAATCAAACACTTTATCAAATATTCACCTACCGCTTACTACTTACATCATACGCCGCCACACCACCCCTCCGTAGTCTATGTGTAGACTCAGTCGCATATCTCGTACCTGACTCGGGTATTCCGTAGGGCGAAGCCTCGAACGGGAGCGCTAAAGAGACTAGACTTCGTGGGCCCGGTAGTTTGAGCCGCGCCACGACGCGTAAAAGTGCGAATCCACGTAAAAGATCGTGTTTTTAAAGATCTCCAAGCTCTTTTAGGCATATCTAGTTGCGAAGAGCCGCGGGTTCGGCATGTTCCCGTTGCATCAGGGCCATAAAAAACTCACAGGGGTGTGGGCATGTTGTCTCGATCCGCGATGGGGGCGCCCGTCAATGTTTAATTATCAATCAAGTGGACACAACTTTAAACTTCTCATTGGTTCATTTTCAACCCGCGGGTCTTCGCATTTCCTCGCATCTTGGGTGACGAATACGCGTATACGACCAACACAGAATGCGCGGATAGATCGTTCGTCACTAGTCACTTTAATCCGCAGCTCTAAACTTGGGTCTCTCCCCACTGCCGCAAAGACTTTGCGCATTTCGCCGGATTAGGCACCGTTTCCCGGGCTTGATGGCTTCGCCCTCTGACCAATGGCTAGATCTAGATCATACGCGTACGGAGAGTGCCGCAAACTGCTTGATCAACGTGGCTCAGCCCTACTAATACTCCGCGTACAATCTGAAAATCTGCAAATACCATCCCTCAGAGGCTCAGTCTGCCTAGCGCCAGGGGGCTCTTCGTGTTAAGGCTGTTTTGCATCACAGCAACACTCGTATGCAAACACGAAGGGGTAAGGGGGAGATTTCGGAGATGAACCTAAAGACTTACTTATATCGAGGTCTTTGGACCGATTAGGGATGATGGTAGAAGTCAATCAACAAGCTACCACATCACCCGCCCACAATCCTAACACGAGCATATGGAACACGGTCTTTATCGCCTGGGGATTTTAGCCTTCAACAACTAAAGCTAAACTGTTCGGCCCGCCCAAACTCAATTCAAAGCCAAAGTTATTACCTAACTGCGCCAAGGAGACATTCAGTTCGTCACGATGGCGGACAACAGCACCACCACCGAAAGTGCTTCCACCGGCTTCGTTTTCTACCACTATGAGCCGTCCATGGTAGCGGCAACTGTCTTTATCATCATGTTTGGGGTTTCCGGTATGCTGCACATCTGGCAATTATGTCGACGCAAGACGTGGTATTTCATTCCCTTTGTGATTGGGTGCATTTGTAAGTTGTCCAAGTCCAACCCCGTTCCCGTCCCCAAGCATGACTCGACTAACATTTCCCTAGTCGAAGCAGTTGGTTACGTTGGCCGAGCCATGTCCGCATCAGAAGCACCCGATTATACCAAGAACCCCTATATCATCCAGTCGATTCTACTCCTCCTCGGCCCCGCCCTATTCGCCGCGTCGATCTACATGGTTCTCGGTCGTCTGATTAACCTTCTCGATGCCGGAGAATACTCCTTGATTAGACCCAAGTGGTTGACCAAGGCCTTTGTGCTGGGAGATGTGCTGTCTTTCTTCGCACAGAGTGGGGGTGGTGGCATGTTGGCAACAGCCAAGAACAGCGATAATGTCAAGCTGGGCGAGAACATCATTGTCGGCGGTCTCGGGATCCAGATCCTCTTTTTTGGTTTCTCCATCGTCGTCACACTCGTCTTCCACGTTCGTCTCTCTCGCAACCCTACATCCAAGTCTCATACAGTTCAGACACCGTGGAAGGGTCTTCTCTACGTTCTTTACGCCACCAGTTTCTTCATCATGGTCCGATCGCTTTTCCGAGTTGCCGAATACGTAGGAGGCAAGGACAGCGAGCTCCAGGCCAAGGAGATGTACATCTATATCTTTGATGCGACATTGATGGGCATCACGTCTATGGCCTTCAATTGGTTCCACCCAAGTCGTGTTATCAACGCCCAGGCTACCGGCTTGAAGCAAGTCTCTAGCTCAGAGGTGCTCAACGAAGGATACCTGATGGAGAGCGGACAATGCCCGAAGCCGCAACAACAACAACAACAATACAAGGACCCACGCTACGAGCCTTACCAAAGGGCAGCTGGTCAGCAGGGGTTTCGTAGGTGAAGGGAGTCAACACGGCGGTGTTGAGGAGACTCGAGAGGCAAGGGTAGAGCTTCCAGTTGCACCAGTGGAGGCAAGAAAACCGAGCGAAGAGAATTGGAGGGACTGAGCTTACGATCCTGTCAATTTACTGAGGTCATATAATTTCATATGTTTGCGATTTGCCCTTGATGGGTTTCTTTTCCCTTTGTTCTTTGGCGATGGAGCCTTGATAGACTTATGGAGCATGTAGGGTTACATCTACTGAGGTTTGGGATATGGTAAAGAAGGCACACTTCATGCCTTGGAGTAAATGGATAAGAATAGATATTAACCTCAAACCGTGCACCAAGAAGCCATCAGACAAGTTCATAAGTCTATCGTGCCTTCGGTTGTCTTTCGCAGTCAGTCGAGTACCTAGTCCACATAACGTCCAAATACTTCAATTATCATGTTGCGCGATGCACGTATGCTACCCTATACTGCTAAAGTATCTCGTTGACTATCATGAATTTCCCTCGTGGCCACTAAAGCTTCCTCAGCAAGACCTTTCTGTCGGGGTCCGGTTGAGTCTAGACAATTATTAGCAAGACAAACCCTCTCACGATCATACTTGATCCACTTACTATTGCGCCGAATTCCAAGTTCTTGTATCGTTCCGTGCTGCCTCCAATGTTCTTGATATCGTAGTTGGCCAGCGTCGTCGCCATAATCATCTTGATCTCATTTACAGCGAAGAAGCGACCCGGGCATGCGTGACGACCGTATCCGAAGGTCAAGCTGGTCTGTCCCACGCTGACGAACTGGGCGTTTGCCACAACCTCGGCCTGTTTTGAGCCGGCGTTCTGTTCCGTCTTGGCTTGACGCAGCTTGTAGAATCTCAGGGCGTCGAACTTTTCGGAATCGGGGAAGATCTCGTCGTCGTTGTTGATGCCGATCACAGGCAGTTCGACTACGGATCCGGCGGGAATAACCTGACCGTTTGATAGGGTGAATGTCTTGAGGACCTTGCGCTGGAATGATGCTGTACGGTGATGAGTGGGTTAAACAGGCTGACGGCCTCGGCTGTAGACTTACTGGGCCCAAGCGCGTAGTATCTCATAGTCTCTTTGAGGAAGCTGTCTAGCTTCTTCATGTTCTGCATGGCGCCGCTCGTGAAGACCCCGTTGCTCTCGGCTAACGCTTGCTGTATGTCGTCTCGAAGCATGGGAAGCAACTCAGGCATAGCAGCTAGTGTGTAGAGACTTGATTCATCGAGTCAGCATTATCCCAGTACCCCCACTACTCTCAGGGTTCAGATACTTACGCGTTGGTCGTGGTGACAGTTGTAGTGTGGATGGCAGCGAAACTGACTCCCAACTGGTACCTGGCGAGCTCTCTGTCGTTCTTCTCGCCAAACTTCTTTTGCGACTCCATGATCCATTGGAGCATATCATCTGGCTTCTGGTAGTCGGGGCTCTTCTCGGCCTCCTTCCTTGCTGTTACTACAGGTCTCAGGAACCTGTCGGCCTCCTCGATTCGGTAGTGGACCTTCTTGACCTCCGGGGTTCTCGCCGCCAAGAAGGGGCGCAGCCATGGAGCAATATCAGCAACCTTTCGAACGGCCTTCATCAGATCGAGGGTGTAGTTGATCGCAGCGTCGAGGTATTCCTCGTTTCGACAGAGCTCTGGTCCGATGAAGACGCGCCCGGATGCCATGGCGATGACGCGCATCATCTTATCCATGATCTTGACCTCAGTCCAGTCGCATGATTGGGGGAGCTCTGTTCGCAGAGCTTCGACGACTTCGTCGGCGATGATCGGGTTCAATCGGACTGGATAGTTTCCACGGTTGTTAGGAAGACTGAAAGAAACGCGTCACAGAGGTATGACGTACCCAAAGCTGGTGTCAAAGCAGTCTTGACGGTATGGGGAAGCAAGGCGATATCGGTGTCTACACCTGTGTACTTCGCGTGCATTGACTAGTAGAGGTCCATCAGTCCATGCCTTTCGTCGTACGATGATGGATCCAAACTGACCTCTTCGATAGCCCGGTTGAAGCTTAAGACGTCATCGGGAAGCTTCTTCAGCTCGTTCATAAACTTGGGGGCGACGACAATGTTTGGCGATTCTGCGGGCGACTTAGCACTGACGATCTTTTTCCTCAAAGACCTGGAGCTTACTCCTTGCGGTGGTGATGCGGAAAGCTCTCTCTTTGAACTGTAGAAATTTCTGGTTAACCAACAATGTTACTTGTCAAGACGTATTGGTATCGGTCCTACCTTCCTGTATCCATTAAGGTAGAGATTTCTGGCCTCGCCATTCATGAACTGCTTTCGTCGGGCCTCGGATCCTCCAAACTCTGTTCCCACCATTGGGATATCTGCCCATGGATCGCTCTTCAGGACTGTCTGGAGCAAAAGTGCGACAGCACATGCAAATACGGCAGTGGCAGCGACAGGCCATCTTTGGGCCACTTCGATAAACAGGGCGCCGTCTACCGCAGCACCGGCTGTGGCGTTCATGTTGGGAAGCATCGACATCGACATCTTGGGTGGTTGACGGGTTGTGATGATGGTGTGCTCGGACAAGGAGGTTAGACTCAGGAAAGAGATGGGACATAAGGGTGTAATATAATTTCACTGTACCCTCCACCACGTCCGCTTAGCTGCAAGCTTGACAGCAACCATCGAGTACGTCCTGGGGACCCCGCCACCACCGTGACGAATGCCACCAACACAGCCGACGGGAGACGAACTACGAGCATAAACTAGTAAGTAACCTGCGTGAAACTCGCCCTCGGATTGCGAAACCGGGTGGAACCGCCCAACTACCGGCCGGGGGAAGGAGAGAAAGATGGTGGGCTGTGAGCATGGCTCGCATCTTGTCTTCTCCGCCAACCACCACCCCCTGCGACGATCAACGGGACGAAGAAGGATTCGATCTGATGGGCATGCATTAGCGCTGCCGCGGGACAAAGGGTCAGAGGTAACAAAAACGCGGGGTGAGGGGCGAGAAAGTGTGAAGGGCTTTGGCCAAGCGGACTGACGAAAAAGTCCGAACCAAGGTTCATCGAGTGAGGTTCCCGTGTAAACGAGAGCAAAACGACGTTTCCGGTTTCGTATTCGCGAGTCTGATCATCAGGAGGATACCAGACGATCTGTGCGACGTAGTAGGACGCGACGTCGCTTAGTAGTCTGGTCGCATCGATGCGTTTCTAGAGGTTTAGGAAGGGCTACTCAAGTTACACTTCGTCGATTCGCTCTATCGGGCAGAATAAGATGGTTCCATCTCGGGTACCTACGTCAAAAAGCAAGACTGCTCTCCGCATGATTTGGCACATTGTACAGAGAAATTTTCTCATCTTTCTCGGTTTCTCTTTCACTGGCGAATAGAAGCCGCCCAGAATTGTCATGCGGTCCAAGTGCGGCCAATCTGTAATGTTTCGAAACCTTCTATTTGTGGCACCTTGACTCTCACCCGCGGCCCAAGCGGCATATATCATTGGATGAAAGAATGAAGGTGACAACGTGGTAGAAGAAAAAGAAGAAACATCAACTCGTGAGACCTGGTACAGCCAGGAGGGAATAGTTGGTGTGTTCGGCCCTTTCAATCAGAATATCAACATGTCGGATGACCTCCCTTCCTGAACTGCTTATCTACGATGTGGTGACATCTCCCACCGGGCGAGCTAAGCGGAGAGTTCAAGAGCCATAAACTTTGAGGAAGCCAGTAATCTCCCCATCGAACAGCGGTTTGCCGGTCAAAGGATCCTCACTATCGGCGCCCAACAATCTGGCCTCCCAGAAAGTTCCCTGGTCGGAAGTCGTCTCCTTCCTGAAACCCCATGTTGTGTAGCCTTCGGAGCCCAGGAAGACTCCGTCGATCTGCGTGCCGTTGAGTGTGTAATGCGAATACGGCTTGATTTCGGTGCCGTTGACAAAGTACATGAGTAGAGCGTCGTACGGAATTTCCGCGGCCACGAGGTTCTCCCAGGTGTAGCCCGAGACGCCAGTGGGTACCCGGGCCTGAATACCTTGGCCGTCGACACACTGGAGCGGAATCTGAGCCACGGCGGCCTTGTCAAGTGCAGCCATCTGAATGAAGATGGTTAGTGATGTGACTTCAGACCCTGGCCAATCGGGTGGTGGTGCCCGGATGTGAACTTACGTATCCCCATCGGATGCCAGTCGAGCCGCGAGAGTAAATGGCGGTCAGGCCGTGGTTGTCGATAACGCCATCGGTATCCTTTACTTGCATCGACCACGGCCCCGCCTGGCCAGCGGAGGCGTCGTATTCCGGATACACGGAGCAGCCACCGGTGAGCTCCTTGACTGTGACGTTCCCGGCGGCTGAGACGATTGGAGCCATGGCGATGCCAACGGCCGCAGCCGCGATGAATTTAGCTAGTGACGACATTTCCAAGTGATTGAATACAATAACTTGACACTAGACGATTGATAGGCGACCGATGAGGTGTTGGTGCTGACCCCTACATCGATAGACTTGCCAAGGCTATGTACCAAACTGCCCCTGGAAGGATTCTAGGCATCAAACGGCCTCATTCCGGACGCCATTCTCGTGAGAAGATCCATTCTCGCAAGCGAAGGAACTTCGGTGTTCCAAAGCCGGAGCTAAAGATGCAACGGCGCGTTCCTGCCTGGCTAAATAGCCTATGAAAGAACGGGAATTTCGGGAGGGGATGGAACTTCTAGGCTGAGGGAAGGGGTTGATGCCGCTAAAGCAAGATTGAAGCTTTGCCCCCCGGAAGCGGATGGCGCTAAATGCCGTTACCCGCCAGTGCCACCTTGATTTGAATCATCGCAGGCAAAGCATAACGTTGTTAAGACAAGACTATGACGACGAAATGCTGAATGCCGAACGATGTGACCATGCTGCCTGGCCGTCCTGGAGCACGAGGTAATGCCAGCAAGATGTCGCGCCAGCAGCTATGCTGGAACAACGTGACTCTTTTCGTAATGCTTGACTTCAAACAGAGAGAAAAGCAAAGACATCAGCCCCTTAATTAGCGTTGCTGATCAGATCAGCCACCTTTCCCTTCTCGCATAAGCCACACTCAAAGACAGGCAGCCACTTCGCCCCTGTCGTCATTCTGCATGCTGTCGATCAGTAACTTCGGGATGATGTTGGTGCTGTGGTGCTTGAGCGTGCCGGAAGGGAAGACCCCTAAAATCGGGATTGCACAAGGAGAGATCCTGGCTGCACCGATAATTGAGGACAATTGAACAAGCTTATTGAGCATTAAGGGCACGACTGCATGCGAGAAATACGAGGTTCACCTGGAAACTTTCAGACGGCGAATGGACTGCCATTTTCGGGGGCAGTAAACTTAAGTGACGCTCAGAGTGTCAGGGAGCGTGTCTGACCCTATCGGATGATCCCCATGCGCAGTTTCCTTGCATTTCACAGGGCTATCCATACGACGGGGACTTGACGAGATGCGAAGCAGTGCAGGCAAGACATAGCCATAAGTTTCTCTCGACTTATCATTCGCTACCATAATGAATCATAATGAGTCTTTGGGCGGCAACTAATATTGACCGGGGAGCCTGACTTCGGCGGCGCGCGTACGCGTCTGTTGGAGCATCCAGCCGAGGCAATTGATCAGGCTAAGGTAAGTATTCAGCGAAACCAAAAGTCGTGATCACCGCAAATGGGCTCGGGCGACAACGAATTCGAAAACGAGCTGTTTCCCTCGTTCCACTTACGTGTCGCAAGACTTGCAACGCCTAAAGGTGCACAGCCAAGCGGGATATATCGATAGGCTTGGTTCGAGATTACGCCGACGAGTAAAGATATGAAGTTTTTGGAAGCAATTGTTTTATTCGTCATGCGTTAATACATTGTCGGCGTCGATATCGCTGAAGCAACGGCATCAATAAGGTCGCCATTAATCTTCGTCTTACGAAGATGAGTCGATGACGAGTGAGCGTGAAACTCAATAAGGCATGGATCGATGATCAACTATTAATATCTTGTGGGTTAAGAATTTTCATTTATGACAAGGCCTGACTCCAAGTTTTGCTTCCCAAAATTTTGTTGGCGTGACTAGTCAACTACGCGGGCCCAATTTCTGAGGAAAAGTGACAAAACTTTTCTTTCGTCCGCAACCCTCAAGACTTGTCTTAGACTTTCCAAAATTCATGCTTGGCCATCTTGTTACAAGTTATATCCCGGAGCCTGCTGATTATGCGGACTTAAGCCTCGATCATCTAGCTCGGTATGTCAAAGATGCCTTCCAGAACATCAACTCTTGGCTAATCCTAACTAGATATGATATCGAATAAGTCACCTAAGTCGTCGCGCACTTTTTGGAGCAAAGTTGAAGTGACCAACTGTGACTATCACATTTAGCGAAGCTCAAGTAAGCACTCTAAGCCGATATCCCGCGCGGTGAGCAGGGTGAGCAAAAAGTAAGTATAAGGGTTGAACAGCGAATAGATAACAACCCTGGGAGATGTGTTAGCGGCAAAGGCTTCGGAACGCCCTCAGTAATACCTCGATGAGTCCAAAGCGCAGTTGAGTCACCACCGCCAATGAACGCCATATTCGTCTCTGCGCCAAGACACCAGTCTGCTGATCCTAGTCCTTCCCCCGCACGCCCGGTTCCAACTCGAACCCAACAACCTACCCAACTACCTTTCCACCTTTCCACTCTACCATCATTTCGAAGTGCCTTTCTTCCCAGTCTACTCCGTACTATCTTGCCATAACCGCTTAAACGCTTAAGCGGATATAAGCAACATGCACAAGCACATGGCCCCTTTGATATCATTTCTAGAGGATTTCCAAAACGGCAAATTTACGAAATGCGATATCAATCGCAGACTTACACGCATGAAAGACCTAGTTGATGACAAGCCAATATCGAAGTCGAAAGCAGCTACTCAAAGTCGGTACACAGTAGCCCAAAGGCATCTCTGTAACATCCGAGATAGACTCGGCCGACCGGTGTACTACCTCTGCATCCTCGCGTCGTCTGTGAAGGCACTGCACCAGTACGACCGGACCGGGTTCCAAGATGCCTTGGAGGAGTGGGCGGAGGAGACGTACGTCCCCACAGCATTCGCCGAAAAAGCGTGATGCGCGGTCGAGGAATTCCTAGCTAGCCTTGCTACTAACACCACAGCTCGAGTTCTGAAACATCGTCGAGAAGCAGGCGACAGTGAGCGGCATAGTTTAATGCCCGAGCATCAAAAGACGCTGAAGAGACCAAGAATTACTGAAGAAGAGGAGGACCCGATACAACAAGATATGCCCGTATCCTCCCAATATAACGCGCAAGAAAGTCACTTTATATGGAGCAATGAACAACATCCCTTCACGACCTTGCAGAAAACGGGACCTCAACCCTCGCCCATTCAACCTCAAAGCATGAGTGCGGCCGTCGTTACCCCGGAAATTCTGTTGGATCCGATAATCGGAAATGTTCCTGATGTAGCCTATCATGCCACCATTACCGGAGATGGTAATAATGTCGACGAGGATGTTTTATCCTTCAACATCTCAAGTGACCCTTGTCCTTACGTGGTGTTGCAAAATGATGGTAATTACCTCAGGTTTTTGTCTAAAAGCAGCACTTATTAACATTGGTAGGAATGATTCTGAACCACGCGTATCAAGTGTCCAGGCTGGATGCGATGAGGGCACTTCTGGAACCAGACATTGTCGAAGACGAAATTCGTGTCACGATACCTACCATCGAGGCAGCTCGCCCGTTCCTGACGTTCCATTGCTCGCCCGAAACCGCTCTGCGTCTGACAGCAAGATGAAATCAATTCACTTACAATTTACTTGACTACTTAGATAGTAATTTCATTTCTCCGACTTTGCATGACCCATAACACTTCAAAAATTTACCAGCCTCCCATGGTATTATGACAGTATGCTCTTGCCCATCGCTGCCCACTGACTCCACAAACTTGGAGTCAGCCAACTGGTGAATGTATACAATAGCGGGTTCGGAGCCGTGAAAGCTCACAGCTAGAAATACCGTATCTGATTCCGGTGTATAGACTGCGAGATCTTCGAGTGGGAGCCATTCAAAGCTGGAACATGGCTGGCCAGCCTGTGGATTGATACGTAAGGAGTTGTGCTTGTTCGTAGAAGAGTAACTGACCTCTTCTTGGCACCTCGCACTGAGCCTGTCCGGTGATGAAGTCTTTGTCCTTATCTTCCTCATTCTATCGATGGGAATGATACCTCCGGCTTGATGTTCGCACGCGTCTCTCGCTTTCAGGGCAGCGATTCAGTTGGACATATCCATTCTCCTGGGATTGTCTTGGATCTGCTTTAAACATCGACGTGGCTCGTGCAGGCGGATCCCGACACGGAGATACATAATTCCAGCTCCGCCTTAGGCATCAGTCACAAGGCAAAGTCATGGAGGGGTAGCGGGGAAAGCTATGTGCGCAACAAACTACTCCATCCCATCAGCTCTTTCCTTGAAATTTGGCCATTGCATGGCATGCGACAGATCAGATCTTTGGCATCGACGACCCAAGAACTAGGGCATGAATGCGAAAGACATGTATACTGAGGCAATCCCCGTTAACGACAGCCGCTAACAGCGTACAGACACAGCAACGATGTTCAAACTTCCAATGGCGGGACTTCAGAGACGCGCAGTATAGTCCAGGCCGAAACACAGTGATCTTGCTCGTTGATATGCGAGACGCTGTTGGATGCGCGGTCTATATTCATAATGAGAGCGATGGCTTTGTGGACATGGTCGGAATAGAAAACAAAGGACACGTGGTCCTTGTGCCATGGGAGCAGGGACTGAAGATTGTTTGCTATGGGCAATGTACTATTGCTGAAATAACCGCACTCGAAGCCTCCTCCACCTAATTCACTAAATTCACTCAATGCAAGACCTGGTTGTTGCGCTTCAAAATATCAAAGGCACTAGATTAAGGGACCGTGAAGATAACGTACGACTTTGGCGGAACAGGTTCGAGACCTGGCATGATGGGAATCGAAAGCCAGACTTTAAAATCAACTCGAGTAAGTCCCCGAATAGCATCCATCGCATCGATTGGATAAGTTGGCCATCCTTTTATAGGTGTTTCTGTGTCGTGGGGCGGCCCTTCCAGTGGTAAGAAACCGGTCGGTAGTTGGACGTCTGTTCTTCCGATCATGGTGTTGCCATCGACGTCGTCGTCGACTACATCATCGTGAGTTATCCTACGTTGACGTTGGCCATCGCTAGAGCTCGCCTCGGTAGCAGTCTGTGCAGGATCGGTTCCGGGCCTCAGGATCATTGAATCGGATTGTGTGGGACTGTGGATACCTGAGGCAGTAGCTGGTGCCCCAGGCACCAGCTGCCTGATCCACCTCCTGGTTGATCCAGCCCACCGCAGCCACCTTCACCACAACATCACCAACCAACCGTCAACACCAGTCGTATTGCCTCATTGCTTGCCTCGTTGGTCCAGATGTGCAGTGTGTACTGCCCACAGATTGCATAGTATTGCCGGTCAAAACATTTGGCATTGTTTCGAGATTGGCGGCAACTTCCTTAGAACATCCCTTTCTTCTTTTAAAGGTAGTCTCTTCTGGATGCAGCGATGACGACTGGCGCTTTCGATAATTTTGTTCTCCTTGTACTGAATCTGTCTGCTTTTGGAGAAAGTTGTGCACTCGTGCCCGAGCCATTTCTGTGAAGGCGGAGGGAATGTGGTGTTCGTTCAGCCATCCTGACAGCGTATCATAGAACGTTTCAGGTTGCAACGCAGAAAGCGGTGTAATTTGTAGCGCTAAAATACAAAGAAAATAGATGCCGTCTCCAAGTTGCAAGCGCAAATGATTAAGAATTTCTCTTGCTTTCTTGTGCCGGCTTTGGGCGGACTGAGAGTCCGTTGAAAATTGAACGTCGATTACGGGGAGCATTTGGTGCAGATTGCGATTGATTTGAACATCGGTCAAGTCGCCATCCTGAAATCCTGATAGCGTCGGGTTTAGCTTAGCTATGGCCTTATCCATCAAGAAAGATCGGTAAAAAGGTAGCTAGATAGATGGCGAGAAAGATAGATAGGTAGATAGATGGATGGATAGATGGATAGATAGATAGATGGATAGGATTATCTGTGCAAAAAGCTTACTTCTAAGTCAAGCGGGGTAAGGGACATTATCTACTCCGTATACGCACATTCGGTATGGATCCCTAACCGCCCATATCCCATCGAGTGCTGCAAGGCGACAGTACATTGAGATGCGGGGGAGCAGCCAATCGGGCCACTTCGGGCCCCTTTTTCCAACCAACCAACGTAATTGATAATAGATACTTCCAATTACTAGAGATTCTGCGTATGAAATCGGTACCAGCAATCTTCTGAGTTACAGAGAGCTACATCGCACTCGAGGCAGCCCATCCTCGTGTACTTCCGCCGCTGCGGTTGGGTATGGATATTACCACTAATTTCGCCCAGCGCAGTCCTCGCTTTTACTTGCGATATCGTACTACAACCCACGCAAGCAGAATTGGCATTTCTGTGCCCTCGTACGTGTAATTGCCACGGTACTGCCTCGTTCCTTTTGTCTGTTGCCCTCCTTGGACGTCCCCGTCGACGACCTTCTGCCAATGGTCCAAACCTCTGAATTAGGTGGGCAGAAAGCAGTCTACGCCATTCATACTGGTTCTGAACCCGGGGCCACTCAGGATCTCCCCATTGTTGAAGACGAAAGGTATTAATAATAATGACTTCGAGGAGAAAGTTCCAGGCAATTGCCTGCCAACTGCCCCGCCTCACGGGCCGGCTGAAGTCGTAATAGGACCGCATTTGGTCCCCGGTATCTACGCCGTTCATACGGTGATTGTACTCATCGATTGCGAGTGGAATCCGGAGATCCTTCCGCACTTCGGGCCCGAAGACCTCCCGTGCTGCCCTCTTCGCAGCGGTATCTCCAGCCGGCCGTTTGCGGCTTCGTACAACGTCGGATGTCTCTCGGAAGACCGTCGTGAGGAAGAGAACGAGGGCATTATCCTTCCAAGTGAACTGGTTGACCTGGAAGTTATTCCGATGAATGGTTTAGTATGGAATAGCCACTGACAGTGATTTGGGTTAACATACTTTCCCGTCAGCCGTGGAGATCGCGTGTAGTTGACCCCATGGAAGTCCCTTGCCGTCAGTCTCTTTCTCAGTAACCAATGTCTTGTCGATTCCACTATCCTTCCGGCACGTGCCGGTGGCACCGATCCGCTGGTCACGAAGGGCCCGGAAGAGCTTTACTGAAGCAAATAGATTATCAAGAAACACGTGATAAGTGGCCAACGGAAGCAAGGAAAGCAGTGATGTGACCACTCGCTGGGTTGGCGTCAAGGCCGTTCGCCGGGCCTCCTCGTCGCCGGCTGCGGGCCGGGCTTGTGCCACGAGGCCGCAGGGCCCGTCGCCGTGGACGTGCCAGAGCCAGCGGAGGGAGTACCCGGCTTGCGCCAGAACCCAGACCTTGAAGCCGGTTGGGATCGGCTTCGTTGGGATCGTCGTGGTCTCCACTGCCCGGCCCGTGAAGCGGACCATGGCCTCGTCGACGGTGAGGTCGGAGCCGGCCCGGTAGAAGCGGTCGCCGGTCTCTTGGATGTGAGCTGACCACTCATTGACTTGCTGGTACACCTTCGGCATCTGCTTCTCCCGAGGCTGCCCGCGGCGCCGGCCTGCCGTCGACGGCACGGAAGCAGGGATCTTGGCCGGGTCAAAGATCCGGATGCGGCGGAGGAGGAGCTGGAAGCGGTCCCTCGAGATAAATCGAGTAAACAAATGGATAGGATCCTCTGTCTGTTGTGAAGTAGACCAGTATTTAGATATTTTAGTTTCAGGGTGTAAGCCCATATAAATCAAAATGCTCAAAAACAAATAGACTTCGTCTACAGTCGCTGACCTCCACTTGAGACTGCGAGAGTGTTTCTTAACCGGGCCCAGCCTCGCCGAGCGCGGCGCCGCATTCGTCCACTTAACCCACCGACCGACGAGGCTGGCCGGCACGAACTCGAGGAGGAGGTCCAGCGGCTGCGGTGGTAGGCTCCGGACCTCCGCGGGCCGCTGCGGCACCTCGAAGGGCACGAACTGCCCAGGGATACCGGGCTCAACCTCCGGAGGCTCGCGGGGCCGAACAGTGGCATTATCACATTGCTCCGGCGTACAGTCGGCAGTGCAGGCGGCGGCGAGGTCCTCGGGCAGCAGGGCAAAGATACACGACTTCGCCGAGCCCGTGGAACAGCCAGATCCGTCAGAATCGTCAGAATCCATTAATTGAGTATTGGTAATGATGGATTTGGTGGATGTACCGTAGTAGAAATCATAGGGGCAACTCAAGCAGTGGATGTACCAGATGCGGTGCGGGGTAAAAGAGGGCCCCTTATGTGGAGCCAATGTACTGTCGCCTTGCAGCACTCGATGGGATAACCAGGCGAATGATTGGCACTTGAGCCATATCTTCCAGCATGGGGGATGGAGGAGGGGAACGGTGACGAAGACTACCGACACGAAAAATGGCCCTTCTTCTCAGGCATCAACGCGTCCATGACTGCCATGGACAAATCATAGCACGGGGCTTAGCGCGTTCGCCAGGCAGGGCTTGATGTGGCTGAGCATGGAAAGGTGTATCCGTTACTCTATTTGTCAAGCTGCATTTCTGTCACTTTGCTATGGAATGTACCTACCCATGAGCAAAGTGACTTGTATTGACATAAGTCGAAGACAAAATAGAGCTGAAAAGTGTCACAAATCATGAATGATATCAGCACTCGGAATGCCTGCCACATGCGATATCACTATTAATGCAGAACCCAAGAGGTCCGACCGCGAAAGGCCAAGACGGAAGAGCAAACCGCTTCCACACAAAGCAGGGAATTTGGCGAAGAGGTGAGTTTTAGAGCACACGTGTACGCAAAGTTTCATGACCGCGTAAAGAGAATCAAAAGCAAGCAAAGAGACTGAAGCCCATATTGGCTCAGCATGGATTTATTTGACTATTTGTCTTGGCTATTCGACTGAATATTGGCAGTGGACACTGGCACACTGCACCCTCAACCATGGGCGATAGGAGGGCTGTGGCTGTTTCCTGTGATGTACTCCGTACATCATGACCAGAAGCTCTTCCTTGTCGAATTCTGTAAGAAAGCCCGCGTCTATGCTGTTGATGGAAGACGTTGGTGAAATGGAGGTACACAGACAGAAATACCTGATGGAGCTGACGCGCCTCAAACTTCACAACATCCTGAGGTATCTTAAATATCCTGGGTCCCAAATTTCTGTGTCATAAGAAGTCAGAGCGAAGTAGTCTTTCACACTCCACTCCTCCCCATAGCGTCGCTGAAAGCGCTGACGTACTTCTTGATGCGTAAAAGGTCGACTCCAAGCAAATCCTCGAACTCCGACAAAATTCCAACGCCAGCGTTCGCCAAAAAATTTGAACTCGTCGTTTTTTTCGTAGGAACCCTTGGGATGAATTATGCCTTAAACATCAATGTGTCACAAGTTCTCGAACGATTAGGCAAAAGAGAAAACAAACTAGGGTCGCGGATTGCTCGAAGAAGCTTGAGAGGCATCTCTACTATACATTCGTCACAAAAGTTCGAAACAGTATAGAGAAAATTCGGACAGGCAGAAATCCCGGCAAGGCAAGGATATTTATCTATAGTGCTTTTAAGGAGGGTGTAGATTATCACTAACCTTCTTATAGTTGAAATGAATAGGAAAATAAGTTGAGTAGAAATGTGAATAAGTAGATAGACAGATAAATAGGTAGATAGGTGAATAGGTGATAGGATGGATGGAAGGATGGATGGATGGACAGGTAGATAGCCATCCATCCAAAATACGAAGAATGATTAAACGTCGTTATGACTGCCATGTTAGAAATTCAACATACAGCATCAATATGCCGTATGAAGCTAACATGATGAAGTTCGTTTCATGTGTGATTTCTCCCCTCGACATACCGGAGACATGGAGACATCACGGCCCTCAACAGTATCTTCTTAGCATGACACAATACGGACTATGCGAATTTGCCATCTCCGTAGAAGAAGCAACAAACTGTCTTCGAGAAAGGCGCAACGTCACGATAAATGGATCCAGTTCTCTCTTTCGAAGTAGCCCCCACGAGGTTGAAGTGCTCGGCACAGATATAGCACTATATCTAGCTAACAAACGATGGCTAGCCATGGCAATTCCTCTGATAAAGAACCAAGGTGGCAAGGCTTTACTCGACATTTTTCTCTCGAAGCAGTCGACTTTTAATTGCCTCAACACCTCGCACGTCGCCCAACTTCGCTAGGCAGCTTTGTATTGTGAAGTCAAGGTAAGCTACGCTAAAAGCCTGAGGTGTACAACTCATACTGAAGCCGCACAGAAGTCCGGCCACCGACACAGTTTTCTAGGAAAGCTCGCCTTCCTCAATTTCTTGGCCGGATACAACGTAACCGAGCTGGCCGACTGTACCTATGAAATCTTGTTAAGAAGAATTGACAGTTACAGCAGCAGCAAGGGCTATCCTGCCTGTCTGGAGAACCACACCAACCAGCACCCTCATCCGAGACGCTGGCCTTCCTACAGCAGAGGTAGCCCTCGAAGCAGCGCGACTACGCTTCGCTATACGCCTGCAGAAGGTTGACCAACAGCATCCCTTGGTCCCAAGGCTGCTACAGCCAGGGCGGCAACAGACCAGGCTCCAAAGAACAGCTGGCCTGTTACCTAAGTGTCCAAGGCCAGCACTCCTACAGCCGCAATACCTCCCAGGGTCTTATGACCTTATAGTTACACAGACGAAGGATGTAGCAGCTAGGATCTTCCAGGCCTGGCTCAAGACTGTGCCAGGTCAGCATACAGTCGTATACTCAGACGGCTCCAAAGCTCCTGACGGAGCTACAGGGTACGGCTTTAATATCTACCGCAACAATAAACGTATATCCCAGGGCTGCGGCCGTCTCGGCTTAGCAGAAGTGTTTGATGGTGAGGCGGATGGGGCGAGGGCTGGGCTCCGACGGGCCCTTCAGACCTCCCAAGGCCAGCCTATACACATCTGCATCGACAATACCAGCGTTATTCTGGGGATTCGCGGTAAGGCCCCAGACTCCTCACAAGCGGCCTTCCTTGAGATCCAGGAGGTAGCTAGGATACACGATATACAAACCCATTGGTCTCCTGGGCACCAAGGTATTAAAGGAAACGAAGAAGCAGACAGCCTAGCTAAGGAGGAAACAACTCTACCAGTCCTTAGGGGCCAACTAGCTACTCTATCAGGTATCAAGTGGCTTGCTAAAGAGCGGCCAAGACGCCAATATAGACGATGGTGGAAACAAGAGGCAACTCCCCGCTATACCCAACTAGGGCTCAAGGCTACCCTTGCTTGCCCTCCTGAACTTGGCCTCCCTAGGGCTGCCCTTCATCACCTCCTCGCGGCACGGTCAGGCCACGGGGACTTTGAACAATATCATCAACGCTTTAACCACACAGAAGCACTACTCACCTGCTCCTGTGGATGGGTTAAGGAGGCAGACCATCTAGTCTACTGCCGAAAGACCCTACTGAGGAGGCAACAGTGGCCCACCCTCTACCCCTACAGCCGCCAGGAGCCCGTAGGACCTATAGGGTCCCTCGATCGCTACTTCAAGGGGCTAATCACTGACTCTGAAGGCTTCCAGGCCTTCCTCTGCGTGACAGACTTCTTCCAGAAGATCTGCCCGCGGTACTAGGAGATAGGTCATAACCTATCCTCCAAACGACAGACTACCTCTAATAAGAAACCAGATGGTTATAACGGAACTAGGGCACCAGTGGGAACTAGGGATGGATAGAACACATAGTAGCTCACGAGCAAGATTTGGAGGACGTCAGGAGACGGCGTGTACTATATAGTATATAGCTAGAGCTTGCGACCCTTCACGCCACATACCCTTCGGGAGGTCTGCCGCAAGGGCGGCTGCGCCCTTGCCGCCATGGCGTTAAATAGAACAACAACAACAACAACAACAACTCAAAATGACAGTATTTGATAGCAAGTGGAAGATGCTACAATAGTGAGGATGTTTAGAATACAAACTCGTAGGAATCCTCTTTTTTCGACGTCAAAGTAGTTAAGGATACTGTACTATAAAGCCTTCAAATTAACTAGACTCTCCAAGTTTATAGGAGTTTTCTCAGGCTAAAAGAAGTAATAGCTGTAAGTGCTGATGATACTTAGATCCACACATCGCAAAAACCTAACATTACCGCTAAACGGCCGGACCTACTTAAATCTTAATCAATCCAGCAAACCAACCTAGAGCTACTACGAATGCCAAGGCTGCCATCTGATATTCATCTTAATCTTTTACCAACTACGATTACACAGACAAAATATCCTAAAAGAGTTTAGACCATTATAGCCAATCGTGTCCTCACCCGGACGCTAAAAGCTTATTTAAGGCTTACTTCACATCGGAATAGCTTCATCCCTGCTACAACGTTCATTCCCTTAAACATACGAAAGCATTTTGCACATAATAACTCTACCTTTGCTACCTAAAACATAGTCAAGATAAGTATCATCATCCTCTCCTCCATTCGAACATGTAATAGCCATTTTAGGCAATTAGCCACCTTATCGCCGAGGCATCACGCTATTAATCTCGAAGATTTATAAACCGAGTATTTCACCAGAGTACTAGAATCGCATTTAATATCAACAACGAGGAGAATTAGGTCGCTTATTATAGAGATAGCTAATCGTAATAGAAGTAAGTATGCAAACAAAAAGTCTATATTACAAGCCAGCCGGGAGTGGAACGGCTTCCGGTTCCGTACGAGTATTAGACATCAGCGCAAATACCCTTAGGTCCGTAAGCGTCCGAACCCCAAGTTTCCACCCAGGGAACTTTCAGGTATAATAGGCATAGCCCTGGCCTCGAAACTCAAAAGCAATGTTTTATCAATTCGGATCTCATTTACTTAATATTTTCAACTCAACGTCTTACTTCGCCAGCTCAGCCGTCTCAAGGTAAACGGCCACAGGGCAGCTTGAACCCCCCGAGTGCTCTGCAAAAAGCCGTGGAAGAGATAGAGTCCTGATTTCTGCATCATACATAAGGGTTCATAACAAGAAACGCCTGGAGGCCTGGAACAATGAAAAGGTTGGAATGCTCTTCATGATCTTGCACCAAGTCTCATAATGGCAGCAATAACGACTATAGCCCCGTTCTTAAAATGGTGCTTGAGCAAAAGTCCGCGGCATTGTTTCTTTGACAGAAAATTCATCGAGTGTGGAAGGGTCACACCTAGTTATAGAGCGCTTTACCAACTTATGTGACGTTGACTGAGCATGTAGATACATTTCATACCTAGATATTCGCTAGGCCTACCTACATCCGATCTCTGCCAGTCTTGCCTCGAAACCATTCAAGTCTATGTCGAACAACCACCGCGTCCCATCTAGACGGGCCGATTCAGCACCAGCTGATGTCGTCGAAGGCTGCCTGGTCTCTTCAGCAGATCTCTTCAAATTTGTGGCTTGGGTCATGAGAAGCACCCGGTCTATTTTAGTCTGTCGCCAGGACTGCCAGGTCTCAAGGCCAAGGGGCCGTTTCTCCGGGGTCCAATCTACAGAGATGAGCCTTGCTAAAGAGTAGGCATCTTCCAAGGCCTGGTTGAAACCCTGTCCCGAGGATGCTGGCATAGCATGAGCAGCGTCTCCAATGATTATGACATTTCCGGACGATGACGACCAACTAGGCAATTTTGGCATAGTATAAAACGGCCAACTCAAAAGGCGGTTTGAACGGCTGCATAGCTGATCGAGGATGTGTCTTGCCGTATCATGCCACTGATCATAGTCCCTTTGCAGCAGTGTAACCAAGGACTCGGGGCTGGCGGCTAACGTTTGCCAGCCCTCTCGGCCTTGCTCTGGGTGCGGGAACTGTGTGCCGACCATAAGCGTCACACCGTCAGCCTCTTCGGGTACCATAAACAGACTGCCTGGTTTGCCTAGAATCGTGCAGCTGGTAGCGGAGAACTCTTTGTCGGGCCAGTTGACGGAGCTGGTCAGAATGTGTCCATACACGCAAAATATGCCTGTATAAGTGGGAATCAGGTCTGTAAGATAACGCCGGAGGGTTGAGTGTATGCCGTCGGATCCAATCAGAATGGCTGCATGTTCCATCTTGCCATCAACCTGGAATGTGACTACGTCAGAGGTATCGCTGATGACTTTCTCGAATTTGGCATCATAATACACCGGTACACTTTTCTCCGCCAACATTCTCTTCATCTCTTGGAGAAGTGCAAGACGATACAGTCGGTAGGCATGATAATTCTTCGTATCATGAAAAGAAATCGTTCTTGTGGAGATGGTCTGATTAATTCTGTGCTCGAAGAGAAAGCTCTTGGCTTCAATACGGCCAAGAACACCGATTTCGTCAAGGACACGACAACCATTTGGAGTCAGAACGACACCACTGGTGAGAACATCTGCGTCCGCGCTTCTTGCTTCATAAATTCGGCACGGAATAGACTTCTGATCGAGGGCCAAGGCCAGAGCAGTACCCTAGAAGGGGAGATTAGTTCGCCCGAAGCAAGCAAGACGATTTTGCGCAATAACATACGCTCAGACCAGCGCCAATGATGACAACACCGCCTTTGTGGACTCTATCCATTGAATAGACGGGATAAGACAGTCGAGAAATAACCAGCGCATGCGGACGAACTGGTCATTCAGTCTGCCATAGATGAGAGGATGGTCTGCATTTTATATGAAGCCAATCTTCAATCAAACGGCAGGAGGTGGAATGAATTCTGTTGGATCTCTGAGCAGTCGGCAGAAAAGGTGGATCTGGAAGGCGGTATGGGCACTTACAAACGACCCCTTACATACCACTTCTGAGAGGCCGTGGGCTCTGCCCACAACCTCCTCCTTCCACCTCCAGACGCAGCAATAATAGACCATTATTGACACTTCGTTCCAACCGTACGGTTGCCCTGCTGACGTGTATACCAACAAATTCACCGTGTCCGTAGAACAAGGTCTCAATAGGAACTCGGGTGCGTAAACCTACCGATTGACATGTTGAACTCCTGGACAAGAGAAACCGTGGCAATGCTTTGGGAGAACACAACCATTTCAGGCAAGATCTTTTCAAGGAAGATCTTTTCAAGCCACTAAGAATTATCCAATTTGTTTTGACCCATCTTCTTCGAGTCTGTGAAGACAATACATTTACAATCCAGATAGAGAGAATGATTTTGTTCTCAGAGTCTCGAAACAGATTGTGTATCTGCAACATTTGTCGATTGGGGATCTATTAAGCCTATCACTGGCACCCTTGAAGGTTCAAAACTATGATCACTTGTTCGATGTCGTGTGTCTCAGTATTGCAAAAATGTCGGACTTGGGCAGGACTTGCGAAGAACTCCTAAACCCCGGCGCCTTGCGGAAAACAAGAAAAACTCCGACCGCGAACCGCAAACACTACCGTAGCTGGCTAAGTATGTAAACCGAAATGATAAACGGCTATTAAGTAGCAGCATGGTGCATATTGTTATTTGTACACGTGTATTCTTTGCATCGCTCTGAAAGTTTAGAGAATAGTCTGATGCTCGATGAACGTTTAGTTGGAGATTTTGAAGTACCTTATGTTACGGGCCGAGCCCTTCACATGGGATGCTCTCGGCTATGCTCGGCTTGATAGTAAGACATCCAGGTGGATGCAAGGGAGACACTAGGGTAACAGCAGATAAAAGGACACGTAGACCTAGCTAGAGGAACAGGAAACCTTCCCTTCCTCACCTGAGGATTCTCAAATGAGAAAGGAAGTACGAGTTGCAACATTGCTCCTACCGCCCTTGACACCTTAGGGGAGTTCTTGTATCAACCCTTAATATCTCATCTTACTTTACCTACTACCACGGTTCCTTTCAAGTTCATTGACCCCATTAGCGTTTTTTTGTCCATTCAATTACTGACCCCCGGGATCTACTAATGTGTAAAGTAGTGACCTATGACACATGGGTAGTCCAGAAGCGATCAAGTATTCAAGACGGCGATACAGAATTCCGGTGTCGGTCAAGACCATGAGAATTTACACAACAAACACCAAGGCACCGATATCTAATCGTCTCAGTGGGGTACATCGATGGCCTGCGAAGCGCACCATAGGTGAGTGCTACTATTAGATGGGAGCTCAACACTCGTGCACATATGAGTAATTCACTTGTGATACAAATAATATAAAGAAAGACATGCGGCGGAACAGTAGGATTGTACATTTGGATATACTGCTAACGGGCATCATGGGTCCCCTTCCTGCTTTATGGGCCTCTTCGTGAAGGCGTGAAGAGTTAATCTCCTGACGAACCGCACTGGGAGGGTATGATGTCGATCTGTGAGACTGTCAGTAAAAGAACTTTTGGGCGAATTGGTCTCCCTCACGGTGTCAGAAGCCAAGTCCCAGCGTCGGCTTAAAGGGATGTTGAACAAGGTTCTGTATTTCAATGTTAGCTGCAAGTTCTCAACCAACAAGAGTGATTGGTCGGACGTACGGTGCCGATGCTCTGCCGAACACTGCCCAATGTGCCTCGGCTCCGTAGCAGTACTCCCAAGCAATGGTGTCGCTGGTACCGCCGCTGCCCCATAGGCGAGCAGAAGCCTCAACTCCCATGTCAATCTATCTTGTCAGTCACGGATTCTCGGAAATTCGGAGCCCGTCGCTTACTGCGGCATTTGGAACACCTAGTTCGCTGTTGAAGACAATTCCGAAGGTAATCATGGGGGTACTGTGTCGTTCTGGATTAGACCGCGAAAAATGCCAGTGCTTGGAGCGCCGAGGTAACTTACACGACGGCCTCTACCATGCCCTCAGCATGCAGATTGTATGAAAACTGCGGTTTTGTGCTGTTGGACTTTCCTCTCTGCTCGTTTTCGAGATCCGCCTTGTCCTTCTTGTCCTATCAGTATGTGGCAACGAGTTAGTAATATGCAACTAGCTATGTTGGAACATGCACCGGGAAGAGATATTTACCGGATTGAACGGATCTGACCATTCTTCCTTTGGCGGGTATTGCTGCATGAAGTCCCATTTCGCCACCTTGTAGGATATTCGCGCGTTGCTGATCTAGTTAGCTAGGGAACGCGTATCATATGTTTCCACGACTTACGCATCGATTGATGCCTTTCCGTTCAATTCCCCTATCAGCCGGAACTGAGGGCCGCAAGTCAATATTCCCGGGATCTTGAAGCTTGCACCCAGAGGGGCAAGTCCTGTGAATCATGTTATCGCCTGAAAGTCATGGCACAGACAGTGCGCAGTGAACCACAATGGGGGAGGTTCTTACCAGCAAGTTCGGCAGGCCCAGTACTGAATCTTAGCTCGGCGTTCGCTACAAAGTTGAAGCTGGCCTCAACATCGCCCCTGTTTCGGAAGGTTGCGTGGGACTGATCGAAAGATTTGAGGTTGGACAAGTCGCCAATGAGACTGATGACGGCAGAAGTGTCAACGTTGACGGTCAACTCAGTCCAGATGTGAGCAGACACGTCCATATTGGGGCACGACTTGCTGTCTCTGAAAAGATTCCAGACAAAAGTTTCACGAACGCTATGGCGGACGAGGTCATAGTCGAGATCGACCTCCTTCTGCTTGTTAATCCAGTCTACAGCCCACAGAGAGAACCAACGCTCGTGAAGGAGGTGCTTCTCATTTTCGGGGGTGGATCGCTTCTCGATACGCCACCTGTGCTCTAAGTAGCTCTCCCACGAGCCACCGTGTTCTTCGTCGACTTCCATGGCAACGTCTCGCTTTGTCTTGCCGGGAGGAGAGGCTTTCAGCAGAGTTAACGTCTTTCATCTCACGCGAAGTGGTTAAAGAAGGGGAAACCCCAATCAATACTCACCAACGATATCGTTCCAGTAGCCCGGATTGTCGCTATAATCAACCCGCAGTCTAATTTTGTTGTCCTGGCGGCCTTGAAGAACAGAGTAGTCATAGTCGAAAGTCAAGTTGTAGACCTTCGGCTTTTCGAATTTCATTCCTCTCTTCTGGAGCTTCCTTTTCACTAGCTTAGGCAGGGTTACCGGGACATCATCATTCACTAGATCGATGTCGACCGCCAGAGCATACTTACCAGGACCGCAATGGTCCGGCATCTCAAGGACAGTGTTGGGCACACCGCCTTTGAAAAGAGTAGCGCAGTTGCTGTCCTCTGACTCGTCGGTGCATACCAGTTTGGCATGTTGCCGGCCATCGTGGAACTCCTCATCGCAGTCAAAGACCTCCCAGTGCGAGCCGTCGCGCTTGTCGATGCTGCTGATCTGCTCCTCGGGCCCCGACATAATGTGCCAGCCAAAGGAGTTGAGATTGGGGTTGTCGCTACCGCTCCCGGACTTTCGACCTCCCATGGTCGGGTCGACCTCGACACCAAAGGATTGCTCGTCGGATTCTGGAATGTCGTCGGCGTCCGGGAATAAGTTCTCCAATGGCACAGGGAGACTTTTAAGCTCTACTTTGAAGGCGTCGCGATCGCAGCACAGGCCTGGCCAGACGATCTGCTTCTGGCCCTGCATGTTGTGGATGTTCTGGGAGCCGGGGACGGTCCACTCGCAGTTGCGACCGCCACCCTCTGCGTGCGTGCCAAACTTGACCTCATTCTGGTGGCACTCGGGGTTACATCGGTCATTCATGTCGTTTCGCCATCGACAGGACGATGTGTCGATATTGGTATCGCAGCAAAGGGACTCCCAACGATTTTTCTTACACTTGCCCTTGCGGAACGTGGTGAACTTCTTCCCGGTACCACATGGATCGTTCCCATTGGGCTTAGGTTTCAGAATCTCGCTCTGGTCGACCTCGATGCAGTTGCCCTCATCCCATTTACAGAGTTGTGTGCCACCGTCCTGGATCTTGCAGCAATAGTCCGCGTCGCCCTCGAGGCAGGCGTCGTGCTCTCCCTTGTCGTTGATGTAGTATTGGCTCGTGATGATACGCTCCTCTCCAACGTCGCAAGAGTTTGTGGACTCGCATATCAAGCCCCAGAAAAGGTTGGGTGCGCTCCACCGGCAGGTTTCTGGGTCTGGAGAGTTTGCCAGGGGACAGCATAGGTTGATCATGGGATCCTTCGCCTTAGAGTTTCCCCTGCGAGCGCAACGAACGGTAGTTATTGTGTTCGTTCCGGTGGGACAATTATCCTCACAGCCTAAGCACTTGTAAGCTGCAATGCTCTGCAATGCGCAATGTTTCGAGCTGGGGCAGTTCTTACCTGACCAGAAGCAACGTCCGTCAAGGTCAACCTTCTTCCAATCAGACCCGTCTGCGCCAACCCCATTCCTCTTCTTGAACTTTCCGAGGCCGTCAGGCTGTAGGACGGCATTCAAAAGGTCGTTATCCAAGTTGTCTTGATCGATGGCCCAGATGAAGAGTCCTCGAAGTCTAAGGTACGTATAATACCACTGTTAGTGTGAAAAGAACGATGCAGCAACAAATCTTTGCGACCCACCCTAAATCATTTGCAAATTCGACTTTTTCTCGAATCGTTTTCTCGTTGTCATATGATACCCACTGATCGCCTCGGTATCTGAGACAACTTCATTAGAGATACAGCTTCAGACCAGTTCCAGCGAGTCACACCTACTTGAAGTACATGATCTTCTCCTTCTCATCGTAAATAGGAGTTGGGCTGTTACTATCAATAGTATACTCGATATCTTGATACGACATGTAGCCGCCAGTTCCCTATGGTTGTGTGAGCCATCGACCAATAAGTCCCTACACCCAAAGATACATGGGTCTCCAAAAAGGCGAAAGCAGCACCTACAGAGCACTGTCCTGCCGTTCCGGGGTCTGCGAAGGGACAACCGGGAGTATCGCAGTCTGGATCTTCTAGCTTGTATGTCCGGCCGTAAAAGGCAAGACCCAAATTCACCTTGTTAGCTGGCACGCCGTTTCTCCACAAGAGATCGAGGCCATGCTTTATCTCAGTCAGGTTAGTATGCGCGTAAACATACGGCCCGATCCAGTCAGAGTCCTCGTCCCAACTTCCGTGACTGGATTATGATGGCAATCAGTTGGCTGTTCTTCGACTCTACAGGAAGGCAACCAAGAATGCGACTTACATATCATAGGTCATCAAATTCACCCAATCAACATACGGCATGACGGCACCAATGTCAAACCAGCGCATGTACCAGTAAGAGGTAGGCGCGGTGAAAGAGACGCCCAGGCCCTTGCCATCGGCCTGAAAACGAAACCAGATGTCCTTCATTAGGAGAACAAAGTTTTGAATATCTCGGGTCTGGCCACCGCGGTCGGGTGCACCAGGGTATTCCCAGTCGATGTCAACTCTGTGAGCGTGTTGCCATTAGCATTGTAATTAATCAGACAGAAGGAAGCAACTTGAAACTCACCCATCGAACCCCCACTGAGCCCCGAGGAAAAATGATCAGCATGTATCAACCAGATATTGTCGAAGCCACTGACCTCTGTCATGAATCGGAGAAGCTTATCAACAAATTGGCTTCGCTTCAGTGCAGTGCTGGAAATATCGCCAAAGACTGGCTGTGTGTCGGTACCGTTGTCGCTAAATGTCCAGCCTCCCAGAGCTAGCCAGACCTTGAGACCGGGGGCGCGTTGTTTAAGGTTTGTGACGTTCTGGAAACCAGCGATGGTGGCCCCACGTATAGGATGGATCTCGTAGGTGTCTGGTTTGATGAACCCAAAGGCCACGTTAATATGCGTCATTGAGTCGAAGCGAATGTGACTAATATCTCGTTGGGAGCAGCCTCTTCGAAGGAGAATCCAGCTTTCGAAGTAACCAATAACAAGGTCGCGGACATCGCCATCATGACCCGTAGTGACTCCGGGAACTTCGCAGTTGCTCTGGCACCCATCACCGCAGAAAGACTATTTATGGAAACCGCATGTTAGTTTCATGTGAATTGGGGAGTGAAGATGCCTTCATGATCTTTGTGAGGGACATTACCTCGGTGGTGCCGCAGTTTCCCCATTTGTTGCAGCACACTCTCAGAGGGCACTCTTTGCCGGGCGGATCCGCGTAGGCGCCACAATCAGCTTTGGAATCGCAGTCGGAAACGCAATCAGGACCACAATGGTCTTCCTCGTATCCACACTGCAATATCATTAATGAGAGTCCGGAAAGCGTTGTCCATTTTCGAAAGAAATCATGCTACGTACAAAGCCACTACCTCGAGATCAGCCCAGTGCCAACAATGTAAGCATAGGGAGACAGGAAGACATACCTTTTGCCGTTACAGCATGCCGTGGGATTTCTGCATGGATTTTCATTAGAGCATCCGGTCTGACGTTCTGAAAGAAGATACCCAGAAACAGATGGATTTGGGGACACGGGCGTCAGGCTTGAGCAGAAAGCAGATAGCGTAAAGAACGACAGCAGAAAAACTATAGCCCGCAAGGATAGTAGCCTCGTTCGAGGCGGATCAAGCGCGGTAGGTAATTCCATATTGGAGAAGTTCAGATGGTCTGAAGGACTTGACACAAGAGATTTGCTGAATGAGTGGCATGAACATTTGTTTGTAAAAGACTTGGAAAGGGGTTTATTCAAGCGTGGGCGGTAGGATAGTATCCTTCTCGGCTTGATGATTTCTATTACTGCTTGGGTACGATGGAGAGACCCGAGACGCAATGTGATAAGTCGGTTCCCGGGGTTTGATGGTAGGCGATATCGCAGGCTGGCTTACCCAAACAAGCTATGAACCGACATCGCCACGTTCTTGGCATGCAGAATCACGGAGCGTGAACGGATTTACCAGGCACCCATTTCCACGAGGCCAGGATGACACAATGTAACGATGGAAATAGGACTTGTACCTCTACATCGTGTCGCTGGTGGCACTTCCCGCCAAGATACTTGGCGTAAGCTACAGCAATGTACACTGCAAGGGCCGGCAACAGGGCCACTTGAATGTGACGTCGAAGGTCGAAGCCATGAACGTCAGGTCATTCACTAGATTACCTGGAACAGTAATACCCCGTGAGATGATCCTCAGAGGGGAAATGAGGTGCCTGCTCACTGATCGTTATTTGGAGTCTGCTAGCGGTAAGGGATTGCACTTCCTCGATACTGCCTTAGAGATTGAGGACTCTTCGACTTGTACACTCCCAAGCCCTCGAAACCGAGTCTTCTGTTTTCTCCCAAATTTGTCTATTGTTTCTTCACTCTTGAGCAGAAATGGTTGTTCTTGCTGCTTTTTTGGCCCTTATGGCTAGCCATATTCCCGTGGCAGTGGGTCTTGTCTATCTTGCCAACATCACAAACACTCCGGAAGGCCTTTCCAGCTCCTGTATCCAGGTGCTGAATCAAGGAGTCGACTGTGACGCTGTGATTCTGGACATTGATGCAGCGTTCTACGAAACTGATGCGGTATTGGAATCTTTGTGCACAACCGCTTGCACTACTGCTCTCACGACGTATCAGCGGAGAGTTGCCGGTGCATGCGGCACCAGCAGGTATACTGACCATGAAGGATGGTCGTATCTAGCTACATACGACTTTCAAGAGCGCTATGAGGCGTACCAAGCTGTCTGTCTCCAGGACTCGTAAGTTCATGTTAACTTGCCTTTGCAGCCTCGGCATTTATTGCGCTGACAGTTCCACACTAACTCTCTCTGAAGGTCTGGTCGAAGATGCAACGCCGCGATTCGTGACGCTCTTCACATCGATCCAGATGCGATGACAACTTCAGCGGCCCCAGGTGGATTGAAAATTCTTATGACCAATCTGCTGGCCGAGACTGACACAAATGAGTACAGAGCCGACTCTTGCCTGCGACAATTGTTTCCTCTCGAGCATTGCGTTGCGCATTCAACAACCCCTTGCGACTGACGACTTAATGGCATCGAAGTTTTCTTCTTTAACTGCATCTTGCGGTAGCACTACAATAGCCATTACAACTCCAGTAGAGTCAACCTGGGCAATCCCGTCAGTCGCTTCCCTATCACAATTGAGTTATCTATGGAGATGCATGATCTTAGACTGATTTCACCCCATTTAAAGCCCGACCTCTGAGTCTACATCAACTCCCGAATGCTTGGGAACCACATACACGATCCAGTCTGGTGACACCTGCTTGAGCATTTCCAAGAGCCGTGGTGTCAGTACCTCGCAGCTCCTGGCTGCTAATCACCTTCCGGCGTTCTGTTCCAACTTCCCTCGTACTGGAACGATCTGTATTCCCGACAGCATCTCCTGCAAGACGTACGAGATGGTCAAGGGCGACAAATGTCGCGACGTAGCGTCGAAGAACGACATCAGCTGGACACAGGTCGTAACCTGGAACCCTGAGCTCGGCGAGGCTTGCGAATACATTGATAACTTTGCGTCCAGAGGCTATATTCTCTGCGCCTCGAATCCCGGAGGATCCTGGGTGCATCCATTCCCCGAGGATGAGGTCGACATGCCTTTGCCAAAGACAACCGCCATCCACCCGTGAGTTTTGTTTCAAGTCTAGATTCACTATATGAGTTGGCTAACATCGTCACAAAGCACACCGACTGTGGATTTCGAGACTTTTGAAGCAATGCCGAGCCCAACACGCGCAGATTTGCTTCCTAACCTTGGCACGCTGAAGCCCTTGGCGAACGGAACACGTAAGGACTGCGCAAACTACGCAGAGGCGCCGATTGAGCTGAACGCAACAATCACATATGACTGCCAGGATGTTGCCGAAATCTACGACGTCAACGTGGACGAACTCAAGCAGTGGAACCCAGATCTCGCAATCACGCCCGGCCTTGAAAGTGCCTGCGAGCTCCAAGGTGGATACCGCTACTGCGTTGCGCCCGACGAGCGCCGTTGGCCAGATATGACAGATTACTGCATCCGGGAGACCATTGCTGAGCCCGGGTGGAGTTGCGCGGACTACGCTTTCTGGTTCGGGATTAATTCAACACACCTAAACGAGTGGAATCCGAATATTGGGGAAGAATGCGAGAACTTCCGCGCAGGTATGTTAAATTTCTACGGTAGGTCCGCCCAGCTAGCATTGACTGACTTGAGAAACAAGGTTACACGTTCTGTACGGGCGTCAAACGTTTCCGCCCTAAAGGTCAGACATCTACCATCACGGCATGTGGGTTTTGGGGCAAACATCATCTGATTATCTACTAGGTCAAGTCTCAAGCTGCACCCGTTGGGTCATTGCAAATGCTACCGAAGGTAGATCCAGCCTTTCTTCCGTCTCTTCGCTGTCAATCCCCGACTAATGGAAACTTCAACATACTTAGTTGGCGTCAATCCTTGTGATCAGTATGTGAACAACATCAAAATTCCACAGGCGCGCTTCGTAGCATGGAACCCCTCCGTGGGATCGGATTGTGAGTTTCGGTCTGAGCCGATGGTACCATCATTCCTGATCACTAACTATGCGTATTTATCATAGGTTCGGGGGTTGTCAAGAACTATGACTACTGTGTAGCCATTCCGTCCTGGCAACCGCCAGTGTAGGCAAGATTTGTAAGGATTGCCTACCAGAAGCAGAGAAAATGGCGAGGCCTGGGGAAAGGATTTGGGGTGGAATTGCTACGGCTGACTGCTTTTCTGACTGTTTCATTGACTTGGTAATCGATTTTCATTTTGTCGCAGCGCCACACGTGGCGATGCCGATTATTGCTGCACGATACTACTTTCCACAAGCTGGCCGATTGCCCGTCTCGTACGGTATAATATATGTAGATTTGACCCTATATTTGGGTCTCCTAGGTACCTTGAGAAAATAAGCCACTTTCTACTATATATGTCTTACACTTGTCACTCCGCTTTGTGATTAATTTTGCATTTACCCTATGCGATTGTCACTCTTTGAAAATTTGCTGCTATGTGCCGCAACAACTCAACTTGGCAACTGTCCGCCTTAGAACTCGGCACCAGTGGGCTTGTTGTCTCACACCACTCGACAAGAGCATTTATCAGCTTCTCGCATTCGAGTCCCACTTCCCCCCTTACCCAGCTTACGTTGTCATCAGGTTACATCGACAGGCAAGGTCTTGAACTTGAACATAGTCGCTGCCTGGCTTTGGCGTTGGTCCAAAGTGGAAACCCCGAGAACCCCTGAAGGTCGAATTCGATGAGCCATTATAACGGTCAGCCCTACCCTTCTGGGTCAGTAAGATAAGATTGATTGACAAGACGCTCAGGTCATTATCTGCAGGGGCTTAAAGCTAGGAAAGAAGGATACTCAGCGTTCCTGGCACGATGGTTACCGGACTAAGATGGCAATGGGGAATGCATGACTTATCAGACGCTAGTCCGTCGCCACAGTCAAAAAGTAGTTGGCCTTCTCTCGCACCGTGATCGGCACGAATCAAGTCATTAATGCACATCTTGCCTAATACCATGCTCACTGCTTCAGTTGGTAAAGTGTATAGACTTTTATGATCGTTTGGCGATTTGACCATCAGGTCTCATTCCCGAGACAAGCCCTCAAGCCATTCCGCCAGATCCACATGTCCGTTGTTCCTCGCAAATCCTGCTGCGTTCAACCCTGTTATGTACTCCACCACATCAGCTCGGGCTCCGTGATGGAGTAGAACATTCGCAAGCGCTCGGTCCCCTTTGGAAGCTGCGACCTGTAAGCCGGTCATACGAGGCGTCCGTTTCCTTCCCGGCAAGTCATCTTCCCATGCATTAGAGTTGAATGGGGCGTTGACATCTACACCTTCAATGGACTCAAGAGCGAGTCTCATGATGTCAGTCCGCAACTTCCCATCCAATGTGGAAGAGTCGACAACGCTACCCACCAAGCCCCCAGACTCCCACTCGTACAAGTCACGGCCCGATGGTCTGACTTTGGTCCCGGGAAATACTGTGAGGAAGTCGAGAGCTTGGTCAAGAGATTTGCAACCGGCCAGATAATCACCAAGCGACGCCACGTCATAATGAAGTCCCCTCGAGGCCAATGCAAGATGAAAGTCCCTAAGCTTTGGGCTGCCGAAGGTGATACTATCGTCTCTTTCAACCGCAGGATCTTGGCTGCGTATCCCATGATGTAGGAACCGCTGCGTTTCTGAGTTCACAGGATCATGGACCCAGCCGAAATTTAGGATATCAGTCCACATGCTTATCTCGTCTGAAGCGTTGCTTTGCTCCTTCGGGGAATGCTGGTGTATCACTGCCCAATAAGCGGTTCGCGGTTGGAGCAAAATCTCATTCAGAAGGTCAAAGGTAGACCTGATGGGAGGCCCTGGCAACAGACGAACAAGGTGCCTAAACAAAAGGGTGTGTCGCCTCGCATAGCAGATGATGAGTAAAAGGTCGGCAATTTCTGGTAGCCCCCCTGAGGAGTCGATCCATGTCTGGTCCTCTCGCGCAAGCCGATCGAACTCCCCTGGATCGTCTGTGGTCCATGATATGAAAGCAAGACGTTTTGCGGTAGCGTAGACTTGGCGTGGAAAGGTTCTAGTCAGCTGGCGTTCGAGGAGATACCGCGTGGAAAACTCACCTGGTTCTTCCAAGGGGACAAAAGTCGGATCGAGTTGCCGTGCTTTGACAGCCCCTGCAAAGAGGTCCAGTTCTAGAAAGTCGCCGATGTCTTCAGGCGGCACATCCCACTTGTGCTTTGCCGCTCCTTTCTTCAAGTGAGATAGCACGCCATCCAAGTAATCCCTCAGCGCGAGGTCGCCGACTGCATATTGTGTGGCCAGACGAACATAGCAAGTTTCCGATGTATCAGCAAACTCGTTCCTTATTTCGAAGTTCCAATCTCGGGAAGAGCGCAAGGAAACTCTGAGTCCTGATCCCTCAGGACTTTTGTGAACCTCCATGATAGGCGTCAATGATTCGTTGGAATGTGGAAATTAGCATTCGGATACTCACTCTCGGCGCGCAATCAAGATTAAATACTAGCGTAAGCCTGTGACCGGTCCCGCTTAAGGTCACCGTTTAACAAAGAAATAGGGCTGAAATGAGATGTGAGAAGACAACGAACGAGTCGCATGAGCGCTTACCCCTTATCTGCGATTGGTCTGCTTCGCGAAGGAAGCGGGGGGCTCCCCGCATCGTGGGGGCCATGCAGCCGTTCATCTTTCCGTGCTCTTGGCGTTCCGTTCCTCATGGATTTGATGCAGGGCTGATGTCCCGACTGCGTGACCAAATCCGGCCATAACCTCCGTCCGCATTAGTCTAAAGTTTCGTGCCGGACGGTGCCCCGGAGTTGGAAGTGGAGCGATGGCTCACGAAGGATCGGGCCCCATCCTGCTCGGCGGGAAGCTGAACTTATCACCTTACGTTGAGGCAGCCATGAGGCACAGGTCATTATAGTTTATGTGAGCGATGCGAATGAAAATTGGCTCCAACTGTGAACAGATCGAAAACCCGTCATTCTATTTGATTCGATGGCGTGATCTTGTCACGCATTACACTCGCACGAGAACGCTGACAGTGATATGGAAAACCGAGCAGGTACGTTTAACATGATGGAATTAACGATACATCAAGGAGAGTAAGAAAAAGTAATTCGGCCGCCCTGGAGAGAGTCGCGATGGAACTCATCCCTGTAAACTTCTCTTATTACCACCCATTGCTTCCATAGGATCCAAACCAGTCCTGGCCCAGTCCCTGAGAACCGAGTCCGTTACTCTGGCACATGTTGGCTCGGGCCTGCAACCTAGAACGTCCAAAGACGTCAGACGTTTTGTTTTCCGATTCAAGATCTCGTCTAAACTTTCTTGAGGGTCCAAGCTCAAATGTCTTGATGTTTGTAACTTCCCAGGCTTCTTTGGTGTTGGAGTCCAATGCATATAGCTTTGCTTCTCCCGTATTTACCTTGCGCTGGAGAACGGGACGCTCGTGAGACCAGAAGATGTTGTTGAAGCGTGCGTCTTGGTGCTTCTTGCCTGGCTCGTAGAGGGCGAGCTCCGATGGCGTCTCTGTCATGATGATGATATCTCCGTAGCATGCTTCAGCCATGGACTGCGACATTTGCTGGAAATACCGAATGCTCGGCGGCACTACTCCGGGAGGTTTAGTCGCCTCGAACTCTTCCTGCTTTTTCCTGACAGGATCCAGCCAGCTTCCAGGCGTAAACATGGCGTAAAAGTCTCGAACACCTGAGTGACTGGATGCATCAAGGCTGTTGGGAAACAAGTTCTGCAAGGGATCACTGATTAGTTTCATCACTCTGAGGGCCTTGAACTCCTTTCTAAGGGCCCGGGAAAGTTCTTACCCAGATTGTGTAGCGGTCTTTTTGAGACTCTCCGCATGCCCATTCTGTGGCAGCAACGGATAAACCTGTAGCTGCTCCAACAGTAGTGACTCCTTTCGAATAGAAGACACATGTGTCGGTAAGCGCTGCCTTGTCACCCTTGACGTATCTGAGGAAGGTCTGGGCAGTCATGTGTTTGAGAATAGCCTCTGAATCCGTTTCATCGAGGGCAGTTCCGTCGCTCTGAGTAGGACAGAAGACACAATTCGACAAATCGAACGCGGGGCCCAGATTCATGTACAGCATATCTGGCTCCTCTACCCTGACTGACCATGCATCATCGTCGTTCCTCGACGGGATGACGGGCTCTGGATAGCGAGGCACGGGCGAGCGCTTCCTTGGCTGTCGTCGAAATAGGGGTTTTGCCTGGCTCGGTCGAGGGTCCTTCGCGACATGATCGCTGTACTTCAGATGGGTGCCACGCTTAAAGCCATCATGCAGGCGGATTGTGGTATCGTCGAATTTGAAACAAGAGACCGTAGAGACTGACAGAAGGACGAGTAAAAGAACGGTATGAATCCGTAGCGACAGAAAGCTGGCCATGGTTTCGAAACGATTGACAGTAAACACACTCTAGAGACCGCGCCTAGTAGCTTTTGTGCATGTGTGTGAAGAAGAATTGAAGCATGAAAAACGATGGTCGTAGCGAGCGTGGGCCGGAAAAAGCGATTGTCATTGACTAAGTAGAAACAAAAAGTAAAGGGGCTGGGTTCAAGACACAACAACGGAGCGACCTGCAAGAGACTTGAAATGAAAGTCGCCAACGGCCATTTCGTAAGCCAACTGATGGGTGCCTGGGGATGATGGATGTGCTAAATTTCGCAGACCAAGCCAAGATAACAAATTACGGGCAGCATAACCTCATTACAGTACTTTGCAGCGCGCCGTAGAAGCTGCTGCAACTTGGATTGAGGCGAAGTCAAAGATCTTACAGTGGTGCTGGCTTCCAATTCTGGTTCACGGTACCTCAACTTCTACTTGAACGAATGCGCTAACTTTAAACTGACATAGCTCCGAAAATGAATGCAGAAATTAGGACCGTGATCAGATGTGTGATCACTTATGGCGGGGTTCATCAGTTCAAACTATTGAGCTTGTAACGGTACAAGATCCATTTATCAAATGCCTGCCTCGCAGGGGTTCATGTTCGTGATGACTTGCCAAGGTGCCCAGATATAAGCTTCCAGGCTCAGAGTAAGATCACCCCCTGCCTGATGCAGGAGCAGTGATACCATGATTGGGCACACCTCTTTATGAGCCATCCCGTTCTCGCATGCAGCTTGCATGTGCCTCGAACACCTTGATCCTTCGAAGGCGACCTCATACGAGGTTTTCTTGGCAAAGAAACAAACCATAGGCCCCATATGGATAAGTCCTAGAATCCGGCTTGGCGCTCGGAAGCTTCGAAGATTGCTACTCTGTTAGGAATCATCAAGGGCTTCAGGAATCAGGAGACCCAGTGATAGCATCTGACGGGCCGAAGGATCGGGAACAGGACAACCCAATTTGAAAGGGTAGGATGAACATTGGCGTTGGGACTATTGATGCATCCGTCGGGCGGACGATAATTTCAATGTAGGCTCGAGATCACATCTCGTCTGTCCAAGTGAGCGTGGATCAGAGCTTTGTGATCATGTGTTCGAGAACATGGTTGCCTAGATATGTTTCTCTGCAATCTTCACGATGAGCTGACAGCGCAGTTGCGAATACAAAAGGACAGGCTTCTCAGCCACCGCCGAATTTTGATTCGCAACAGGATCCATCCTTTGGTAATTGCACCTCTGTTTCGCCCAAACGTGGCCTTACGCTCCTTTTCCTCCATATCTAAGATCAACGTTCTTTCATATTTAAACTCGTCCATATCTTGACTCAATTACCGTAGTCTATTTCAAAAATGAGACTTCAGTCCTTTATCGTTCTTGCGGCCCAGATTTCGTGGTTCGTCATCGCCCAGTCATGGGATGTCGAGCCGCCTTCCACCGCAGATCCAAGTACACCGTCAGACTGCACTTGGTGGCATGTTGCCCAAATTTCCGAGACTTGTGAGATAATTGCAACGTCTTACGGCATTGAAACATCAGAATTTACCTCATACGTAAGTGCCAGCTACATTTTCCCCTCCTGCAAGACATTCAAACTGACAAGACAGAACCCCTCACTTGCCACGGCTTGTGAGCTTGTGACTGGAAACTCATATTGCCTGGAGAGAAACTGGGGGATTCCTCCCGAAGTGCCTGTTACTACTAGTACCAGTGCCGCTTCTACACCCACCAGCGATCCCGGTAATGGAGTTGTTACGCCGACTCCAATCCAGGATAGCATGACGAAGGACTGCAATAAGTTCTATTTTGTAAAGTCCGGAGACGGATGTGCAAACATTGCCAGCAGCAATGGCATTGCTCTGACAGACTTCTACAGTTGGAACCCATCAGTTGGGAGCACATGCGCCGGTCTCTGGGCTGATGTGTATGTCTGCGTCAGTATTGTTGGCGGTGGAACCGTCACGACCCAGCCCCCAGCGACGACAACCGCTCCTGGCAACGGAATTTCTACGCCGACCCCAATCCAAAACGGTATGACGACTAGTTGCAATAAATTTTACTTCGTGAAGTCAGGAGACGGGTGTGCTGCCATCGCCAGCAGTAACAGCATCGCCCTCTCCGACTTCTACTCCTGGAACCCGACTGTCGGTGATACCTGCGGAGGACTTTGGGCTAATGTCTACGTTTGCATTGGCGTAATTGGCAGCAGCGGTCCTACAACTACGACCTCACCGGCATCAACTACGACAGCTGGAAACGGTATATCTACCCCTACGCCCATCCAAGAGGGTGTGGTAGACAACTGCAACCGCTTCTACATGGTGAAGACTGGAGATGGCTGTGCTTCTGTCGCTTCCGCCAACGGCATCTCGCTGTCCGACTTTTATAAGTGGAATCCCGCCGTGGGTGACGCTTGCGCAGGCCTCTGGGCTAACGTCTACGTCTGCGTCCGTGTGATCGGGTACACATCCCCAGTCACCACGACGACGCCTCTGCCTACCACGACTACGGCACCAGGCAACGGTATCAGCACCCCAACGCCAATTCAAGAAGGCATGGTCGGTAACTGTAACAAGTTCTATAAAGTCAAGAGCGGGGATGGTTGTGCAGCAATTGCTTCCAGTACCGGGATCGCTCTCGCAGACCTGTACACGTGGAATCCGGCCGTCGGCAACACGTGCGCCAGCTTGTGGCTAGACACCTATATCTGTGTTGGCGTCGTTGGCTCAACACCTACCACTACTCTGGCAACAAGTACCAGAGCTGGCAACGGTGTTGCGACGCCCACGCCTATTCAGGAAGGCATGACCAATAGCTGCAAGACATTCCATCTCGTCGTCGCTGGAGACACGTGCTACGACATTGCGGCCAAAGCGGGTATTGCACTGAGCAACTTCTACGCCTGGAATCCAGCAGTCGGCAGCAGTTGCGCAGGACTTTGGGGACAGTACTATGTCTGCATCGCTGTACTCTGATGTGCCATCGACCTGCAAAAACAACAGTTTTGAGAAGGTTAGGATAGGAGCAAGGTTGGGGTGGGAGCAGACCATAGAATTGGGAGTGCGCCGCATGAGGACCTGGCATGTTTGATACCGCTTTACTTCTGTGTATAATTACTAATTGGTTAGAATTGAAGACTTGACCGACGAAGAGAAAAAAGACCCATATCAGCGCAGATCACTCGAAGAGAGTCTCACTCTTTCAATGAGCCAATTTATAAATTACGGCGTAAATCTAAATAGAGGATGCGTATGGCCAAGCCCTCCAGCCTCGTTCTGTAGTCGATGATCTCTAAGGCCATTTACCCGCTTCTAATTCTCTATCTTTGCATAATATATGTGACCGACCGCGGCGACAAGTAACAGACAAGCTGCTACCATGTTGATAGTGTGACCAGCAGTGAAGCCAGGAGCGTCGGTTGCTCTGTACGTCCACGTAGATAGAAGTTGGCCACAGCTACACAGGTCAGTTTCAGACGCTTTTCCAGAGCCTGGAGTGCGACTTACCCTCCAAATCCAATAACGTATGTCCTTACGGAAAATAGCTGCAACGATCCCATAGAACAAGTGGCACAGATCAAGCCGACGGATACCATTTGAGTTGGCACATGAAGCAAAGCTCGCTGAAACGTTGTCCTGTCCATCTTCTCTGAAGCCACCGATCTGGCCTCCTCAAGGAGGCGGGTTGACGCATAAGTGTCGGATTGGAAGTCCAATTCGACCGCGGATAAGGGCAAGAGCATGGGCCACCTCGAGGTGGTACAATTAGACCGCGACTACCCAACCAAACTACGGTTGGAATCTCCCTTTTACACCTTATACAGAATCAATCAATACAGAGATATTAATACTTCGTCAACCCCAGGACCCTACGGTTCGAACCAACTTCCCTATAATAGGGATATTAACACTGATCAATAGTTAAATTCTACTATTGCAGATCAGTAAGGCATCTCACGGAAGCAGAAGAGACGACCCTCTAATACCGAACGGAATAGAGGAATCGTGCTCCCTTGACCTCTCGAATCTCACGAGAGGAGGCGTCCATCACGTCAGCAACGCCTTCAATGGTCGACCAGCCAGACGCCTTGAGCGCCTAACGACCGATAAAGGACCATTTTTTATACTAACTTCCTTATAATAAGACCGCCAATTTAAGTTTATTAAATAATATACTAACTATAACCGGCCTATTGTTACGACCCAACATGCATGACCAAGAACAAGGCCTGCCCCGCAGGCTCGCGGCGGCTACAGCGCACCATATATGCAGAGGACAAGTGATGATGATGATGATGATGTATTTAACGTCTGGTAACAAAAGGACGTGCCGGGCGCAATGCCGACATGGTCTATACTAATCTAAACTATATTACAGGCTACCGTCTTCACCTCGTGCAGAGGACAAGGAACACCAGGCACCCTCTCACGGAACGGAAGAAATATGGTACAAGTCACGTGATGATAAGAGATAACAGATAAGGATATGTTGGATATGAGTTATCCAAGCGATCCTTGGATAACCAGCGTCATACCTCGAAAAGTACCCACTGTTAGTAATAATTAAGATTATAAAGGGCTACGGCCCACTACACTATCATCTCTCAACATCAGCCCATACGAGCTAAATTCCACGACCATAGCGGTCTCCCTAGATATAGGGCTATCGATCACGGTTCACGGGGACGCCAGTATATCTCGGCGGTCGGGATAAGTCCGGAAGCCGACTATAAAGGTTAGAATGGTTAAGCAGGTTAACTACTAGGACAATTCTAAACTTAAAGACAAGATTAATAAGCTTTCGAATCTTATCCAGGACCTCCTACGTCAGAACGCCAAGAGGGAACAGTTTTTAAAAGACTATTTAACAAAGATCAAATCCTTGGAGAGAGAGCTTCAGGAGGAAAAACAGCGTTCAAACCAGCATTAACGTGGTCTAGTAAGGTCTATATACGCTATTAGCACAGGGCCTAGCAAGACTAACCTGAGTTCCCAGGGGCATCCCTCGTACATAACCCAGAACCAGCCGCCCCTAGTCCGTTCATATACAGTGGCGGCGAGCAAACTACTATCTAGAAGACAGGATAAACTAACGCCAGCCAAACAAGCCGTAAAACAAACTACAAACCGGGCGGCCTTAAAAGATCTACGCATCTTCGCGCGTCTATCGCCTAAAAACCCACTTCAAAACGAAAAAGCCTACGACATATATATCTTCGTTCGGGAAAGGCTAAGTCCCTAAGCCCGAGAAGCCCTCAAGGGGATCGACCATATCAAGACAGGATTAGCACTCCTACCTTCGTTAATAGATAGCATAAAAATCCTGCTAGAGAATAAAAAACAGATCGCTACCCTTCTCTAAGCATAAGCAATCGAGCAACGCGATACTTAGATCCGAGCCTATATCGCAAACGTCCCTTATACTAGGCGTTATTTAGTAACTAATACTAAGCTAGAAATCACGACCAAGGAGCTCCTTAAAGAGATCCAGGTCTCGACAAAACTCAAGCCTAAAAAAGCACACTTCTCTAAGAAGGACGAAGTCAAAAGGCTAGGCACGGTAATAACCTAGTTTAAGGCGGAAGCCATAAGGCAACTACTAAGACGCCTCCCTTTAATAAGGGCTAGCATTTTTATAAACCTACAGTTCCCAAAGGAAAAAAAGGTCTCCTTAATATCTCCACTACGGCGGTTTTTATAACAAACGAACGTACACCAGAAGGAAGAGATGCCTCAAATATAGCTCTCTGTTACGACCCAACATGCACGACTAAGAACAGGGCCTGCCCCGCAGGCTTACGACGGTTACGATACGCCATACATGCACAGGACAAGTGATGATGATGGGGACACAAGGCACCCTCTCACGGAACGGAAGAACTATGGTACAAGTCACGTGATGATAAGATAAGGATCATTTGGGATCAATATGATCCAACACGACTTGGGGGCTAAACGATCATTCTGATACGACCATACCCATTGGAAAATTCGGGATCCCGTCCGCTCTCCCATAGACAACGATCATTCTGGATCAGAATGACCCAAGACGACCCAAGGGACAAGGGACATGTTCAGGATCAGGACTTGTATATAAGGATGGACTTGAGCTGGACTCTAGGACAGACTTCCATAGCTCTTCAGCAATTAACTTCGTATCAGGATTAACATCCGCTTTCAGCTACTACCTTGACAAGACTACGATTGATCACCGAAGCCTTACCCACCCTTACGATTGACAGACATAGCTTCCCTGAAGCTATCCCCGACTACGATTACTGTTACCAGTTCCGCAGCCTCAACTTCTGCAAACTACCCCTACGACTAGCTGGCTGTAACACACACGTTATATTTTATTATATACCTACCGATATCTTTTAGGCCATAGCCCTACCTCTACCCTCCCTCTCCCTCCTTTATTTTTCCCGATCTACTCGAGAGAAAATAGAAAAATGCACTCGTGGGTAATTACGCCCGAGAGGGCCGGCCTTTTCGTTATAGCCCGTCGTCTATGGACGATATAGGGCTATTTAAGGCCTATTCGCTTTTGCCGAGTTAGGAAACCCCTGTTGGCATGCTTTTTGGAACTGAATGGACCTTAGGGATTAGTTAATAATCTCCACTGCTCTAGGTACGAGAAGAAAAGTATATATTATAGATTGTCTGACTTGTCGTACGTTGTGTAGATAGCGGCACGGCACATCGTATGCATAAATGGCGCTCTGGTTGATCGGGCTTAGTTAGTTTGATAGCTAGGCTCCTGTCCCTGATGATGTTAAATACTACTACTACTACTACTACTCATGCTATCTACGGGCAAGCGACACCGGCGCAAGCAGCAAATCAAATCCGGGCTTTTGGATTGTGTACGTACTATTATGTCCTTGGCGGTTGGGTGTTGGCGCTTACACTAACACGCCAATAACAAACGCCCCCTCATTCATGCACCTGTTCACCCAGCTCACCCAGCTCACCCAGCTCACCACAAACATCACCCGAGAAGGCAATAAAGCAGCCAGAGCGAGGTGAGCAACTGGGTGAGTCGATTGCACTTGAACCTCCTAGTTATGCGCCACTTGACCCCATTTTCGCCAAGGGCGGGGTAGAGCCAATAAGGGGTTGTGAAACTATTGAGTTAACCAATAGGGGCATAGTACCTCAATTTCCTATATAATTTGGGTGTGCCAGAGGTTCCAGCACTCTCCATCAATACACAACGGTACATTGCAATCTAAGCAGCCCTTCCGTGTTTTCTTTCTTTTCTTAATGAGGTTATTCCCAGATATCTCACCTAGGGTCTGGCGGGCCCTTAATGCCCTCAGATTACTACAATAAGAGCAAGGCGAATTAACCTTCCTCGACCCCTTCCTATGCTGTTACCATGGAATAGAGGTATTCTGACAGAATTCGGAATTGTACCGTTGCGCCATATACAAAAGAGAGATCCCTCTACTGCATTTAGGTAGTTGTGGGTACATATAGTTTCCGTCATATTCCTTTTATCTGCAGCCCGTCTATGCCGTGACCTCTGCCGTCCTTCTGCTAATGGTCCGAACTGCTGGATAAGCTGGGCTGCAAGCAGCTGCCGCCAGCGGTAGTGGGTTTTTACCTTCTGCCACCTAGGGCTGCCCGAGAGCTGCAGTAAGAAGCTATTCACAACTACCACTTCCAGCAAGAAATTCCAGGCAATTGACTGCCAGCCCCCTCGACGAATAGGGTGGCTATATTGATAATAGGACCTCATCTGGTCACTTACATCAACCCCATTCAACTTGTGGTTATATTCATCAATTGCCCTAGGGATTGGTAGGTTCTTGCGGACGTCTGGGCCAAAGACTTGTCGGGCAGCCCTCTTAGCAGTGGAATTCCCAGCTGGGCGGCGGCGGCTGCGGATAACTTCCTCGCCGTTCTGGAAGACAGTTGATAGAAATAGTACAAGGGCATTATCCTTCCAGGTAAACTGGTTAACCTGTTTACTAGTTAGCTAGGTAGGTAGGCTGGCTGGGCTTGGCTAAGCTGCTAGCTTACCTCCCCATCTAAAGTAGGGATACAGTGTACTTCACCCCAGGGGATATCTCCTCCCTCAGTCTCTTTCTCTTTAACTAAGGTCTTATCTATCCCACAATCCTTTCGGCAAGTACCAGAAGCTCCAACCTGTTGGTTACGTAAGGTACGAAAGAGACGTATAGAAGCAAAGAGGTTGTCAAGAAATACGTGGTAGGTTGCAGCTGGAAGTAGGGAAATAAAAGTAGTTACTACCTGCTGGAAAGCTGGCTGGGCCTGGGGGACTAATGCGTATGGGCCCTTTCCATGTAAATGCCACAGCCACCGTATCCCATCGAGTGCCAATTGGCAACAGGTACATGTCCTTGAGGGGAACTGACCACTCAGGAGACAGCCAAGACTTCTTCTAGCCAACCAAAAAGCCTAGATTATGGATACTTCTGTTGTCTATATACTCTGACTATGAAAGAGGTACCAGCAATCATCCGAGTTACAAAGCGCTACTCCACACTGCAGGCACCCTGACCTCGTCTTTTTTCTGTGGGATCGTGAGTGTTGTTGAACAGGGCCTCGTACTGCGGCTTCATTGGTCCACTGTACCCACGATTCAACCAGCCTCAAAGGCACATACTGCTGAAAAAGCTCTAAAGGGGTAGTAGATAGACCCCGTACTGTTGCGGCGCGGTAGGGCACGTCGAGGGGGTTGAATTGGCCCGGTGTGCCCCTTTCTAGCGGAGGCGATTCGTGTGGGCGTACAATTGCGTTATCACACCTCTCGGGCCTACATTGAGCTGTACAGGCGCTATCAAGGTCTTCGGGAAGTACTGCGACGGTGATATGTGAAAGCGCTGACGAATCAGACGCATCAGAGTCGCTTGAGGACATCGCGACAGTTGCCCATCTGTAGAAATGTTAGTTGTGGTGGTGAACGCAGCTGGGAAAATATAGGGGTTGATGACGTACCGTCATGTATTCCCGCGGTGAGGGGGCAAAAGTGGGTCAAAACTGGGCATAATGTACCTGTTGCCAATTGGCACTCGATGGGATACGTCTGGCATTTGATCTTGGGCCTGGCGCTGGCCTCGGCCCCGGCCCCAGCCCTGGCTGGGCTGGCTAGGCTGAAATTCAGCCGTGCTAAATATCCGTAGTCGCCGGAGCAGTAGTTGGAATCGGTTTCTAGAAATAAACCGCGTAAATAGGTGGATAGGATCCTCCGTTTGCTGTTGGGTTGACCAATAGGTTGATAATGTAGATTCCCTATGGATCCCTATATATAATAGGATCCCTAGGAAGAGGTAGATCTCTTCTACTGAAGTCTGCCGCCATGAATTCACTCTAGACGTTCTAGCCCTAGGGCCAGACAACGGCACCGCATTTGTCCACTGGGCCCACTGCTCCACGAGGCTCTGCGGAACGTATTGGACGAAAAGGTCCAGCGGGCTTGCCGGCAGCTGCCGTACCTCTTGAGCCCGGGCCGGCACGTCAAAGGGCCGGAAGGAGCCCGGAAGACCATGCTCGGTAGCTGGAGGTTCGTGGGGCCGGACTGTTGCTGCGTCACAGCGCTCTGGCGTACAGTCTGTATTACAGGCAGCAGTAAGGTCTTCTGGAAGGATCTCAACTACTATACAGCTGCGTACAGAAGTATCAGAAGCATCAGAAGCAATAGAGGTATCAGAATCACTAGAAGACATCGCAGCATCAATCCAAATGGTAGTAATAGTGGTGATAATACGCAAAAGAGCATAGGGATAAATGACGTACTGTTAAGTACCCCTTTAAATGCGGGGTAAAAAAGGGTAAAGAGTGGGTATTCTGGGTCTTGGCGAAAATGGGGTCAAGTGGCACTCGATGGGATAGGTAGTTGAAACCCATACCAGGAATTTCAGACCATCGCAAGGCATGGTTGTTCGTGAGCTTGACCATGCCCTGTTCTTTAGTGTACTGGAAACCTGCCACATTCAAGCACGAATTTCGTTGATCTGAAAAGCGCACAGCCTTGCTTGGCGTGTACAACGTGTTGCAATTTGCATCACAGTCGGGTTCTTCCACTTCAAGGTTCTCTGAGCAACTTGCGTCTCTCAACATATCAGTCTGGCAGTTTTTTTGGCTCATGATACAATATGGAAGCCGCCTTCAACCGGAATTATTTGGTAATAGGGTTATCTAATTCTGGTGGCGGCGGGGACTGCCTGATTAAGAAGTTGGGGTGCAGATGTTGATGCAAGGCGCTTATCATCACGATGCAACCCCGCACCTCCATCTTCCCCGGTCCTTCTTCTACTGTCCATCACTCCGAGACAAATACTATTCATGCAACCCCGCACCTCCATCTTCCCCGGTCCTTCTTCTACTGTCCATCACTCCGAGACAAATACTATTCATGCAACCCTTGTTTTTCGAAATTTCGATACGCACTCTGACGCTTTCAAGCTCCTACCGATAAGCCTTCGAAAGTTTGGCCTACCACCAGACCCCTGCAACAACCCATTTTGACATCTGGTTCTATCAATGTCGTTCAAGTCAGAAGCTATCGTCGCCAGAGGCCCTTTCTCTGAGGGGAAATGGGCCATCGAACCAGTTACTCTTCGGGATCTGCGCTCAGATGAGGTTCTTGTTGAGATTGTTGCTTCGGGCATCTGCCATACAGACTTACACTGTGGTAACACGCCTGACGACAAGGGGGTTCCCGGAGTCTACTACCCTCGAGTCCTAGGACATGAAGGTAAGCAATGTTGAGCGAACCAAGTGGATTGTTGCTCTGTTTCATTATGCTGACTATGTCCACATCAAAGGTTCTGGATATGTGGTCAAGGTTGGAGACGGCGTGGCAAAGGTCAAGCCCGGCGATGCCGTCTTTCTGTCATTCTCATACTGCGGAGAGTGCCACGTTTGCAAGACAGGGCCACCATCCCACTGCACCAACTCCTTTCAGATCAATTTCATGGGAGAATCAGTCTTCTCAGACGGAATAGGCGGACGCTTCTTTGGCCAGTCCAGCTTGGCCCACCATACAGTTGTCAGCGACAAGTCGGTTGTGAACGCTGCCAGCCTCGGATTGACTCGGGACGACCTGAGAATACTCGCACCGCTTGGGTGCGGTCTCCAGACAGGCAGCGGAACTGTCATCAACGTCGCCAAGGCCGGTCCGGACGACTGCATCGCTATCGCGGGTATGGGAGGCGTAGGCTTGGCAGCAGTCATTGCAGCAAAGAACCAAGGGTGCAAGGCCATCATCGGAATCGACCGAGTCGAGTCTCGCCTCGAGCTGGCCAAGACACTCGGAGCTACGCACATCATCAACACGACCGGGCTGGAAATGGCCCAGGTGACGGAGAAAATCAAAGAAGCTGCTGAAGGGCTTGGTGCAACCATTTGCATCGACACCAGCGCGTTCCCACCACTGCTTGATGCCCAAGTTCAAGGAACGAGGTACATGGGGAAGATCATTCAGGTTGGCACCGGAATGCCGGAGTCACATCTGTCACTTCACATGCAGAGTTTCATGGTCAGCGGAAAGCAGTATTTCGGAGCTGTTCAGGGGCATGTCAATACTGCCGAGTACGTCCCTCAGATGGTACAATGGTGGAGAGAGGGGAAGTTCCCGGTTGAAAAACTGATCAAAGTCTTTGAACACGGCGATTTTGCATCAGCCGTAGAAGCGATGAAGCGCGGCGATGTTGTCAAGCCGATTATTGCCTGGTCATGAGCCATGGTCCGTGGGCTCCGGTGTCTAGTATGAGGCGGATGGAGCTCATACTGCCATCACCATAGTAACTCAAAATCATTATAGACTTTTGGACCTCAAAGTAGGGACCCTTAACGCTACTTTATTACACATCTGTCCACAAAGCTTGACTGCAGATATCTCAACTCGATCTCAGAACCTCATCGCCAATTTCGCAATGCCGACGTCTAATCTGAGCCTCAAGTTTAACTTCCAAGAACCTTCTTCGGCAACAAACATGTGCGCACCCAACAAAGCCAAGCCAAGCCGGGGTTCTTTCGGCTCATTTCCCGACTTATCAGTTCATGTTTAAGCTAGAGGACCCCGAACAAACCGGGACTTTGTGATTGGTCAGCAAGTTACGAGCAGTCAACTGACCATTCACACGAGACTCTGATAAGACAACGCGCGAATAATGTTGCATTCGTTGTAATGCGAGAACCCCGCAATCCGGGGGGCATGGTGGAGACGGTGATTTTCCCAACTCACCGTTGCATTTATCCCCCAGGCCAGGGCCAATCTTCCCGAGCGGCTCAAGGCTTGAGCAGCCCATCTCTAAACTCCTTGAACTCCTTTTCTTTTACTCATATGGGCGCCAAAGAATCGCACCACTTTCTCCTCCGGTCAGCCAATCCTGAACCAAGGCCGCACAGAGAGGAAAATAAACAATGGAGAATCTCCTCGGCCCAGACCTGGCCTCCAAAATCGGTCCCTGGATCCTCCCTAAGCCGCTCGAGGCACCGCCGTCGCCCGAGTCCGTCTGCACCAGCGACCGGGCCTCGCCGACGGAGGAGACCAAACGGCGCAGGGCGGGTGGACCGAAGGCGCGTACCGGCTGTGCCACCTGCAAGACTCGCCATGTAAAATGCGACGAGCGCAAGCCCACATGTTTCCGTTGTGAGAAGGTCGGAGTCGTCTGCGAGGGCTACGTGGACCGCATCGACCGCCGGAGGAAACGGACAAACCAGAACGTGGTCCGCCGGAATACGCCGCAGCTCATCGCTCCTCGGTCCACTTCAGCCGACCCCACCGACGTCTGCAGCACCAGCAGATCCGAGATCATCTTGTCACCTCAGATTCCTAGATCTCTTTCGAGCTTACCAAAGATCTATCACAAGGACGGCGTATACTACGATTACTTTCGACATCAGGTTTCCACCAACCTGGCAGGTTACTACACTAGTCCCAACTGGTCCTATCTAGTCGTCGGCGAAGGTCTGCAAGATGATTGTATTCACCACTCGATCCTAGCTGTTGGGGCGCTTATTCGCTCCACCCCTCAGGATGCGAGACCAAGCTCGCCTAGGAGGAAAGCGTTACCACCTGCCTCGGATGGATACGCTGTAACCGAACATCGTGAGGTTGCGTTGCGACATCATGTCAAGGCAGTCAAGTCTCTCAGAGAACGTATGGAGTTGATCACAGCCTCATCACCAACCACGGTAGTTGTCACAACCTTATTACTTGTTGTGTACGAGCTGCTCCAGGGTGAACCAAGGACAGCCGAAATGCTCCTCAACTCATGCCTAGGAGCACTCAGGGACTCAATCACAATGTTCGAAAGCGATCCTGATGGTGAGGCAAAGTACCGTGACTCCGAATTCGACGATATGGAGCATGTGCTCCCTTGTATAGCAGCAATGAGCCAGCTGTCACAATCACTTCAACCTCGCCGCCATCACACTCACCCTTTCAAAATCGATCCTGGTTCTGAAGTTCATAATCCTCAACACGAGCCGATCTCAAAGTTCTTCATTTCATGGGGCAGGTTCTTCACTTTTGCCGTCAGCTTCATCGGCAACTCTACCGATGTCACTGCAGAGGGCGTGTCTATGGACATGCTCCGTCACCTCACCATTCACCAGCAAAACTTCCTCTCGCAACTACAACAATGGAGATCAGTTATTCAATACTATGCCGAGAATCCGAGGGTGGACATCGCAACTAAGAAGGGCCTCCGGATCGCCCAAATCCACTGGCTTCTTCTCCACATCACACTTACTTGCTGCCTGGACCCAACCGAGGTGGCTTACGATGCATTCGAGAACGAGTTCAGAGATCTGACGATGCTTTGCGTTGAATTATATCGCGACTGTGTGTCACAACCCCGCCCAACGTCAGTTTTGCTGGGGCAGGGCCTCATTTTACCGCTGTGCACTGTTGTGCGCGCCTGCAGAAATCACGACATCCGCATAACGGCATTGCAAGCACTGCATGAGATACCCCCGTCAATGGTCGCCTGGGATGTGGTGTCAAATATGGACGGAATCTTGGGAGCCTTACTGCTTGAGGAGACTGGACGCGATGCGGCAGGATTCGTTCCTCCGGAATCCAGATGGTTTTGGTTGAAAGACGTGACTGTGCCAGAAACGGGGAGGATCCATAAGGTCTATCAGAGGCTAGCGCTAGGGCAAGATGGCAAGCCTGTTCTAACGAAGTTGCGACCGACGTCGAATGTACGATCGAAGATCTGTAAGGCGAGTGGATGTGACAAAGACCACTTGCTAGGACCGGTGGTTGTGGAAGACTCATGAAATATGACAGCGTCATGGCCTCTGTATATCACGTAATGAGAAAGGGGAAACGTGCCAAACCTGATATCTCATGTCAACGTAAAGAAAAGTGATATTCCCGACAACAGAACCTCGGTCTGTATAAGTAGAGAGAATTTGAAATTCGTAAATACCAGCCAGTCACAACCAATGGGCTCGATTCCTCCTGAAATGAAGTCGGACGCTCTCATTTGATAGGTTAGCCTCGTAAATATTAGCCAATCGGGCGAAGTCTATGGAGGTTGACAGGCCAAATGTGGCAAGTGGTTCTAGAGACGTCCCGGCACCTCCACTCCACTTAGTCCGGTCCAACCTTCTGAGATTCGTAAGAATTACCCAATGAGACAATCAAGACCGTAGATACACCATAAAGGTTGGTCCAACCTATTCCATTGTGTAACACAATAGGGGTCAGAAAGCCGTGCACACATTTAAGACCGGATACAGTCCAGGAAGGTACTCGAGAGAGATCCGCCCTTCTCTTTCTTTCTCGAATCCCTTGACTGCAAAACATTCTCACCTCTCTAACTCTTCATAGTCTCACAACTCTCACCATGAGCGCGCCAATCATTGCCCAGCCAGTTGTAGTATCGCTGGCTGACTTGCAAAACGGTATGTCAAAAACAGTCTTGTTCTGATCCATTCACCGTGACTGATTATGTTTTCTAGGAAATGTGCCTTTTGAGAGACTCGTTGAGGCTTTTGGGCCAGATTCTCTAGGAATCTTGGTTGTCAAGAACGTCCCACCTGAGTTTCCCGAGTTGAGACGCCAAGCGCTTTCTTATGCCTCGTACCTCGGAAACTTGCCAAAAGCTGAGCTTGGTAAATTACCCCCGTTCGAGTTGTCAGAATATGGCCACTGACACTTGAGACGCAGACAAGGCCGAGAACCCCGCCGCCAAGTATTTGACAGGCTGGTCATTGGGCAAAGAACAACTCAAGGACGGACAAGTAGACACGTTCAAAGGCTCCTTTTATGCCAACTGCGCCTTCTACACCGATCCGGAATTAGATGCCGCAAAGCCAACGCCCGATTTCTCAGTGGAGAACTTCCCAGAATACCTATCACCCAACATCTGGCCCGAGAGCGAGGTTCTCCCGGGCTTCAAAAGCAGTCTGGAAGACCTCTGCAGGCTTTTGATCGACACAGCTGTGCTCGTTGCACGAGCGTGCGATCAATACGCGGAGAGGGAAATCGAGGGTTACACCAAGGGATACGTCGAGCACGTTGTCAGCACGAGCAACACCACCAAGGCCAGATTGCTGCACTACTACCCGCAATCTCAGGAGGGATCAAGTGAAAACGAGGATGACTGGTGCGGCGTGCACCTCGACCACTCGGTTCTGACAGCCTTGACGTCTGCAATGTTCGTTGATGAGCATAAGACACCATCGGATGCAGTCTCACACGCAAAAGATGCCACAAAACTCTCCCCGTTAGAGGAGATGGCAGGGAGCCCCGATCCTCTCGCTGGGCTTTACATCAAGTCTCGGACAGGTGACACCGTTCAGGTCAAGATTCCGAGGGATTGCATTGCTTTTCAGACAGGCGAGGCACTTGAACGGATCACAAAGGGCAAGTTCAAGGCCGTGCCGCACTTTGTAAGAGGAGTTAGGCCTTCCATGAGTAATGGCCGGGTGGCAAGGAACACTCTGGCAGTGTTCACGCAGCCGAACCTGGGCGAGGAGGTTGACTCGGAGCAGCATATCACCTTCGGAGAATTTGCCAGGGGCGTTGTGAGCAAGAACACAGTTGAGGCTTGAGCACTAGAAGAAGCCGCAATGAAAGGCGATTTGCAAGTATAAGTACAAGTATTATTAATGTAACAAATTGGCCATTTACTCTTGGCACAACTTCATTTGCTTCTTGCGCTCTCGGCTGAACTTTGTGTGCTGTGCTGCGGCCTACAACTCAAGAGGTACGTAATATCGGGCATCATCACATTCAGTGTGAAGACGGCTTAACGTCAGAAACCTGGGTATCCAGCCTAGAAGCGTCCAACTTCGTAGGCGCCTCTGATGCCAAGCTTCGCTCTTCCACAACGGCTTCGATTACTTCAAGCTCCGTATTGGCGCGTCGCTTTTCGACTAGGACAAGGACGGTGACCCAAATCGCCATTGTTGCCCCCACAGCTATCATGGCAATCATTCCTTTCTATCAAAATTTCAGCGGGCTCTCGAAAGTTACATAAGTATTAGGTCTTCGACTCTGGTAGGGACAGCTCGTGTGCTCACCTTGAATTCCGGAGCGTCACCCGCTCTATAGAAAATCAGTGGCCACCAAGCTTGGAAGCAATTGCCAGCTGCATTCATGCATGCAATAACGCAAGACCGAAGTCTCGGTGATTCGTTTCGCATTGAGTCGTTTACCCATGCAAAGAAGGTGGCTTGGATGCAGTAGATCGAACCAGCCCAGTAGTAGGCCCCGAACTTGGCTGCCGTTGAAGTCAGGGCAAGAATGATTGCAGCATTGGCAATAGCCGTGGAGGAGACGTAGTAACCCGACAGCCATCGCCTGCCCCAGATATCTGTTGAAGTCGCCCATAGTAGCGTGCTCGTCACGCCCATGGCTTGTACACCGGTGGAGTAGTTGTTGCGTTGATAAAGGTTGTACTTCTCTGTAGGATGAGCTTGCATGTAGAGGTTGAGAAGCGACTGGTTGGACTGCGATTCGGAGCAGTTGCCTAGAATCCATAGGAAACAGAAGGCGTAGAAGTACCAGGAGTGCATCACTCTGGAGAGGAAAGACTTGGACAGGATGATCTCAGTCTTGTCGACTTCTTGTACCGGCACTCGTTCTCTTGCAAGAGCAATTTCTTCCTGGCTAAGATAGAAGGCCGTGGTCGTGTGAGGTGTATCGGGGAAGAAGAAGTACCCATAGACAGCGACAGGCAGTGTGATAATGCCGGAAATCTGAGCATAGGTAGTGAGTAGAAGCTTCGAGAAAACAAAAGTCGAAAGTCGTAGACTTACAATGAAAAGCCATTTCCAACCTGGTAATCCGTGCAGACCATTCATTGAGGAATGGATGCCACTCTGTAGGAAGCCGCCAAACATGCCACCAGCGAGACCGCTAGCGGTAAAGAATCCCGTGCGCTGGCCAAGCTCTTTCTTGGTATACCACGATCCCAGGATGTACTGGGTTCCAGCAAAGATGCATGATTCGAAGTAACCTTGTAAGAATCGGATAGCCATAAGATGCTGCGGAGTCTTTGCCACTGCATTCAGCATGGTGATTCCCGCCCAAGTTGTAATCATAAAGGGGAAGAAGTTTCAAGGCTTGAAATAAGTCAAGAGCAAGTTATTGGGGACAATGCCTCTGACAGATAAAAAAGAACACGGTCAGAATTCGAGCCCTTAGAGCCCGAGGGCCGATACTGCGTGTGGCTGTAAGAACTTACATGAGATAGGCCGTCGCGTAAAGAGTCGTGACAATTGTCAGTTGAGCTCCTTTAAAACCCAAATCCTCCCTCATCCCGGATACATATGCTTGAGTGATGCTGGCCCTGTCGAGATAATTCCTGTTTAAAGCCATGCTTATCAGCATCTGCGTCGTCGTGATCAAGGTTCCGTATCCCAGCCCGTCACTCACATGAAGTATGCTAAACAGCAGAATGTCAGAATGAAAAAGTCTAACTTGAGAACAAGCTTCCTCTCCATTGGAGTGGAGGCAACCTTGAAGTGCTCCCTCAATGATGAGACAAAACCCATGGTATCTCCTGAAGCACCTTGCTTAAGTTGGCAATGCGAGAAGTAAAATATAGGGTGTCGGGTCGGTAATTGAGGGCTTGGAAGCTATGTGCACCCAAGAATTGATGGTCGCATATGAAGAGATGGCTGGAGAGCTCTTCTTATATCTGATATGCTTTGGGTGCAGTGGTTTGTTCTTTAGACGCAGTCGACGTTGGTGTCTTATCTGCTGTTACTTCAAGATATCTCCCCCCTGGACATAGAAGGCATTCCAGGCTCGGGGATAAGGGACGGTGCCACGGGTGCCCCGCCCTCCTCAGGAAACTTCCATTATCAAGGCTAAGCAAATTCCGGGGGGTTGATACTACTTGACATATACTAACCACCTAGGTGAGCAGGGCCAAGAAGCTTGGAAGTCTTGAGATATCTTGTCCATAGATAAAGCAGAAGAGCAGATTCGCCTTTCATTTCAAACCTGCGCTAATGCCAAGTTACCATGCTGTTGTTGCTTAGGTACTCTGCGATAAGCCAGACCTTCCAATGTCCGACCGTTCCTTGTATTTGCGAGATTGGAGAAGTAAGTACATGTGTTGAGTTGGATGGGTGGGTCAACTTCTTGGAGGAGCTCCTCCCGTCGATCTCGATGCAAGGCAAGGTCAACATGGCTGGGCCAACCCCAGACCAAAGGCTAACAAACACTGTTCATTCTAATTAGATCGTGGCTCGAAGTACCGTTGGGTTATTCAGCACTAAAACTGAAGCATTGTAGATGAGTTAGCGACAGCAATATGACGTTGTTGTGCTATCAGATCAACTGCTAGATGCCGTCAGTACTTCCATCTCCAGTCTTTGTTCTATTCTTCTTTATACGGAAATGATTGATGGACGAATAAAAGGGAAAAGGGTCGCATCAACATATATCCCTCATAAAAGTACGTGCAGATGTATGGACGCCATCCAGCAGTTGATGAGACACGAAGTTCCCCATCTCACGAAGCCGCAGCAAGGGTTAAACGCAAGGCCGAACACTGAAAGAGTGAGAGGCATTTGCAGTCATTTATCCCAAGTTTGATGTCAGGCTTGGAGCACTTCTAGATGCAGTTCAATTGCTTCGTGTAGCGAAACCAGTCAAATCCTATCCACATTGCACACATACAAGAAATCACTCATGTTGAATATTATGAAATCCACCGCTTCTTGGTAATAATACGAGATGACCCCCGTAATCAATTGCGAGCTACAATGTGCATGATCCAAAACTTAGCTCGCCTTCAGAGAGGGCACATAAACCTCTCGTGGAACGTTGTCAAATTTGCCGAGGCTCTGATGGCCTTCCGGATCGGAATACTCACCAGCAAAGAAGTCGGCATGTTTCTGAGTATCTCGCGGACGATCAAGTTCATACTCGTAACGCTTAAACCCATGTTTTCGAGCGTCCAGGAAGTCCGCCATACAGAATACTTGCTCGTCAATTGGCTTATCGCGGCCGAGTCGTTGAAGAAGAGGGGAGCCTTCGATAGGAACGAGCTCTCGCTCATCAGCCGGACGCGAGAAGTAAATGACTCCGATGCGACGAAGGTGGCGTTGATCCTCGGGAGGTTCTATAATGTTGCACATTATTTGTGTCCTAGGCACTTGATCATGAGTGACCTTCACTGGAACATAGCTACTTACGGACAACACGATGAATGGTAGCCTTGAAAAGACCCCCAGTCAAGCGTCCGAGGGCATCGCCGAAGTTGACGACCAAACCATGAGGCTGGTGCTCAAACCAGCGATATGTTGCATCGTGATGATCGAGGACCTGGAGTGCCGCAATGGGTTGCGAGAAGAGAAACGTCCACGTGCCTAGATCAGTGTGCCCTGAGAGGAAGATATCGCGGTACTTTTCGCTTTCTGCCCTGGATCGCGGCTCGCACATCATGTATCTGATATACTCGGTCTTGGATCCCCCAGGCGCATGCGTGGATTGAATGACCTCACCAGGGACCTCCAAGATCATAGCAACCTGAACAAGTACCATGGCGATCAGATTAAGCCCCGTACCAGATTTAAGGAGGGAACTCACCAAAGTCAGGAGTTTCTTGAGGATGTTGGTGCGGATGAACTGCATCACCTCTTGTGTCTCCTCCAGATGCGGTCGCATAAACTCGGGATGAGGGCGATCAAGAGGATCATGAACCAGAATATTGTAATGATCCAGCTGTTTGGGGAAGCTACCCTTGTGTCCGAGAGGCCCAGCGGGCTTGTATCCAACATAGAGTCCTCGTGCATCTTCTTCGGGGGTCACTATCACTGTGTCAACGCTTGCAGCCTTCATATCCTGGGCTGTCGAAGTAAATAAAACGACTCTAGATACCTTCATACGGTGCCTTTCCCTCTGCCGGGAGGGTCATCATCGCGTTTGCGATCTGCATTTGACGAACGTAAACTTCATCGGAAATGCCATGATTGCTCAGTGTGAGAAAGCCGTAACCAGTCGCAGCTTCATAGAGATCTTTTGCCAATTCTTCTCGGCCAGTGGGGTCGTCGAACTTGGGCATGTCGAGGTTCACGAGTTTGACGTAGTCCACTTTTCAGGACAGATTCAGCTGGCTAAAACGCGATTGATTGACTCGGGAGGTAAGACTTACACTTCTCCTTGGTTGGTGGAGCGGGTGCGAATGGAGGAAGAGACATGGCTTCTATCGCTGATGCAATGAGAATATTTTGGAGATAGGGATGGATGCAGACGAAGATGCGAATAAAGTTCTGTGAGTGCTTTGTTGAAGAGTCGATGACTTCGACTCGAGCAATGCGATCTCTCCTGCCTGTTATATCGTAAAGTGCATTTCTTGGGAACACGACTCCCGCATGAGTGCACTCTTCCTACTCTTATCAAGCCGTCTCTGCGACCTTTGTTGGGGCTCCTCCTCGGTGAGCTCCAGCCAAGCCCTCTCTCAGTTTTCATTTGCCTGGATTGTATCCAAGGTCTTTCAAGCTTCCTCATGCTGCATCGAGTCCTTCAAAATGAGGAATCCGGCTTGCAAAAATTACTACGGTAGGCGTTTTGAGTTCAAGACTTGGGAGGCTTTATCCGGTGCGGCCGCATTGGGCAATAAACAAGCGTACAGCTGTGAATGATAAGAGTGGTGAACCCACATTTTGCGGAGAAGACGATTGTCCTATCAGGTGGTCTCTATTATCACAATCAAGATGCCCATTGATCCTCCCTCCATGTTCTCACGACTACTGTGAGATATTGCCGGGACCGATTAGTGAGATCTTGTGGAACACGATTGAACCCGAAAGTCAACCACAACACTTGGCCGAATTGATGCAGTAACATTGCAGTCTCACCGACTTCATCCTTAGTAGTATAGAAATGTCTGCAAAATCAAACGACAAGCCATTCCACTGCCCCGCGTGCTCTAGTCGTTTTACCCGACAGGTGATTTCGTTTCCGCCAATAAGTCCAAATGCAAAGGGCCGACAGTCGGCAGGAGAATCTGAACCGCCATACATCATCAGGTGATTACAAGACAGAATCATGGCAACTGGCCAGCGACAAGTAAGACTGACGGATGCAGTACATCAGCGGTCAAATTTGAGACCTTTTCCATGCCCGCAGTGTGAAGTCAGCTTCTCGAGAAGGTCGGTAACAATTGCCTCTATGCAAAATCTTGGGAGATACTGAGTTGGTTTGTAGCGATTTGAGAAAACGCCACTTGAGAAGGTATCATGCGAATACTGACCGCGCCGGTGAGACAATCCATGTCGCCAGTCATGCCGCACCAGCCGATGGGTGACAAAGGGAAGCTAGCAACGCATATGAGGCCAACCGCTTGAATGTCAGTTCAAACGGTGACGGTGTAAGTGTTTCCTCCACTGGTCCCTTCTGTTCACAGACCAAGTAACGTTGTGGATGTCGTAGTCAACTCCTATGTCACAAGTGTTTGCATCGCAAGGCATTTCCTGGCTTTTCAAACTTCCTCAATTTGTCTCAGCCTACTTCGATCGATTTCAGCCCACGTTCCCGCTTTTACATAAGCCAACTTTCGACGTGGACACGGCTCAAGAGCCGTTGATAAAGGCAATCGTTTGCCTGGGCGCCATTTACCAAGCCCAAGGTTCGAGCCAAGAGATAAGCTCCACGTTGTTCTCTTCGGGCCTCAAGTCTCTAGATGTATACTGAGTGAATATTCAAGAGGACCTTTGTGTGGATGTTGAGCGATGTGAGGAGTTATATGTTCGCGAGAGTCGGCGGGTCAGATTCAGAGAGTTGTGGGTCATGCAGGCCTATCTACTCTTTGAATACTACGCATTCTACAACTGCGACGATGGCCGATTCGCAACAGCTCTCAAAATCCACAGGAAGCTTGCTGATGCTGTGCGGCAGTATCAAATGCTTCAAGACAGAGTAGCTCTTGGCGTGGACGAAGTCTCCAGCCCGAATGAGCCTACAGTGTCTTCCTCGTCGACTGTCACCGAGCACGCCTGGCGAGTTGCTATGTACAACGAGTCAAGAAAGCGGTATGATTACCTGCGTGCGCGAAAACCGACATAATGTCAGTCAAAGTTTATAGCTGACAACGGAGACTGTTGGAATATTGACGGCAGAAAAGGGTGGATTTGGAAGGTGGCCTGGGCCGTTGCAAACGGCCCTTCCACCTACTTACACCCAACGGAGGAATCGTGGGCTACGCCCACCAACTTCCTCCTTACACAGATATACGCAGTTCAATACCAAGATTATTGAGCTTCGTACCGGCCTACAGGCTCCTGCTGACGTGTATACCAACAGAGACTTAGAATTGTGTATTGTCTATATTACCTCGACGCTCAACTTTCAGTCTGTTGTAACATACTTCCATTGCTCGCAGCTCTAGAATTGAAATACGAACTTCCGTGTCAAGATGATATATGTCAAGCATCCACTGCCGAAACCTGGCAAGCACTCATACTCTCGCAAGAGGGGTCGTTCAACGAAGAAGACGACTATGACGCCAATGGCGACCCAGGTCCTGAACACGGCGATCTGTACGCAAGTCTCATGTTCTTGATGAATCCTAACCCGCCAGACCGGCCTCTACGACTGCTATGGCATTCGTCCTTTGCGTGTCTCATGCTCATCACACAAATTTTGATGATGATTCGTGACCTTTGGCAAGTTCGTTCTTGTACAACAACGTGCGATGTGGCGAGTCCAAAAACAACCTGTCAATCATTTCAGAAGCTAGTCGAACATCAATTATGCAAGCTCTGAATGCCTTGTCAGACATCATGCGTAAGCCGTCTCTTCCCGGACTATGCACTGTTACCAACCCTCCGGGTGAATCTGACTCTGTAGAGTCTAGCCTATGGAGTAATGTCTGGATCGTGTGGCATTATGCTGCCATGAACCTTACTCACCAAGAGTCATTACTCACGAGTGGCATCGTCGAGTATAGCCTGCCATCTGCTGTTTCAACGTGTTGGGAGCTTGGGAAGCCTCGTGTAAAGCAGCATCGAGATGTGTATGAGGATAGAGATGGTACGTATGTGAGCTCTTCTTCAAATTGTCATCCCTCCATGTGAAGCATTCAGCATCGCTGTGAAACAAGATACCAGCTCACACTGTCTCAGTCATGCGGGTCGCGAGTAGTTTGGAGAGCATTCTGATGCTTCTTTCTCGCGATACTAAACCCATCCGTCTCAACTTCCAGTTGAATCCTGGAGGCACTCCTATGATAAGCGAAGATCCATTCATCACCATGATAGGATATAAGGCTTGTCTGCTGGAATGGCGCATAGTACGTTTGATGGCCGTAAGCCTGCAGACCAGCTCAGCCTCTTTTAGCATTCAAGCACCTAGCATCTACGCCATGTCTGCTCGTGTCATTCTCACTGGAATACTAGCCGCCATCCGCCCAGATATATGTGGTGGTCAAAGAGGTCTCTGGGAGGAGGCAGCGACGGTTGATGACGCCGAATCTAGGTACTTGGCGTGGATTGAGGCAACATTTTCGGCTAGAGATGTGTGGCCACCTAGTAAATGGATTGTTGCGGTGTTCAATGAGATTAGACAGGAGACTAGGTAAAAGGACTCGGATTGTTCCGCCGTATATAATTATGTCCCATCAACTACTAGATAACGTCACTATATCCGTCTCTTTCTCTAACTTTACTCTGGTTCGAGATTATTCATAAGCCAATATAAGGGAAATTTGGTAAAATTAGAGAACGAGTGGAGACGGTTATAGTGACGCCATCTAGCAGTTGATGGACTACTCCAGCTTACAAGCCATCGTAGTCAGGATACGTGCCGCCAGCCTCGTCGCGAATAACATTAGGTCTGAGGATGCTGTCGAAGATTCCATCTTTGTCATTCCTAATGCGCATGTAGTATTCATGCACCACCGGGTGCTTCTCTTCCCAGCTCTTAGTGAAAACCTTGGGAAATGTTAGAAGTGCACTGGTTTTGACGACAATCATGGTTATATAAGATTCTTACATATTGATAACCTCTTGCGAGACCAGAAACAACGAAAAGATCGGCAAGGGTCAGTGTGTCGCCAACGAGATAACTCTTTCCCGCGATCTCCGTCTCGATGGCGCGAATTGTCAACTCACAGCTCTCCTCGCAATTTTTGAGAATCTCCGGGCTATTGGGTGCCCGCCCAATGATGGGTCCTATCCATGCCATGATGGGCGGTAAGAGCTCATAGTTGGTGAAAGAGGCCCACCGAAGGACCGTCGTCTCCTCCTTCAACCCGGATCCACAGAGCTTGGTGATTGGATCCTGCTTTGCCACTGTTATGCCGTAAGTTCACGGAGCTTGTACCTTTGAATAAGCTTGGGACTTACGGAACCATGCAACTTCGTTGCTTTCGTAGACAGCAAAGCCGTCTGCGGTCTCCAGTGCGGGAACCTTTCCGGTATGGAACTTGGAGGTATTCCTCACCGACACCACCTTTTTCCGGGTACACTTTGATCGGAAAGGCGTTGCAAATTTCGACGTCAAGCTTATTGTACTTGGCCACGAAGAGCACCATCGTGGATCGGGGCGCCTTGGGATACGTGTAGAGCTTGCCGAAAGACATCGTGCTGCCTATAATAGTAGCGTGTTCGACTAGAGGGTGGATGAAAGTAGGTGAAACTTTGCCGTGTGAATATTTCTAACTGCCCGATTCCATTGTTCTTATTGAAATGATAGATGTAGTTGACTAGGCGGGATATCTTGTTTCCTACATAATACAGCCTGCATGCTGTCGTTGATTATCGGCACGGGGAGAAGCTCCACCCCCGATAAATGTGGATTTCTCGCCCGCAACAAGTGCTCCTCCTGCATCCAAAGAAGACCTCGACAACTCAAAGCTCGGAAATGCGGCTGGAAATATCAAAAAATTTCCTTGCGCTGACTGTTTCTGTAGAATATCATGTTTTGAGCTCTTCAATTGACCTTGTAGGGAGTTGCTATCACTTGTAAGCTAGGTACGTGATTAGAAATGCGATGCTGGTCCTAAGATAACCCCACTCCCATACAATTTCTGAGTACCTTTCCCCCAAAATCTTCCATAAGGTGTTGGCAGAAGAGCATGAGTCTCAAGAGTACGTCTCCTTCATTCATCTAGAGTTTATCAGATGGATGAACCAACCGACCAAAATCGTCAATTAAACCGGTTACACAAATGGCAGATTTATGTGATCTCTCTACTCAGTAGCAGGCAAAGACTTCCCGATATGCGGGGAATGCCTCCCTGTCATGATCTTTAATAGGCGCGGATGCGGTAGTCACTGGTGGGAGCATCACTGTAGCATCAACTGACACTGTAAGATGAATGCTACCGGCTCCGAGCTGAAATGTGACCTTGCATTGGGAACCGAGGGGAGACGGTTGGAGCGTGTCTTCCATCCCACCGGCCGAATCACTGGGGGTTATCCAGCCATGCAGTCGGCCGAATGCAAGATGAAAACCTGGGGTCATCGGCTGAACTGATGCCGGCCTTTCGCATCATCCGCAGTCATGCAACTGCCGGAAGAACTGTAGTGAAGCACCGGAGCTGGGGCGTAATTTCCTTAGGCTGTAGATCGACAGTCGAGATTTTACGAGCCAATGAGGCATTCGAAACTGGATTTCACGATGACCTCGTACCGAGTGAATAAGATCCGAGTCGGCCGGAGACAGATCTTGCGCCTGGGGTGGAAAGAGATAAAACCGAGATGATGTCTCTTAGACAACACAATTATCTCACTCAATAGCTCTTCCATAGACTCTACACAACAACCCAGTGAGCTCTTCATCATATCAGCACGATGAGATCCTGGCTTCGCTCACTTGTCACGATAGCTGCTTTGGCAGCCCCTATCGTGGCAGAGACCTTTACCAACCCGGTCATATGGGAAGAGCTCGCCGACAATGAGGTTCACCGCGTCGGAGACACCTACTACTTGACCGCATCCACCATGCACTACTCCCCCGGCGCTCCCATCCTACGCTCTAAAGACTTGGTCAACTGGGAGTACGTCAGCCACTCGGTCCCGGTTCTCGACTGGAACTCGCAATATGACCTCGCGGATGGGAAGAATGCTTATGTCAAGGGCATCTGGGCATCCTCTCTTCGGCACCGGGCGAGCAACGGCCTCTGGTACTTTGTAGCCTGCGTAGAGTTCTCAAAGACCTACGTCTACACGTCACCTGACCCATCTGGGCCCTGAACCAAAGCCGGCACCATTGACACATGCTACTACGATGTTGGCTTGTCATTTGACGACGACGATACCCCGTACGTTGCATATGGAAATACCATGATATCGGTAGCGCAGCTATCGGCCGACGGACTTTCAGAGACACAGCGAGAGACTGTGTTCCAGACGCCCAGTGACATTGGTGCCCTCGAGGGTGCGCGCATGTACAAGCGAGACGGAAACTATTACATCTTCCTTACGAGGCCGCCTGATGGACAATACGTACTAAAGTCATCTAGCCCATGGGGTCCGTACGAGGTCAAGGTCCTCGCCGACCGAATTGCACTGAGCTCGGTTCCGAATACAGGCTCGCCGCACCAGGGCAGTCTCGTAGACACCCAGAACGGAGACTGGTACTACGTGGGCTTCACAGACATCTATCCCGGTGGCCGCTCTCCCGTACTTGCTCCCATCACTTGGGGAGACGATGGTTTCCCGTCGCTGGTGACCGTCAACGGCGCCTGGGGAGACTACGAGTACCCGCGTCCCCGGGTAGATGTGCCGAGCGCGCTTCGCACCGATGAGTTTTCCGGCACGTCCCTCCGGCCTGAGTGGGAATGGAATCACAACCCTGATGTCAGTGGTTTCGAGGTCAACAACGGACCCACGCTCCGTACCGTCACCGTGGCATCCGATCTGTACTCAGCTCACAACACTCTGACGCATCGCATTCGGGGTCCGATTGGAACCGGCACCGTCCACCTCAATGTTGCGAGCATGGCTGACGGTGACCGCGTTGGACTCGCAGCGTTGCGCGACAAGTCCTCTTGGATAGGCATCGAACGCGAAGGGGACGTGTATTCTATCGTCACTGTCGGGGGCTTGACCATGAACACCGACTGGACTACGAACTCGACGGGAGCAGTTGTCGAGCGCAGACCGTTGGCTGATGCGAGAGATGTCTACCTGAGAATGGTAGCTGATATTCGGCCCGGTGGACCTGGCAATGTTGTTTTCAGCTACAGCGTCGATGGCCAGAATTTCGAGACTGTTGGCGCGTCATTCACGCTGTACAATAACTGGGAGTTCTTTTTGGGTTAACTACCGATACGGCATATTCAACTATGCGACAAAAGCATTAGGGGGCTCTGTGCGAGTTTCGTCATTCACCAATGCCTAGTTGTTGTTGCTGAATCTGGAAGCTCTCGTGTAGACTCCACCTAAATGGGAAGAAAAAGGAGATCTCTGAGAATGTAAATAGCTAAGCGCAAGGAACACGTAATGTGGGAGAAAGAAGAATCTGTTCACCATTGTATTTACTCTAGTCCGTAGACCCAATAACATCAGCGATTCTCAGCCGCTGATGCCCCTCGGTTCGTCCGCAATTTAAAGTCACAATGCAAGGAATCGAAGAGAGCCAACAAACCGGGCAAAGCGCATCTCTTCCTCACACTCAAAAGTCCGCAGGCTCCAATTCCAACCCCGAGTTGGCGAGTCCCAACCTCGCCGGGTAACCGGACCTAAGCGGAACCAATAGTGGAGGTTGATACGCGCCAAAGGGGACCAGAGCCCCGGAGGGAGACCTGGGGTATTGGAACGCGATGCTTCATTTGGATCCAATGCCGAGGTTTGTTGGGTCCTTCTGAAAACCCCTCATCGACATCTTGCTTAGCTCGCCCACCCAAATATGCCATTTACGGTCACCTTTTCGTGCAACAGGCTACATCCTATCAATACTGACCCCGCGCGGCAGCTCTTCAAAGCCAGTGTCCCGGTCTACACGTGTACTATCTCACTACGGCCCGAACATGTGTGTGAAGTAGAGAGGGTTATCGATGGCCGTTTGTTGGCGATGGCACTCAGCTGATTCGTTATCGTAGAGCGGTCTGGGATGACACCTGACGATCCGAACACCTCGATATGCATTAGTTTCTTAGAGGCTAGCTTACCCCCAGCCCACCGATGAGTCTCTGGGCCTGTTGCGACTAAGAAAGAAGGGCAATGGGGAACTGTTTTATCCGAGTGGGTTTCCCATCGACAGCTTTCCGCAGCTGCGGGAAAGGTCTCAGTGCGGATATCGTTCTAGTTTGCTTGGCCGAAGGGGTCTCGGTGAGTATGCGACGTCATGCAGGTCTTGATAAATACCTCTTCGTTTCCCCCAAGATTTCCTTTGACGCTGACGTTGGACAACGAGCCATTGTTCTCCCCGATCGTTCCGCATCCGTCTCTTGCTCTACCCTTTTAAGCCTCTTCTTCGAGTCCTTCATCCCCCTACAACCCTCTTGATCTCTCCTATACAGTGGAGCATAGAGCTTACGCCCCCAAAATGAGAGTCAAGACTAGCACCGCCCTCGCCGGCATTCTCGCCGCCACCGCCGCCACGGCGCAAAACGTGACCAGCACCTGCGCGACCGGCGTGTACATCATCGTGGCCCGCGGTAGCAACGAAGCTCCCGGATCCGGCAGAATCGGCAGCGTCGCCAATGGCACTTTTGCAGCCATCCCCGGGTCCCAGATCGCGCCGCTCGACTACCCGGCGACGTTTGACAACTACTCGACCTCCGTCGCTGCCGGCGCCGTGGCCTTGAATGCCGCGTTGACATCGTACAACGCGCGATGCCCGAACTCCAAGGTTGCGCTGTTGGGATACTCTCAGGTAAGCTAACGTCGTAGTGAAGATTTCGATATTACGCATCCCTTCTGCATCAATGCCAATTCAGCTTCATGGGATGACATGATCATCCATTTTTACCAGAGCGCCGGGAAGGAGGGTGGCAATTGGGCGGGAAAATTGGACGGCTACTTGCAAATTTACTTTTGTTTACTTCCGCTGACTTGCATGAAACTTTAGGGTGCGCAAGTGACAGGTGATACTCTGTGCGGCAGTGTCGACGAGGACGAGGGTGAAGCTCTCAACATTGAGTTCAATCAGACAGCTCCCGTTCTCGCATCCGTCGTCGACCAAAGTGGTTAGTAGCCGCCTGCCCAGTCACTATCCGTTGACATGATTAAGAAGCTTACACATGCTCAGTCATTGCCGTGATTCTCTTCGGAGACCCAACCCACAACGTCAGCGCAAGCTGGAACAAAGGCACGAGCAAGCGCAACGGAGTAAGTTCCACCTGGGCGAAACGTGGTGGCGGGATCAAAACACTACGGTAGTGCAATGTCGGACTCGCTGACTCGTTCTGCTTTCTAGCTTTTCCCCCGCGAGAACGTGACCAAGTGCGAGGCATACGCATCCAAGATCGAGTCCTACTGCGACACGGGAGATGTCTACTGCGATCTCGGCAATAACACTCTCGTCCACGGTTCATACTTTGGCAACTACACCGACGATGCAGTTGAGTTTATCTCGGCGCAGTACAACGCATCCAAGTCAACCAACGGTTCGTCGCCGACTGCCACTCCCTCTACGGTTCCGGGATCCGGAGCTGCCGACTCTGCCCCGGGCCTGCTGATGTCCCTGGCTGGTCTGTCTATGCTTGCAGCGTTCATCTTGTAAGAGGAGCCATGAAAAGAGCATGCTGGACGGAATTCGATTGGCTATGATTGTTTCCGGCAGTGTACATGTAATTACTCAATAATGAAGACTACGACCTGAAGAGCCCTTCTCAAGCTTCCTCTCATCCCACCGGTATATGAAACGTCCAAAACTCCACATATGAACACAAACTCCAGTATTCTCTCGGTCCGACGCAAACGGTCCGACGCAAACGGTCCGACGTCGTTGCAAGGTTCATGATTCCGACATCATGGTTGCTTGTGGAGGTCCTGAAGACGAGATTGAGATACGGTTCTCTGCTATCTACGTGCCGGCAAGTCGTAACAAGCGGGTGATCACCCAAGTCCTTGTATATATCCCAGCCTCATGGCTCGTGACATGATCATATCAAGACGATGAGATACGTGAACGATGATGCACTGATCAAGCCCGAGAAGTTCAGGACGCTTCGGTCACATCAGCTAGCTACTTCAAATCTGGATTCGACGTCGATGAGGATGATTACCAAAACGGCAAGTGAAGAACAGTTTGCAAGATTAAAGCTTATTTACAACCATCCCAGATTGTTGGCAATAAGAAATCTGTCAATCGCCGTTATAAAATCCCATGAGATATTTGCAAAGGGTGAGCCTTTTTACGAACTTACGTGCCTAGAATAATAATAAGAACCAATGAAATCCCCATTCCTCGCACACTTGGATTGCTCTAGGACAGCTGTTCTTGAATCTCTTTGCTTCCTGTAAAGGAAAAAGGGATACTGTGTTTTCCATCTACCTAGTCGTAACACCTGAAGTTCAAGACAAACGAAAGAGTAGGGAGTGTCTCAGGGATTGCTACACTATCCTGTCTCCAGCTGCGCGCCGTCAAACGATGACAGACAGCCACATCTGTAAGGGGCTGGCCCCTAGGCTTGTTCAACGTAGAGGTGCCGTCGATTGACTATTCTAAGCTAAAGAGGAAAGAGGAGGAATTATAAGGATAAGTTATAACGTGCATGATAAGCGAGCGGATCGCTCGACAGCAACCACTCCACGTATGTAAATCTTGATCAACATCAACAAAGTTTAATTAATTGAAACTACCCATAATCCTCTTCTCTAGACATTTCTCTCTGAAATGGACATGTGCGCGCATTGTGTCCAGTGTTCCCGCAGACGCCACATCGCCGTTGACCTGTTTCCGTCCTCGGCCGACGGCCACTACTCCGGCGCGTTTCCTCCTCAATCTGAGCTGTAGCCTCTCTCTGTGATTGAAGGTCATCTGCCTCAGCTATAGTAAGGCTCCCTCCTTGCCTGAGACGAGTTTTCTTAGATCTCCGCCGTCGGCTAAGTAGATTATTCTCCTCCCGAAGGGTTTTGTTCTCAGCCTCTAGAAGAGCATTACGATGCATCATAGCTAGTGTCCCTTTGAGGACATGGTCAACTGCGTTACTAGCTGGTGTTGGCGAGCTATTTAGATGATTTAAGATTCGATCTTTAATCAAAGTTGACTGAGAATTTGCCTCTGTTGGGTTGTTTGGTATCTGAGAAGTCCACGCTGGGGGTGTTGCTGGGAGAGACCCTGGGGGCGTTGGAGTGTGTAACTTCACATCCAGCTTCGAAAGCACACTTTCAGCACTTAACGGAACAAGCCCAGCCCCTCTAAAACCTCCCTGGATGTTTTTTACCGTTAGGGCTTGCGTGAAAGCGTTGCGAAATGCAGGGAAGAAGTCCTCCTTCGTAATATGCGTATTACCCCGGCGCATCTTATCCTCAATTTGTCGACCATAAGCCGTCTTTAGTGGCCCAAAACACCCAACGTCTAAGGGCTGAAGTAGATGAGACGAATGGGCCGGCATACAGAGTGTAATGATATTGTTTTCCTTACAATATATCTCAAAGTCCGCAGAGTGGTGACTTTCATGCCTATTAACGACGAGGAGGCGATATCTACTAGTTGCACGCGGTTTTATATGCCGATCAAAGTACTGGAGTCAGTCTAGGCCTCTTTCATTTATTGTCCATCCGTTTTCAGACGTTGCAATGACCTAGTCGCGTGGGAGACCTGTTTCTGTGTACCAGGTGGAGAGGTGATATTGGCCTGCGACGATGATGTACGGCGGAACGCTGTAGCCTGACGAACTAATGGCTTGAATGACTGTAACCCATTCACGATTGCCAGGCTGCGTCATTTTCGTGTTTGAACGCCTTTCAGCACTCGTGACAACCATTCCGGATGCAATCTAGCCCATCATAAACCCAGTCTCATCAAAGTTATAGATATCGGAGTCCACGATGCCGTACTTCGCGATTATGTTCGCTATAAGGCGAAACCACGCGTTTATCGCGTCTAGATCTTCGCATTGGGCCCTCTTATAGTCATACTTGCGAAAAAAGCGCGTCCGGAGCTGTGGGTGTCGCTTGACGAAGTTCGAAGCCCAGCGCTTCCTAACTGGGGACGCGTCGCGGTCGGCGAGCAGTCGATTAGCCATTTCTTCTACACCACTGATCCGAGGAGGGAATAATCGGGAATCCAGGTCGAGAATATACTCAACTAGCGTATCCTCTTCGAGCAACGTCAAATTTCGTGAGTTTGGTACGGTTTCAAGTCGCGAAGTTCTTCCATTAATACGGGCGCGTAAGGTTAAAAATGGCACTGAGTAGATCCGAGCTGCATCTTTAATACTCAAATTTGGTGTTTTTTCGATAGCTTGAACTGCTAGAATTATACCAGCTTCTTTGTTTGATGACTAAAAAGATGTGGCGGTCGCTGTTGAGCGATCCGCTCGCTTGTCCGATCCGCTCGCTTATCATGCACGTTATGTATAGCTATAATATAACGTGCCCGGACTAGGCGGTGTAATACGGCAGAATGGTGGCTCTGGCAAAGCCGGATATCTCGACCGGCTCCGGCCTACAATATAACCAAATATAATAATCTTATGTAATAATCGGTTATTACAGGTCGCGGTCGGACAGCTTCCCAGCAGAGAGGTGTGCGTGCGGCTCCGGCAAGGCCGGAGATCTCAACCGGGCTCCAGCCCGTGACAACATCACAACCTGGGCCGCCATGCTGTGACCAGTGGCTTCAGGACATGAGCCATGTGTGAAGCAGTTTAGTAGAGGCTGATTACTGTATTAAGGGTAGCTCGCTGCCGGGCCCTAGTCAAACGGTCCCGTTTGCAGCGAACTAGCGAAAATTCGAACAGCCTCCACGTGCGGCTGACAGTAACTTCTACTTTTCATCTCAGTGACAACCAAAATAGTTGTTTTGAAGAACTTGTCGCAAAAACGACGCCGTTAATTACGGGCAGCAATTAACGCCATATATACCCTACGACAGAACTCATCTCGTCTAGAGTCCAATCAAAATCGGCAGTGATTCACCTTCCGAGCCGTTGCTGTGGACCTTCTTGCTCGGCATTCCATGTCCGTCAGCCCCCATTCCAAAGCCACATCTCGAAGGCGGGCCGAGAGCATGGCTACTGGGCCTTACCGTCCGGCTGATCTAACCTCCTAGGGAGCTGGACATTTGAGGGAAGCGTTAAGATGAATCAAAGGCTTGATTCCTCCAAGACTGGCTTCTGGGGTTCCTACCTTTGACTACATGTGTACTTGTCTACCGTCGACAACAGCAGTGATTCTGGGCTAGTGACGCCCAGAGCTGATTTCGATTTGCCAAAATCAACAACAAGCACCGCGTGGCACCTCGAGCAATATGCGTGAGTCTGGAGTATGAGCGAATCGAAGATCTTTATTACTCGAGTCCTTTTCAAGTTGTTCTGATGGTCTCGGCTCATCCACTAAACGGTAAGTGTCTGACAGTCAGCCTATGGAGTTCAGCTTCTCCGGATGCGGCTTCAGTGGGCGCGGCATGGAACTTCAGCTCTCAATGAGGCAGTCACATTTAGTGCAACAGACCGTCCTAGAAACTGCCTATCAGATCTCAGTGACAGAATAATCACTGAACATCCCCATGATAAATACTTCTACAACCGACCCTCAAGCTACCCACCCTCACACACGATTGAGCATCTCATACCATCTCCTGGCATAAGCCAACACCACCATTGAACCCTTGCCCGACGATATTACTTTCCAAAAACATTACTTTCCAGATCATATTTCACCATGTCTACCCTAAATCTTTTCCAGCAGATCCATCTGCAATCCTTGACCGCTAACCTAGCGGGCTCGATCGTGGGTCCCGAACGGATTCTCCAGGACGCCATGGACATTGCAGCCAAACACATGGTCAAGAAACACTTGGGTCAGTACGGGTGGGACATCAACTGGGGTCCCCGAGTATGGAAGTCTGAGACTTCAAAGTGGTACGAAGGCCTCAACAACTGCTGGATGGTGATGAAGGCGCCCAATGTCGAGTACCCTGACGGAACCAAGTTCGACACCTATGTTGTGGCGATTGCTGGTACCGCTGTGCTCTCTAGGGAAGACTGGGTGTACGAGGACTTTGGAGTCAACAAGGTGGTGGACTTCGACTCTTACACCAAAACCTTCAAGAGTGGTTCCGCCGAACAGCCTGTTGGAGTCCAGAATCCTCCTTTCCGCGACATTCCGTACGGTGCCTGGGGAACGACCCTCGGTGCTTGGGCAGTCGCAACACATAACTCGCCGAGTGGAAATCCAGGAGCTGGCATAAACCTATTGAACTATCTCGCCAACCTCGAGAAGAGCCCTGGAGACTTCCGCGTCATCTTCACCGGCCACAGTCTCGGAGGTGCCCTTTCGCCCTACCTATCCCTAGCAACCAAGGCCAACAATCTCGCTCCGGACGTCGCTGATGTTGCGGCTGACATTCTCGCCCTTCCTGCAGCGGGAGCGACACCGGGCGAACAGCTTTTCAGCGACGCCTACTCCAAGTCGTCAAAGGTGAGCGGCCCGGGAGGGTATCAGTCGTGGAACGCAGACTTTTACAACACCCTCGATATCGTTCCCAACGCGTGGTCAACCGACGACACTCAGGACCGAAACCTAGACTAGATTGTTTCAATCTACGGTCCTCTACAGGGCAAATTCCTCACAAGGATCCAAGCTCTCGTGCAGAAGGCAAAAGATCGTGCCAAATCATCTGGCCTCACATACATCCCTATCGAGGGCAATCCTTTCAAGGGAACGTCACCAGCCAATACTCCCACGAATCTCCTCTCTTTCATGGCCGAGGCCGTTTTACAGCATACAAAGGCATACCACAATGCGGTCAAGGTAAGCGACGAGTTGGTGGATCTGTATCAGACCATAGCCAGCGCGCCTGGGTGCAGAAGAAAACCGCCCGAGTCCTGGCCAAGGAAATGCCGGTGCTCTGTAATCTCGATGATAGTGAGTGGGATGAGAAGGGCGATGAGACATATCCATTTGATTGCATTCTTACGGGCGAGCGGGTCGTATGAGGAGGGAACTGGAAAGCTACCTAATGGTAATTCACGTTGCCTCAATCCCAATGATCAAGATACCTAGCTTTTTACCTCAAAATAAACTTGTTTGTTCAGGGCGATGCGCTACATTTCATGCAACTCTGTCAATCAACTGACATTTCAACCACTCAGACAAACAATTTTCAAAAAATCAGCGATCGCTCTCAATCAACTTAACTTGAGCCTGGAATGAAAGGCCCTCGAGAACAAACAGCTCTAGAGAACTTGACCTCGAGAAGCAGACACTGGCGACAGCAGCCCCTGGCAGCCCCGCTGCCAGGCCTTGAGCGCGCAATAACCCAACACCGCCATGAGCGTCGATGGTTTAGTGGTAAAATTCTCCGTTGCCATCCAGCATCGTCGGGGAGCCGGGGGTTCGATTCCCTCTCGACGCATGTACTTTTACTCCCGGCACAGGCTATCCAATTTTCGATCCTCTGGGTACGATTTACTTCCATTCAACTCAATTACTAACGTGCTGGGTGGATGGGGGCTTTCCAGTTGTTGGCAACTAAAATCATGCCGCGTAGAGAACCTTGAACACCCAACCGAACTGATCTGCCTCGATAAGGGTCTCATTAACCTTGACCTTCAACTCAGTGCCAGCTCCTGACCCGCTGACCTCCCACTCAAGGTCCTCAGCACCCTCGACGCTCAGTAGGCTGATAGTATCTCCTTCAACGACAGGGACCGGTGCCTTGATAGAGACCCAGCCGTCGACCACCGTAGGCTCCTCCAAGAAGACCGTGTAGAAAGCCTCATCCGTCTGGGTGAACCTTACATCAGGGCCTCCAACGATCTCGCTCTGCACGAACCAGTACGTGGTGTTGAAGATGGCCTCCTCATGGGCCTTGATCCACTTGCCCGCCTCACGCAGGTTGTCCATCTCAGCTTGGACGATGGTGCCGTCGGCCTTGGGGCCAATGTCCAGCAAGAAGTTGCCGTTCTTAGAAACCATGTCGACGAGGGAGTACACAATCGTAGTGGCGTTCATGTACTCCTCGGCCTTTGTGGCGCGGTTGTATCCATAGCTGTACGGGTCCATGCCGCGGTTGCTCTCCCACTTGCGACGCTGCGCGGATGCAAAGGTCTGGTACTCGGGCGTGTCAAAGTCAGCCGCCTCCGAGATGCCGCAGCGGGAGTTGATGGCGACCTGTCGGCCCTCTGCGCGGGCCTTGTTCCACCAAGTCGCCGCGAAATCTTGCGTGCCGTTTGCAGCGCCGCAGTCACACCACATGATATCCGTGCCGTAGTCGTAGGCCAGGGTCTCCATTTGGGGCACCATCAGGTCGGTGATGAAGTCGTTGACGGGGACGCGGCCAGTGTAGGGCTCGAGCTCGCCGGTGTACGGGTTGGACGGCAGCACGCCGGGCCAGGAGACAGCTGAAGGCGTTGGGAACTGAACGAAGCCGTAGGGGCCAAAGTCCGGGTTGAACCACTCGGGAAGTGAGAAGTAGGTACCTCGCTTCAGGTCCGGCTGGTAAGTCTTCGCAGCATCAAAGAGCTCCTTCAGCAAATCGCGCTTGGGACCGTAGTGGATTGAGGAGCGGTTGGATGTCTCTCCTGCATCGAAGAGGGCGAAGCCGTCATGATGCTTGGTCGTGAGGACGAAGTACTTTGCGCCAGCGTCAGCAAAGAGGTCAACCCACTCCTTGGCGTCAAACTTAGATGCGTTGAACTCTGGGAAGGTATCATCATAAGCCCAATCAGGACCGTACGTGTCAAGACGGTATTGATAAAAGTTGGAGCGATCGCCTTCGGGGTGGTGGGTAGAGTACCACCAGAACCACTCGGCGTAGCTCTCATACGGAGTAGAGTTGCCCCAACCTGTGACGGAGTACGGGCCCCAGTGAATGAAGATGCCATACTTAGCATCGTCGAACCACTCTGGGCTCTCGTGCTTCGAGAGGCTGTCGCTGTCCGCAGTCCATTCATTCAAGCCGATTTCAACGTCGGCAAAAGGAGTCTTCTTTCGGACACTGCCGTCGTCGACGTGGACGGCAACGTGGACGGGGCCGGCCGATGCGCCATTGACGCCAACGACGACAACCTTCTGGTCTCCTGGGCACAGTCGCTTCAAGTGCCCAGGGCTCGTAGTGATGAACCCGTCTCCAGAGACTGTAATCTTGAGGCCTTCGCCAGAGACGCACTTCGACCCGGCATTGTTGACAGTGACCTCCACAACCTGCGTTCCGTTGCCAATCCATTTCTGCGTCGGTCTAACCGACTGGACAGCCACATCTGCAGCTTGCTGCCACAGGGTAATTGCGAAGACGTGAAGCCGGCCCTCGGTCGCGTTATTTTTGTCCGGCAGAGTGATGGAAGTAAGCTTCTTGCCAGGCGGCAGCGCAGTCGTCCGCTCAAAGATGTGCGAGGTGTTGAAATTGGAGCCATTGGCCGTGTACCGGCTGGGGAAGATGATCTCGCCGCGGTTGATCGCCAGGAAGCTGAACCAGTTGAGTGTGCGAAGCTCGTACTCGGAAGTAGTGTTATCGGCATAGGTGAAGGAGACGTTTCCGCTGACGGTGGCGCCCTCTACATCTCCCGCGACGAGGAATGAGGCGGAGAAGTAAGAGCCGTTTTGGGGCACTGAGATCTTTTGGCCGGTGCAGATGAGATTGTCGGGGTCCGTGGGGCCGGTGTAGCCCGGGAAGCTGTACTGGATGCCAGTGTCGGTTGAGACAAAGTCCGGGCCTACAGACGGCTCGGGGTAGGATTGGTTGAGGGCATCGAATGCGGCCTCTCCGGATTGGGTACCAAATCCTTTGTTGTTGAAGAGGGAGGTCAGGTCGAGGGCAACGGATTTCTGCGAAAGATTTCAGCGACTGTCGTCAATTGCGCAGCCACTTTAGTAAGCTACAGAACCACTCAGAGATACTTACACCAGAGGATGTCGAATTGGTCACTGCTGCGAGCGCAATTCCGCTCAGAGACAGCGCCGTGAGGGCATTGAAGCTCCTGAATCCCTTCATCTTGACAAGCGCAACTTCGTGAAGCTCAATTGCTCTGCCTAGACTGGATCGCAGCAGCACATCGCAACTCGCAGCCGAGGAAGCTCACCCATTCTTAACGGCTGCCATCAGTTCGGTAGCGGGGGACACTGGCGATCCATCCCCCAGTGGGACGATTTCCCCCTCAATTCAGTTCATCCAGCAGGTCGCTGCAGTTCGAGTCCGAATGGAACGGTTACATTCTCCAAAATGAAAGTCCACTATTCATGTCACCATCAACATTCGGGAGAGGTTGGCACAGTTGGGGTTGCCGGGTAGTGAGGGGCGCCGCTGATAAGACTAACAAACATTGGAGAATGGAGATAGCACCACTTCCCCGGACGTCATCGAGACAGGGATTTCCACGTTGAGCTTCGTATCAATGGGTCTCTTCTGCAAGGAACGCTATCGCGGTTGATTCGCCACGATGCCGATGCCGGCATGTTTACTTTCTCTTGTCAATTATGATAGAAGTAAACACCAAGCATGCTGTTAACGTCTCCAATCGACCGTTAATCCCGTGCGCTGAATGGTTTCATTCACTGCCTTTACTTGTCATCTGTGCCTATGGCCAAAGCTATCCCCTTCTTTTCAACTCACATGATAGTGAGCATCAATCAAGAAGAGACGTAGCATACGGAGCAGGCTTACTTCAATCGAATCAATTGATCAAGACTTCACTTTGCGGCTTCCTTAGTTAGGCCTTGCCTTTTGACCAATTTTATCAGACTTGCCAAGCCTTATCGCACCAAAGCCAGTGCACTCACTCTAAGCGAAGACACCCGTTGAGTGAGCGACTTCAGACAGGCATGAGCCAAAGTCAATGAAAGCAGTGGCCCTCCGCCTGGACACATCCACGACTTCATAAATATGTCATCTCCTTAGAGTTAAATCTTCATGTTCACAGATACTCATGGCTTTGAGTGCATGGTGTCTGGATTGCGTGACGTGACGCAGGGGCAAAACTGAGATTTCGTGGGGTAGGAAGGTTCACGTCATCACAATGAGAGGCATTCACTCACTTCTACTGATCGTAAATTGCCTCTGTTTGAGATTTCTTGGTCGAGATATCCAGCTTCCATGTACCAAAGCTGAAGAATCTGATGCATGTTTCGTGACCAATCCGCACATAGCCCTCGGCTTTGCATGACCAAAAGAGCAGTTGGCATTTGACAGCCGTCGCCCACAGGTGCTGCGAGTCTCGGTCTCGCGTTTGTTTGGCATTGATCGTATTGGCTGATGTTCGGCTTGGCGCGCTGAGCCGGAAACTGGAAGAAGGGATGAGAGACGGCTGCGAATGAGTATTTGGAAATCAAATTGCCAACATTTGACAGGCGGGCCGAGGGTGGTCGTTTCTTCTTCTGCGCGAGAGCCACAGGTCGTGTTTCTGAGGATCCAGCGCCAAAGAACATGAACCCTTCCTTTGGGTCGAAAACTGGAGACGGCGATCATGTTTGACGGAAGCCACTTTTTGTTTCTCTTGACGAGCCGAGAACCGACAACTTTAATTCGAGTACTGATTGAAGAGGTTGGCAAAGTTCACGGCCTGGCAAGAAGACCCTCCGTCATTGAATCGAAGATGTGAATAGGAATAGCCTTTTCCTCAATTCCGTACAGCGTACTTCATCATCACAATAGTGTAGATACGAGAGAGAGTTCACCAATAATGTTTCTTCTACTGAGTATTTTGAACCCCTCAAAGCCGTCTGAGCTTGCCCTGCAGTCGCCCGACCGAGGGTACTATGATGAAAAGAATACACATCGAATATTATTCGCCATGCTACCTAGAAGACCACCCTAGAACAAAAAGAAAGCCTAGAAATGCTGTCCCAGACGTCGTCTCACCGGGAACGACCTCCGTCTCATGATCTCAGACCTCTTCTGCTCCACCGGCTTCTGCTGCGCGGCAAAGTTGGTCATCATCTCCCACGTGGCCATGACGCCACCGTTCTTCTTCGACTCGGCCATGGCCATGAGGTCAGCCATCTTCATCTCGAAACCTTGTCCCATGGGGAAGGGAGCAGCAGCCGGAGGCGCCGCCGGCTCTTGTCTGCGGGCAGGGCGGCCAGGTGCGCCAGCGGGCTGCGGGGCGTTGGCGGGCCTGGGAACGGCTGCGGGTGCGATTCCGGGCTGAGCTTGTCCAGGCTGGGCACCGGTGATGCCGCCGCCTCCCTGCTGAGGGGCAGGCTGGACCAGGCCTCCTCCACCCTGTTGAGGCTGCTGCTGGGGCTGCTGGCCGGGCTGAGCGCCTTGTTGAGGAGCGGGCTGAGGCTGGGTGCCAACGGGAGTGCCGGCAACCATCATGGTAAGGATGAACTCGCCGTCGATTTGGCTGACAGGAACGGCAATACGAGCGTTCTCTCTATCGAGGAGGACCTGGGCGTTGATCGGGCTGAAGGTTTGAGCAAGGAGAAGCTGGGTTGCGGCCGGGATCGCGGGACCAACGGGCTGCGGCTGCTGACCGTTTTGCGGCTGCTGGCCGTTCTGAGGCTGGTTCTGCGAATTTCCTCCATTGTTGTTTCCATTATTGCCGTTGTTGCCGTTGTTGTTACCATTGTTCGGCCCAACAGCGGGAGCAGCACCGGCTGCGGCTCCAGCACCGTTGCCAGAAGTGTTGCCATTGCCGTTGCCGTTACCATTGCCATTCGCAGGTGGTTGCTCAGTTGCAGTACCGTTGTTAGGTTCCTGACGCTTGAAACGAGGAGCCTGCAGTCCACCGGTCGCACCGCCGGGGTTTTGGAGAACCGGGCGTTGGGCAATTCCGAGCGTGATGGAGGACTGGGGCTGGGCACCTGCGCGCATGGCCATCGCCATGAGTCGATCAACGTTGACTGATGTTTCATACTCCGGTCAGTGCCGAGTTCAACAATGAGACAAAGCTTATTTCAAGAAAGGAAAAAAAAGACTTACGCGGCATCTGGACAACGGCAGTCATGCTGTTGAGGCTGGGAACGACACCTGCCAAATTGCTGGTGACGAGGTAGCGGTAGTTGTCTGTCATTATGTTAGCGTATTGTCACCCTAACAAGTGTGGGCTTCAAAGTAATTAGGCCACTCACTAATGGACATGATGCCATTGGTGACCATGTCAGTGCTGATGCCATTGACGACATCCGTGCGGATGCTCATCGGCTGGCTAGCTCTGATGGACATGCGGAAACCGTCGTTGAATTCAGCCTCTTGGATGCCAGATCCAGCGATATTGACAGGCGTGCCGAAGGGAGTCAAGGAGACACCAAGTTCGCTCGTTTGGCGGCCGACCGCGACGTACTCTCCATCGATCTGGTTCAGCTTGACCATGCGGACGGTAGCGTCGGTGATGTTGACACTCTTGGCTCCCTCCATAATGATCCACGCCTGACGGTCCCTCGACAGCATCGCGACGAAGGTGTTGTCGGCCGTGACACCTGCCTGCGACAGCATGTTCTGGTCAATGGGCAGCTCGATCTGGGCGCCCACAAGGTCGGTGGCTCCATTGGTTTGAATAGTGAAGGAGTTGCGCGAGAGTTGAACGAAAGGCTGTCCCGTTGAACCGACGACATGGCTTGCCGGGAGAGGGTTGGGGTTCTGGTTGACGATGAGTTGGCGTTGCGTCTGCGAGAATGTCTCAATCTTGGAGTTGTCAGGGAACACTAGACTGTTCAATTGCATCTAAGATGGCATGTTAGTACATGATAGTAAAGTGAAGAGGCCTTGACCATCTTTCTATTATGAGGCAAAGCCATGATGAAGACCGAAGACTGCTATGCCAAGGAACCAAGTGACTTACATCTCCATTCAGGTTAATGACCTGATTGAATTGAGCAGATTGACTCTGAGCCGCAACCAAGCCAGCAAACAAAAAAGAAAGATGTGAAAACTTCATGAGCGTCATTATGATTAACGAGGGTCAACCACCGGGGTTGTTAAGCGCACGAAAAGGAAAAAGGAGGATGACAAGGGAAGGAGAGACACCGTTACTAAACCCACGGGTCCTAGGGGGAAGATGTTTGTATAGCAGCACGACCAACTCGGGGGATCATCAGCATTCAGACGAGGGTCAAGTAAGCTTAATCTCCTCGGGAGGAGAAGCGCGGCTGGGTCTTGGATATATGGCAAGGCAGAAGAGACCCATGGCAATGATGACCTGCCATGCCACATGGCGGACGGCCGGCATGGAATTTGATCGGGTGGTCGGACGCCTAGAAGCAGCGCCCAGCCGAAGAGGAGTTCAATCCTCCAATCGCATGAGTTGTCTGGCGTCGGCTGTGCAAGAGAGATCGCTGCAGACGCCGCTCCCATCCTCTTCCGGCCGCACATTCTGTTGTTGTGAATGCGCCCCTAGGAGGAAAGTAGGTGTAAGGGGGCATCGGGCTTAATCATCGGACCAGCACGCTTCCGACTGAGATGGCCTTTCTGGGTGCCTGGCCTGATTGTGCCAGACTGTGCCAGTATTTGCCAGTTCTCTTCTCAGGAAGAAACACAAGGAGGAACACAGGGAGGGACCCAGATCCGCGCCGAGGATGGGGGGATGGAAGCATTCTTCGTCCGGTCACGGGCGGGAGGAGGAGAGGGGCAAAGAGGCTCAAGGCAGGGCTTCGTCGGTTTCGGTTGGTGTGAGACGAGTTTCGTCGTTTCGAGCCCGGCCGTGTTGGGTTTCATCAGATGAGGCCGGGCGGACAGAGAGGCAAACGTGTGACTATGCAATAATTTTCGCTTACCTCACCCATCTTGCCGTGTAAGTTGAGTGCATCCAGTCTCTCTGAAGAAACAAGGTGGCATTACCAGAGGGGGCGAAGATCATAATTATGACGGATCCCTGAATCCCGCTTCTCCCGTTTGGATCTTCTTTGCCAAGTCCAAGTGGGGATGATTTTCGTTTCGTCGCGGCTGATGTGCAACTTGGGAAAATGCTTGGCGAATGCTTGACCTCGCGCGGCTCTGCAGCTGTACTCTGCATGTTCTGACCTTTTCTGCGTCTATGTGCTCTTATCCCGCTTACTACGACTCAGCTATAGCCCTCCTCTTTGACTCTGTCCTTTTCCTCCCACATTCCTCCCCCCCTCCACATCCTTCTTGAGTCCTTGACACTATCCTTCAGCTTGCGCTCACACCGTCTCTTAGTACATGACATGACCCATGCGCTCTGCTTCGTTGCTTCTGGAAGATTGTCTGTCGTCATCACCATCGTGTTCATAGCATAAGAATATTGGCGGCTGGCCCCCTCGTGCAAGTTTGACTGGGCGTATGATTGAGCGGTTGCACGCTAGCGGGCTGTCTGTGCTCATTTACACGGTCACATCAGAGAGGCGATCATGTTCATGGAGGACCATTCCCTCGGAGTGGCCTTGGGCTAGACAGCCTCCATTCTCAAAATTTCATCAAGAAACTAGTCGTCGCCTCAGAATGATACAGCCGATGGGCAGACACTACAATGCTGAGATAGAATGACGGGTTGAAAAATCACCTGACTCGCCATCAAGTGTGCTTCATTGGCCATGAGGGAGGGATCTTGCTGGCTGACGCCACAACCATCCGTACTCTACAAGACAGATGACAGAAGACTTGTTCTTCTCTCCCAATCTCTCACGAGCGACGGAGATGCCAGATGGTGTTGACTCGGTCAGTCTAACCTGATTCTTCACCCAATAACCCGAGACGACTTGCCCTCTCGACTCGACTAGCCAGCACGCACTACCTCCACCAAGGCGGACTAAATCTCCGACTTGGCGTTTGTATCCAGGCACCAAGCAGCGTTACCACGAAGTCCCCTGCTGAGTCGAGCAGAGTCTCATGAAGACGAATCCCTGCTCACCTGCCCAACACCAGACTTCACTCAAACCCCAGGTCGACCCAGCTCACCCCAACTTCCTCAAACCACTTTGACCCCTTTCGTCTGCTCGATATCGCCTGTTCCCATTTCTTCCCATTGGCCCCTCTTCTGTCCTTTCTTAGAACTGTCCTTAGCTAATGGTTGTTCGTTGCTTTAACACTCTTCCCTGGCATTCTCGTCTTGGCGTTGCAACACATTGTTCTTGGCCGCGACATCTGGAGTGCTTCGAACGCAACCATCACGACTCCCCAAGCGCTGATGCGCCTGATCTCTCTTCTAACCCTCACCCTTGACATCTTTCAGACCAATATCTTTTTCATCCAAGAAGCAGTCACTTTGTTCCGTCTTCAACCATCAACCTACCTCTTGTGGACATTTGATATAAGCCCTTCCACCGTCCTGTTCATCTGCACACGTTTCGGGGCCGGTGAGCTCTTTCCGATCTCAGTCGTGTTTTCTTTACTCCATCTCACCTAATCAACTTTCTCTTTTGTCATCGAAGTGGTCGGACGCCTTTGGAAGGCTCACCACTCAATCACTCTCCTTTAGGACCACCTCGCCTAATCATACACACTCACCACCTCTTCTTTTCGCATCGCCTATCTCTTTTGTTTACCTTACGTGTGTGTTGTTTGTTGTTCGGTCCACTCAAGCTAGTCTTTAGTTTCTACGACATCCAAACAACACCGCCATAATGCAGTACTCTTTCGTTCACGTCTTTGTCCTTTCTTACCTGACTGCTCTCGGCCTCACCCTGCCAGCTGCTAGCCCGGCGCAAGGCAACTCGTTGGGCAGCCACCGTTTCCTCGCGCGGGGTGTCAGACGTCTGGATACTCGGGCTCCTCAGCAGGATCAAGCCGGTGCCAGCCAAGGTGCAAACAATACCGCCGATGCTGGCGGCGCCGGACGCAATGGCGTCAGCGATGCTCAGGTCATGAACGCCGTCATGTCCTGGATGCAGGATACCGCAAAGGTCACCAAGTTCCTCAACACCGCCACATCCTTCACCGGCGCCGAGTTCACTAAGCAGGCCACTATTGCGCTCAACGCCGAGATCGACGAGCTCAACCACAAGATGATTCTCGACGCCGCCTTCCAGGGAACGGACATGGTTACGCAAGCCAATAACGTGCTCGACACGCAGGGTAACTTCCAGCAGGTCGTCGATACCCTGCAGAGCATGGTCACCAATGGACCCGACACCGCGCAAAGGGACGTCAACTCCATCAACCAGAACCGTTGTGTCAATGTCCTTCCCAACATCGACATGTACTTTGCTGCCGCTGGCGCCGCCAACATTCAGTCCGTTCGTCCCACGGGATGTTTGGAGGTTGAGGGTGCCAACGTTACTCCCGCTGTTCCGCCACCAGCGGGCGGTGCTCCCGCTGCACCTGCTGCGACTACGCCGCCGAAGGCTGGCAATGGAAATGGAAATGGAAATGCCAACGGAAATGCGAATGGCAATGGTCAGAACAACAACCAGAACCAGGGCAATAACGGCCAGAATCAGAATCAAGGAAATGGCAACCAAAATCAGGGCAACGACAACCAGAACCAGAACCAAGGAAATGGCAACCAGAACCAAGGAAACGGCAATCAGAACCAGGGCAACGACAACCAGAACCAGGGCAATGATAACCAAAACCAAGGGAACGGCAACCAGAACCAGAATCAGGGCAACAACGGCGGCCGGAACGGTGGTCAGGATATTGGCAAGGGAGTTGGCAGTAATGGCAATGGCAACACCAACACGAACACGAACACCAACCAGAACCAGAGCAACAACAACGGTCGTCCCCAGAACCAGAATCAGGGCAACCGCAATGGTAATGGAAATGCGAACACCAACACCAATACCAACACGAACACCAACCAGCAGGGCAACAACCAGGGCAACAACCAAGGCAATAATGGAGGTCCCAATAACAACCAGAATAACGCCAGCACTGGTCTTCAGCTTGCTACTCTTGGCTCTGGCAACACCAACGCGAACACCAACCAGCAGGGCAACAACCAGGGCAACAACCAAGGCAATAATGGAGGTCCCAATAACAACCAGAATAACGCCAGCACTGGTCTTCAGCCTGCTACTCTTGGCTCTGGCAACACCAACGCGAACAACGGCAACAACAACCAAGGCCAAGGGAAGCCTCAGCAACAATCACAGCAGGCGCAAAGCCAAGGCGGTTCGTCCCTCAAGCCCGCGACGCTGGGCTCGCCAAGCCCCGCTGGCAACTAGACGCCATCATCTTTGCCACGAGGGGTCACCGAGGGGTCACCTACCCTCCCCCAATTCCCCAAAGGTGGCCGCGCGCAAAGTTCGAGACCCGATACGATAAGCGCCCACTTCTCGCTGGCGGACTTGACCGAGGGGGGCACTAGTACGAATCCCGCCCTCTGCGACCGAAGTCTGATGTTGTGGCGGAAAGCTTGAGGCGACACGTGTGGTGGGCCCTACAGGGCTGGGTGTAAGTGGTTGTGTGTGTCTCTCCTGTCTGCTTCTTCTTCTCTGCTGTGTTAGTCATGTGTTTATCACGGGGGGTCTGCATTTTGTGGTGTGGGTGGGAAAGCAGGGAAAAGGGTCCCTCGGTGCTTGGTGCTTTTTGGCATTAGTTTGAAGGCCTGCTTAAAACGTTGGTCAAAAAATCTGTTCTCTGTAACATATCATCCCGTTCTTCTTACAAAGCACTAGAGCATGGAATCTTTCTTCTTAATCACGTTGTTATACAAACCCCTGTCAGTTATAGTATGGAAAGAATCACACCCTTGTAAATAATTGGACAATCTTACAGACTCTGTGCTCGAAACTGATCCTAAAGCTGGCCCCATCCTTGGAATGTTTAGAATATCGTGAAACGAAACGTTAGATTGTGCCCCTTGGGATCCAGGGGTCCTGCATGTAGGATGTCGCGCAGTTGAGCCGCTTGGATCGCTCGGCCGAATCCGCCAGTCCCCATTTGCAGATCATCCCCCACGTCGTGCTCCGGAAGTTGCGATTGGCTCCCTCGTCTAGACCGGGGTCGCCTTCCACAGTTTCGGGACGAGGGTACGGGAACCATGTTCAATACAGCATCATTCATACGCGAGGGTCGAGTGAGCCTCAAAGGGCTGAAGTCTATTGTCTGTGCTTCCCGTATTCCACAGCGCGAAATCGCGGAGAGATGAGGGTAGATGCTGCGGTGCTGCGCTCAGCCTGGATGCCTCTTAAAGACACTCCTGTGGCTTCTACTCTTTTATGTTCTAAAGAGGCCTAGTGCGCTTAAGAACTGTCATTATCAAGCTTTTCGTATTCTACCACGTGAGGAAGATGGTCTTAATATGAAGGGACCAAGGTTGAGACCAGATAGAATCCATTTGAGAAAGTAAATTGTCAGACTGTCCCGGTATCGCTTTCACTCGCGTACCTGGTCCGACCTTTGTGCTTCCATCTCCTGACTGTCGTTCGAGCCCCTCTATCCGCGATGTAACAACCTGGTGCTACGATACCATGATCACGGCGGGCAGCAAACACCAGACTCTATCAAACATCAATCCCCGAGGGGCTAGGTCGGTTGAGTCGGATCTTTCCCTTCCAACCCCGATCTTAGTCATTCCTCCGCTGCCGATCGGCGGCATTCAGCATCCCCTGTCGAGTCGAAACGGTCAACCCTGTCCCTGTCTCGTTTTCGACTGCGTAAGGGTGTAAGGCGATTGGCCACATCGGCGCCTGAGACAGGGAGCAAGCGAACGCATGATGCTGTTCTGATAGTTAACGATGAAATTCGTCAGTTCGCGAGCCGGACCGACGAGAGTCTTCTTGGGGGCTCCATTGGGTGAATGCCCAGTTTATCTTGGCATGTCTCTATGTGCGTGGAGCTAACATCTTTACGGGATGTCCTTCGTCAGACGAGACGTTAGAGTCACCTGGAGTCACCAAGCCGCAATGTCATCTCGTCGACTGTGATGTTGTATCCGTAAACTTGTGGATCCTTCGGCTCCCGGATAAAGTAGAAACCTCTAACGGCGATCACGTCCTCTTCCGTTCCGATGATCACCCATGGCCCATGGAGCATATCTCGAAGATCTCAGGGTGCCTATGAGGTTAAGCGATGGGGCCTCCGAGTCGGGTTACGTGTTTATGGCGGGCGGTCTTATTGAGTATCCAGTAAGACATGGATAGTCTAACCCCCCGGATCAGCATTGATCTGAGCTTGCTGGAACATCATAATGTAACTTCTGTGAGACCTGCTGCAAGTCGTACTTGCTTGGAAGGATCTGCAATTTCAGTCAAGGACTTCAAATCTCGGGATACCAGTGAGCCGCATTCACACCTGCCGTCGAAGAACACATCACCATGAGTTCAGGTATCGGATATGAAGCGTCGCTTTTCAAAACCTGTCTGCTACAACGCCTCTTGGGGTCAATTGCGATAATTCCCAATCCTAACACTCCAGAGAGCGTTCGTTGTTGCTGTGATATCTCATCTTCCTAGTGACATGTTAATGCCTGAATCAATATCTTTATAGTCAAATCTTTGCTTCAGTCAGGTACTTGATGTCATCATCTGCGACGACCTTATGGACTTGCTTTCCGTATTACAAAATCCTAGAAAAGGTGTTGGAATACCGCGGATAGTCACAGCACAAATCGAAGTTCCCGATGTCTGATGGACGGCTCAGTCATATCATGCATGAAGAGTTGAGTGTTCAAAATCCTGCCCCGTACCTGTCTCTCCTTTCTTATTGGAACGCCTTCCAAAAAGGGACAGAATCAATGGTGCTTCTCATCTAAAGCAATAATAACGCCTGGAACACAATGATGGAGGTAATCGAACAAAGATTCTGTGTAAGATCCAAGACATATCTCTAAAACTTGTAGTATTTCTAGATTGTAAAGTCAGTTGTGTAAAAGATCTAGCCTGATGTCACTGGCAACCTTAAACTTCTGCGCCGCTGTTGTCAGATAAGTAGCGGCCTTGGCAGCAGAAACTTTCCTCAATTCGTGGATCACCTTTCCTACTCAAGTTAACACCAGGAAGTCACTGAGAACACTCAAGATGGTAGAAGGTTGATTGGAGTGACTGATTGATTCATGAACCTTGATACAACAACTCTCACAGACCTTTCTCAACTTTCCCAAATTACGATCTCATACCTCTAATATTAATGTTGGAATAGGCCTACATTAGGCAGCAGGAGGTTGCTGCCGCGGTCCGTTCCAGCCACGGTGGTCCGTGTGGCTCAGCCACACGAGGGTGGTATACCCCAGACTTCCTGCCGCCGCTGGCACCTGGTTAGACTTCCACTCAAGAACAACAAGAACAAGCAATATCACCACTACAGTCGGTGATCGTTGCTACCCACGATACTCGAGTATTTTCCTTTTCCACCTGTGAATCCAACAATTAAATCTCCACAGAGATTATTGGAGATATTGGGATGGATCGCAATGCTTGACCACCGAAACCTTCTGAAACCCTACATTGTTGCTCATCAACAGACTAGGACACCTAGTTTGATAAATTGCATTCTTTCTACCAACCTTTACTTTGACGAGCCTTGACTAATGGCTATTGGGTATTACTTGTGTGTTGCTATCAATGCCGGCTGATACTACCACTTTGGCGTCTCTACTCGTCTAAGTCTTTCAAGTCACAACAACTCTTCCTCGTAAACAAGCACGCTTTTAGACAACTCTAAAAGTGATTACGTGGATATTTCCTTTATCAACAAAGACGTTACCTCCAATCGTCGGCTTTTCTTCCATTAGTTGCTAGGTAAAAAAGCGCTATTATATCGGAACTTCTTCCAGGTGTCATTAGAGTCCAGTCTCTGATGGTAAGGCGCAAAATACTCTCAATATTGACCCAAAGCTAACCCAAATGGGCCACAGAACACGCATTGAAAACCATTCGCCCTCTCACTAAGCTGACATTCTTGATGTCAAGTGAGCATTGTAACGGCTTCAACTAATGATTCAGACTGTAATACCTCATTTCCACTTGAGGCTTAGCCCAGTGGGGCGACAAGTGGCTGTGCAGGGGTGCCGAGAGTTACACCAAAGAGGAAATTTGACGACTTCCCTGAAACACGCGTTCAACTCTCAGCTGGTGCGTCGTCTCCCTAAAAGGCCGGCCTTGAGTTCTTGACACCTGTCAGTCGAACCAGACTAAGTTTCCAAAAGCCTCTCTGGAGCACGTTGGGCAAAAGCTTTTCGTCCCAGTTTACGAGAACTCGAAAATGGCAGACACTAGCAGGTCCCACT